GGATCAGGACAAATACGTTCAATTCTTCAGATATAATGTTTAGCAGTATACAAATATAACAGGGGTCCACAGTACAAAATATTCAGGTCATATTACATACAGTATGTATCTTTTTTTTTTTATGACTGAGATATTTATTGTGTTTTATCATGGGGGGGGGGGGACGGGAGGGGATTGGGGATAAAAAAATAAATAAAAATAAAAATACAATAGTAATAATAATACAATAAAAAAAAAAAAAAATACAGTATGTATCTGATCGACATTCAAAAAGCATGGCTCGATACAGTAGGAGACAGTAAGAGGATAGAGCAGCATGAACCCACTGTATCCCCCACCCCCATTTGCTGGGGGCACCGTCTGACAGAGCTTGGTGACACATGTATTAGTTGGCCCAAGCCGGAGTGCCTTCTTGAGCCTGAGAGAATGTATAGACTGTGTGATGATGTGAACTGGCATTTTTGAGCCACATGATTCACGCACAAGTGTTACCAGAGGCTAAAACCAGAAGGGCACGATAGAGTCCAAACCAAAAAATAGGAAAGTGGACTAATACAGTTTTTGTTGTTGCTGACAATTTCAAGTCATTTGGATATCCCATTCTTCAGTATATATTCATGCAGTACTATTTATGGTATTTATGGAACCTTTATCTGTGGGAATAAAGGTTCTCTTATCTTTTCTTAGTTTTACATGTGTGATCTGCTTTGATCTGCATCTCTCCAGAGATTCGATGGCATGTCTTGTTTACTATGTCACTATGGTGATGGTCAAATGGTCTGGTCAGAAAATAGCCTCTGCGTGGCCTTTGGGGAAGTCCTGGATACAAGCCCCAGTGTCTGCTGCCTGTGCGTGTCATGGTTAATGGTATATCAGTTCTATTCCACTGCACTGGACCGAAACATGTGAAAAACGCACCCCCATTGTGCTCTGTGGTTTTGGGTTTAATTGTTGCTGTTCAGTACGAAGATTAAACACCCTCTGGAAATATGAATGGTGGTTTTTATGATACATTTTCATAACAAAATGATTTTTTGGATGTCATGGCTGTAACCATTTCAATAATTGTAACTAATTTGGTAATCAAATAGTGTAAACCATATGTAAACTTAAAACAATCCATAAGGAGGTTTTAGTTTTAATACTGAGAATATTTAGTTTTTTACATGATCTTCTATCTCTGCAGACTATAGTATGGTGGAGAATGTTCCACTGTTGTGATGGGGAGGGGGAGTGTTGCAGCACAAGCTCAAAGCTTAGTGAAGTTCTTTAATGCAGCCAGCTAAGTAGCAGAGCACAGGTGCATAGACTATATCTATATAGACTGGAGCGAAGGCAGATGAGATGCTCTTCAATCTGATCCTTTGTTTTTAGAACGGTAAATCAGCTGTCAAAATAGACTTTTCAGAGATTGTGATCATATCATAGTTGTTTTCCCTGGTCACAACAAGCTCAAATGTCATGTATTTTAGATCTTTATATTCTAGCAAGAAGCCACTTTTCCCACCATGCTATGTGTCACATCAGCTGAATCTTTCCTGCTGTAACTATGTATGACTATATTGTCCTTGTCAAATAAAGGATTAAATACATTTATCCACTCTCCCTCTTTAACTTACATTTAAATACTTCATGTTTCTGTTTAGTTTGCAGTGTGCAGTTCCCTCTGCACATCTAAATGATTGATAAGTTGTTCACCCGCTTTAAGTTACCCCTCACTTGGTTTGGCTTGCAGCAGTTGTAGCTGAGTGGAGTTTCCCTGTTCAGGCCTCTCTGTAAGTCCACTGACAACAGCGATTTACTCAGCAGTCAGTGGGACATTGGATCCTAAATCTACTCTCTTCTTCATGCTCCAATGGTCCAATTATCAAACTAATCACAGCAATACCTACCAGCAGGAAATGCCACTGTGTCAGGGTGAATGAATGACTGTGTTAAGTGGACAATGCACATCTATTTAAGTAACAATCATAGCATTGTTTGTTTGTTGTAAGAGATTAAAGAAATGTCGAACATTTTCAAAACTTTTAAGATTTGAACTTATCCAGAAAATGTTGCTAAATCAATTTTTGGCTCCAAATATTGCTTTAATCTATATATCTCTTATATATCTCTTTGGACCTAAAGTGTTTTCATCCATTTACTGAGTGGTCAGAAGTCCTATGAGTGTAAACTAATTTTTATTTTCTATTTCTCCCTTTTTGGACGAATGGCCCGTTCAGCAGAAAACAACCTAAGGTATGTACATTTTTCTTCATTTTGTCTGATTTTTGTTGTTGTACTTTAGAATCCCGGTAATTGACATGTGTGTTTAAGACAAATGCATGAACATATGTTTTACCAGAACCGTACACAGTTTTTAATTGATAAAAACATACATTATATTGTGAGATTGTCCAAAACCTGAACAATATTTGGCCTGGAGATGGTCTGGATTGTGCTTGAGGGCGTTTACACAGCACGAGTGAAAAACCTCCGAATGAATTTATTAATTGATAAACTTGCCAGCTGTTTTGTTTGTAACACAAAGTAAAGCAGAGCAGAATGTTTTTTTAATGTACTCCATAGTCGTATTAGAGGGAATTTTTAGAGGTGTTCCCACAAATTCCCATTCATTCCCATGGAATTTGAGGGAATTAATGGGAATACTCTGGAATTAACTGGTTGACTCTTTACTGGGAACTTAATTGTAGTTGAGGAAAGTTTTTTTTAGCATAATCTTGGCTAAAACAGACAGACGCCATTCAAATACACTTGACTATCCATGTCATTCCTCATTCCCATGCACGTAGCACACTGCTCACTGTGTCAATAGAGACCACGCCCCCTACTGGCCCTGTACATGTCCTCATCACTTATACAGAAGATTTCTAGAAGACTAGACCTCACTTGTGAGCCCAAAGCACAAGACTATTTAGTCCACAGGCTCAAAGTTTTGATGATGTTATGGGGAACTACTTTGTTGAAAATCTTGGATATGATACAAATGAATTACATAACAATTAATGCCCAGTTATTGAATATTTCCAAATTTACCAGCAATTTTCCACTCCTTTGTAACCCTAATTCTTATGCTTTGTAAATGTATTCCTTGTTCCTATGGAAATGTTCATTTGGTTATAATCTTAAACAGATTACAAGGATTTCCCGCCAGAACAATATCTATCTACACCAACTACAAAATGTCAATATTTAAAGGAATCCACCCATATTTTTTCTGTGTGAGGTCTTTTTTGTGCACTTTGCCACTTTACAAGTTGTTACATCATCACACAATGGACAGTAGCAGCTTAAGCACAGGAAGTCAGCACTTTCCCTCAGCCTTTTGAAGTCGTGACCAGGTCAAAGATCCTGTTGATTCCTGTAGTTCCTGTGCAGTGGTGTTCCTGTTTCTAAGGACAGGAAGGAGCGTGTGTGTGTGTGCGTGTGTGTATGCATGTGTGTGTGCGTTGCGTCAATGTGAATCAGTGCAGAGACAGAGGAGAGGGATGGGCCCTGACATTGAGGCTGTGTTTGAGCACATTGCTGGCCCAGACCCCCTGCCTCCTCTCCTGACAACACGCTGATAATTCAACAGAGGCACAGGGGGAGTTGGGGCTTTTGAGGGGAGTTCTTCTTACGGAGCTGAACAGTAGCATTGCAGCGATTTGCACCTGCATTCTTTCACAATGCTGCAATTACGGACTCAATTTGGAGATGAAAATGAAACCACTGTGAAAAGAAAATACCCTGCAAACATTTATTATCTTGTCATGCTGGGTTATAAGTCTAAACTAAACCTAACCATACAAGTCCTTTTTTGATACTTTTCTCATACTCTAAAATAAAATAAATATAATAGCAATAGCCATAAACACAGTGGAGATAAAGGTGTGCTCTTGTGTGGCCACATTTTTTGTGGCTCATAAAAATATAAAAGTATTAAGCATGTTGCTTCATTTGAGAATCTCTTTCTTGCACTTGTTTTATAGTGCACTTTTAACTCTGTTTTGAAACTCTGTTTTGAAAATTGTAAAACTGAAATTAAACTGAAATGTTGCGCACATGCGCAACACTCTCTTTACCTGTCGAGTAGAAACTTGGGCTTTCAGCGCAAATTTCACACCAACGTGTGAAAGAATCTTCCAAAACACTCTGGTCTTGTTTGACGTGTATGTCACATATCACCAGAAGGATTAACAATTAGGAGGATCAATAGTCTTGATGATCCACCCGGAAAAAGAAAATCATCCTATATACCTTTTAAGGTCTATAATTTGGCTTAGTTATACTGTATGTTGAAACCTGCAACAGTGTTGATGGAGGCAAATAGACAGGATGCTCTTGATAGTCATAGTGTAAAATACTGATGATCTCACAATAATTCAAGCACTAATTCACTATGTACGCCTGGAGCTGGTCACAGAAGCATCCTCTGCTCTGGTCCGGAGCCCTGCAGGTGTCCGTCAGACAATGGGCATCTCTCTGCGGCCGCGAGGGCTCAGCGCCAGCTCCACAGCTCTGACCGGCTTCAGTCTGTTTCCGCGGAGACGAGGGTTAATGGTGTTGGAATTTCTTCTGGGAAGCAATGACCCTGATTTATGAATTCATTTACTCCAATGACAGGACATGGCCAAGTTAGCAGAGCCTTCGGGCAGACAGTCACACAACAATGCACTAATTCAGACAAGTCCAGCTGATTAACCACACAACAGATCTGAAGAATTTTAAACCAATGCCATTTTACACACACAAAGCATGTTTGATTTGAGACTTCTGATTTGTAATAGTTAGTCTGGAAAGCGCGGCATCGACACAAAATAACTTCACGTTAGTTGTGGCCATACCTGCATGCGGAACCTAGATCCCGTCAGACCTCTGAAGCTGCGCAGGGCAGGGCCTAGTTAGTGCTGTGATGGGAGACCTCTGGTTACACCAGTCCAGGTGCCACAGTGGGACGGCTGCGGCTGTAAAGTGCCAAACTGTCATTGTGTCCTTGGACACCCAGCACCCACACTGCCAAGAATGAATCTGGTGTGTGTGTGAATGGTTGGTGATGGTTGGAGGGGCCGATGGCACATACTAGTTGCCTTGCATCTGTCAGTGTGCCCCAGGGCAGCTGTGGCTACAGTAGTAGTTTATCACCACCGTGTATGGAGTGAATGAATAATGACAATTGTGCTTGCATTTAATTTGTAACTGTGTTCCCAGGTATGAGGCAAAATGTACAGATCATATTTGACCTTTACTGAAAAACTGTTCATAAGTATTCTTAATTAAAAATGCAATGGGAATTATGTCCAATCAGAGCCAAGAGCAGTTTTTCATTTGGGTTGCCAGTTTTTTTTTTCTGTGTGATTGTAATTATAATGACTTTATTAGACCACTAATTTTGAATCTTACACACAGTCCGTTTAATGTAGAAGTAACATTTTTGCTTCGCTCTGTTTGTAGGTGTTTGCCTTCGACCATTGCTTCTGGTCGATGGATGAGTCCAATGTTCCTAAATATGCAGGTGAGTCACACAGATCATGCAGAGAGCACTCAGAGCGACTGCACTGGTTTTACATAATGCAAAACAGAAACTCAATAGCACCATACGCTTATTTCCATTTTAAGTACATCCAATTATATGTCTAATAATGAGAGAAACGTGTCGATGCATACATGACTGCATACTGCAGTGGAAATACATTTTATACATTTTTTCAGGCATGTTACTGCTCCTAATGCAGAGCAGATTTACAAATACACCAGAGCAGTTCACTTTGTGATAGTGCATGACAAATGTTACATTGCTGCTTTGTGAAAAGCTCAAGAGACTTTCATCACTTCATTTATCACATGAAACACATCTGAAGAAATCAATAAACCATCTGAATAAAACATAATGCCTCAAAATTGTTTTGTTTATGAATAATCACCATGGTGATGTTCCTCAAAGGTCAAGAGGTGGTGTTCAAGTGCCTTGGAGAGGGGATACTTGAGAATGCATTCCAGGGATATAACGCCTGCATCTTTGCCTATGGACAAACAGGTAATGTTCCCACCAGATAATGTTATATATACGTAAACGCAAAGGTTTTAATTCTCACAATGAAGAGACATTGAATATTTGCAAGTGTTGAAGACACCAGCAGACGTGGGCCAAAAAGAGCAGGTCGTCTGGTGTATTTTTTGCCTCTTAAAACTCTTTCCTCATCACATAATGTTTACTAACAGAAATGTTGACTTCTGTTTTTGAGGAGCAATGTTTATAGGAAATCTCCGTTCAACATATGTCTAATGTCACCTCAGATTTCTAAGTTAAGATATAGACAAACTGTTCTGCGTTGAAACTAAAATGTGGTCTTCCCTCTGTAGGCTCTGGTAAATCCTTCTCCATGATGGGGAACAGTGAGCAGCCTGGTCTCATCCCGAGACTCTGCTGCACGCTCTTTGAGCGGGTCCACAAAGAGGAGAACGAGGCCCATAACTTCAAGGTGGAAGTTTCCTATATGGAAATCTACAATGAGAAAGTCCGCGACCTGTTGGATCCCAAAGGGTATGTGAGCATCAGGATGGGTCAAATGCAGAGGATTGAATTGCCCTACGGGGATTAATTAAGTGCACCTTTACCTTACATTCGGATTTTCATATTGGAAATAATGTCAATATATTTCAGTGATATGCAGCAGCAAACCAGTTTTTAAAAACAAGTCAAACAATATGTATTGGTTTGACTTATAATTGCCCCAGCTTTCCTTTTTTTGCAATTTATCTGATCAAGTTTGAGGATCTCAGGTTTGTCTGCTCTTAAAATAAAATAGATTGTGAACAGAATGCATCTGGTTGAAAAGAGAAAGTGCTGGCTGTTCATTTCCTGCTAACATGATCTTCTGACATTGGAGCATTCTTTGTTTTTTACGGTGAGGGAGGGGGCCGCGTGAGGAGGGGGCTCTGTAAGGGTGCTGCTCAGGGACATCTGTCAGTGACAACAGAAAAGCAGGCTGTTAATAATACCTCTCCTAGTATCACGATACAACAGGCTAGATAGGCCCAGTAAATATTTGTGTTTTGTTGATGATCACAACAACAAGACAGTAAAAAGTGAAAACTACAGTGCGGCAGTGAAGGATTTTAAATTTGTCTTAAATCAAATCTGCTGTTTAACCGTAACAAATAAACAGGAAACAATAATTAGGTTTAAAAGTTACTTATTCTGCTCAAATTGAAAAGTTCATTTGCAAAAACAAATAAGTGCCATAAGAACAAAATGTTTTAAATTCTTAAAATCACAAAACATGTTGACGATTGTAGCTAGAGGAATTTCAAAAAGGGAGATTATATGTTCAATTGTTTCTAATTACAATAAACAAAGCAACTTGTGATTATTGTGAGTATTTATTGGGTCCTGTTTACCTGTGTGGCAGCGTCGCCTCCACCATTCTGCCCCAATGCAGCTGTGGCTACAATGTTATCTCACCATCATCATGGACTAGTATCTCACCATCTTTCTATCTTATCTATGCAGTTTTTCTGTGAGGAAAAATCTCACTGTATCTGAAGTTCAAAATTATCAACTCATTACGTGAAAGAGGAGTAAGGATTCCTGAAGATTTTAGTGGCAGTATTTTATTCTTTTATTCGTAGCATTTTCCTGATTAAATCCCAGATATCAATAGTAAAAGTAATAGTAAAACAAACTTGCCGAGTTTCCCTGTGATTTTCCTTCACGTGTAATATAATTCATTATAACATAGTTTTCTTCTGATTTTTAGGAGTAGGCATTCGTTGAAGGTCCGGGAGCACAAAGTTCTGGGACCATATGTTGACGGTTTGTCGCAGCTGGCTGTGACCAATTTTGAGGTGAGTTTTCCTTTTGCTCACAATTTTGTATTATTAGATTCTAGCAGTGATTCTAATACGTCAAGTTATTTATTTGTTCAAATACATTTGTATGGGATCAATTGTGTTGATTATTTTGCTTCATATTTGTCAAAGCCTTCTTAGAGTCAATATAAAGATATTTTCAATATTACCAGTGGAATTTCATAAAGTTTGGCAAGACACTTAACCTCTGGAAACACCAGCCACAGTGGGGCGGCTGTAAAGTGCCAAACTGCTGTTGTGTCCTTAGGCAAGACACTTTACCCCCATTTCCTAGAATGAGTCTGGTGTGTGTGTGTGTGTCTGAATGGTTGGTGGTGGTCGGAGGGGCCGATGGCGCTTACTGGTTGCCTCGCTTCTGTCAGTGTGCCCCAGGGCAGCTGTGGCTACAGTAGTAGTTTATCACCACCGTGTATGGAGTGAATGACATGTAAAGCGTCTTTGAGTGTCCAAAAAAGCGATATATAAAATCGATGCATTATTATTATTATTATTACTTTTACTCTAAATACTACAACAGCTAGAGGTGTGAGTTTACACACCCAGGCCAATTGTCTGAGATAATGAATGATGAGTTACTTGTTATATGTGTTCTTCTGACCCTGATCATAAGTCTCCATCCCCCAGTTCTCAATAGTCTGTATTAGTTGTGGATGAGATTTCCTCAGTTCCAGTACTTTCCTGGGCTGCCTTGCATGAGCTGCACATTTGAAATCTCCCCAAGACCATGTCAAGGATTTTATAATTTAACATTTGGTTAATTGTGAGTCAGTTAGTTTGTTTGATTGATTCATTTAAAACCTGCATTATTTCACATATCTTTACACCAATGGACAAGGGGTTGGATGAAGCAGATGCTTATTTCTTACTAACCCCCTCTCACCATTCAACACAATAATACACAGAATGCAATTAATCAACATCAATACAAATGTGATACTGTGCAGTACATACCGTAATATACCATACCCTGTTTTGTATTAGACACACTAAACACCTAAACACTCTCTGACCCTACCCCTCTCTCCCATCCCCTGCTCAATGCTGAGGGCATTACTCTCTCTCCTCCATGTTCTTCTTCAACACTTCGTTTTTAAACAGTTTTAAAAAATTGTAACAGGTTTGAAGATGTTTTATTTTTTCCACTAAATTGTTCCAGAGAGAAACTGAGACACACATAGATTTTAAAGTAGTTCTAAATGTAGTTACATCTAGTTTATATGAGTTTCATCATTCATAATCTTCAAAATATGGTCCAAACAATGATGTCTCTGGGTGTGTAATCTTTTAAGCTCTGTCTATAAACAGCAGTTCTTTGTGTTTAGGACATCGAGGTTTTGATGTCGGAGGGGAACAAGTCCAGAACTGTGGCTGCGACCAACATGAACGAGGAGAGCAGCCGGTCCCACGCAGTCTTCAGTATTATTGTCACTCAGACGCTCTATGATCTTAAGTCTGGGGTGAGTGTTTGCAAAAAAGAAAGAAAATGAACTGGACATTTTAACTACGTGTGTTTTGTGATGATGCTTTAAAAATAGACCTTAACGGGTTCTGTTAGCATCTCTCTTTTTCCTTTGTAGCTGATTAGTTCTTTGTCTTGCCTTTGTTTTGTTGACAGAACTCAGGAGAGAAGGTGAGCAAGATGAGTTTAGTAGACTTAGCCGGCAGCGAGAGAGTTTCCAAGACTGGAGCGGCTGGAGAGAGGCTGAAGGAGGGGAGCAACATAAACAAGTAGGTGTTCAAAGAGTTTCACTACAATTAAATATATCCTATATCTTTCCAGCAATATGTATTTTCCTGGCATGTGCCTCCTGTATAGTTGACCCTGCTCCCATCTCTGTGTGGAGTGAGAGACAAGTCCCACAACAATTGTAAAGCGCTTTGTGACTCTGGTCTGTGAAAGGCGCTATATACATAAAGATTACTTACTTACTTACTTACATTTGAAATAGATTACTTGAACCGTTTCGGTCTGAGCCAGAATTAGGGCTGCCTCAGAGTTTGTCCAAACAGAACAACACTGTTTGGTTATTGGCCATTGTGGTGGTTTGAGTGATACCAGATGAAGCAGAAACTAAACACTAAAAACTAAACTAAACACAACGACGCATGCAGGTGAACTTCAGCCTTTTTTATTCCAGAAAGGTGAATTTTCAGCATATTTTCCAATCAATCAAATGAACCTTTTTTGTAGAAATCAATACTAAGTTTTATTCACATTATTCTGGCCTGTAGAGACACAAAGTCTTAGTAAACTACACAATTTTTAATCTCTGCAAGTCTTAGACGGTTAGAGTGGCATTGGAACACATTCTGTAATTCTGTTGCTGATGTTGGATCTTTTGTTTGCCGTAGGTCTCTCACTACTCTTGGATGTGTGATCTCTGCTTTGGCCGATCAGACTTCAGGAAAGGGGAAAGCAAAGTTTGTGCCTTACAGAGACTCCGTGCTGACCTGGCTGCTGAAGGTTGTTCTCACACCATTTTATTTGTTGTTGTCGATCAATTGAACTTAACTTCTCCTTTTTCAGGACAATCTAGGGGGTAACAGTAAGACGGCCATGATCGCCACTGTGAGTCCGGCAGCAGATAACTACGAGGAGACACTGTCAACGTTACGATATGCGGATCGGGCCAAAAGAATTGTGAATCATGCTGTGGTCAATGAAGATCCCAACGCCCGCATCATCAGGGAGCTCAGGGAGGAGGTGGAGAAGCTCAGAGTGCAGCTGTCCCAGGCCGAGGTGAGAGATACACACTCAGATCCATAAGCTGTGGTGGTAATAGGGAGGGCTGCATGATATCTTTGTGCCAATAGCAAGTTTCAAATCCATATTACAATGATGTGTGTGATGTGTGAAAACTTGTGAGTTATTAATAAGTGAAAATCATGCGTGTCACACATGCACACTCCCCAATGCGCCGCTTTGTCATTGGCCAGAGCGAGTGCACAAACTCAGGTGAACAACATTGAAAAAACGTGTTCTGTAAAACACTGCTGTTGTAACTTTGGATTCCAATATTTTTTTTCCAATATTGAGCATTTCTAAGGATCAGTATTGACAAAAAAATCTCATCTCAAAGCGTTTTTTAGTATTCTGATAACTGTATTCATAGCCTTATGTGGCAGTTCATGAAAAATGTGTGAAAAATGCTGTGAATGTATTGTTCAAGATTTGCATCTTGTTTTTGCAACAGATGCTTTGACATTTATCATGTCATGTTTGAATTCATTATTAGATAATTGGACATAAGATGTTTTTTTCTAAATGTATTTTAATTTTCTGGTTTATGTAATTCAAAGGTATTTGCTAATTCTCTTTGCAAGGAACAAAACTCAATCTCAGAATAAATCTCTTGTCTCTATAGGGTCTTATTACGTAATAAACCTGTTAACCCGGCTCTGTAAAAACATGTTCTGAAGTTCATACAATCCCTTCTGGCTGATTAGCTGTTTATGTCAATGTGATTATGTCACATTTAAAAGAAAATACAATTGTGCTTGAAAGTTTAGACACACTCAATAGAAAGTCTGTGCTTGAAAGTCACATTTTAATTCAATTCTCAAATTCAGTTCATGCATGGTGGCCCAGGGCTTTTTGCTAACAATAATGGGCAGTTTTACCATCAGAGGATAAAGAACCTCATCCACAACTACCCTAAAAGACTCTAAGCTGTCAGAGATGTTCAAGAGGGGGATGGAGACTTATGATCAGGGTGATTGGAGGAGTTGATGTTGTCATTATTATATTAAAATAGAAATCACGGTTATTTGACAATAAAAGGACTCACACAAAAACTAACAATGAGTGAATAAAAGGTTCTGCGTCATCATTTATAATCTCTGAAATATGGCCAAAACATTTAAATGTTTTGTCTGGGTGTGTAATCACATTTTCTCACACTTCTTATCTTGCAGTCCTTAAAGGCGCCTGAACTGAAAGAAAAGCTGCACGAGTCCGAGAAGCTCATTGAGGAGATGACAGTGACGTGGGAGGAGAAATTGCGGAAGACAGAAGAGATCGCAACTGTATGCAGCTTTGCCATTGGTGTACTAATGCATTATCTTTCAACTAGTTTTACATTTGAGTTATTTTGTTCTTCCAGGAGCGACAGAAGCAGCTGGAGAGCATGGGGATATCACTGGAATCATCGGGGATCAAAGTCGGCGAGGACAAGTCATTTCTGGTCAATCTGAACGCGGATCCTGCGCTGAACGAGCTCCTGGTTTACTATTTGAAGGTACAGCTTAAATTGAAGATACATTAAAGCTAGAACGTTATTTCTCCATGAATAATACAGTACATGTTGTTTGTTCCAACTGAAAGGAATCTCAAGTACAATTTTGCAAACAAATCAAATCATGCTTTCTGTATCTTATTAGAAAACATATTATGTCTGAAATTTCTCCATTTCTCCATCTTTTTCACAAGCCCAGGGAGTCACTAGTTGATTGGCGTGAGGGTGGTCCTCAAAAAAAATTGCATTTGACGCAGAAATAGTGAAACTGTAGGAAGACATTCTAGATACCGTTTCCAGTCTATTTTATCATTAAATTGAGACATGTATGCATTTTTTGTAATTACTGCTTTGTTTGAGATTTCATCACATCTCACAGCACTTGTATTGGTGTCCGTCAAATAGATCAGTTAACGATTAATCAATTACTTACTGTAAATAGTGATTATTGAAAAACTGCTAATATTGACAAATGCAATTATTTCAAAAATAAACTTTAATCATTTAAGATTAGTAAGTTGTGCCTTACTTTACCCCTTCTTGGAAAACACTGCTTTGAGTGGTTGAATTTTTGCTAATTACAGTTTGTACAACATTGGCCACGTAAACCCGACTGGGATTGTCTGAGCAGAGATAGAGACATGTGAGAAAAGGCCGCGCAGTCTGCAGAACAAGCAGCTTTTGTCCCTGTGCTGCAGGCTTTACATATCAGTGTGGAATGAGAAGAGGTCGGACATCCTCCACAAGTTGGGATGTTTGTTTTACAACGCCCTCTCACTTAATAGCGCAATTTCACACGCACAGTTAGACTTTTGTTTTTTCTTTGGTTATGTGTGTTTGAGCTTGATTTATGGATACAACATCTGATATGGGTGTCTTGAGTTAAGGAAAAATGTATGTAATGCAATGTAATGATAACATCCATCGCTCCTATCTCTCAAAGTGGAACTACAGAAATGAATACATTCCTTGTAACTAGTCCCTGGCTTTTCAAACGGTTTTGGTTCCATCACTAGTTTCACAGTGATGTCTTTTTGCCACATCTTCAGATTTAAGAGAGGACCTGCTTACTCTGCCAATCAGCTCAAAATGTTTTCTAATAAGATAAATGCAGTATGTTGTGGTCTGATTTGTTACTTAAACAAGACTCAAAAAAGAAAACAAAAAATAAACTCAATCATAATCATAACATTACAAAAAGTATAAAGCATATTTTTATAAGAGCAGTTTTGTGGCGATGACACTACAGGTTTTTTTCGTTATACAGGAGAAATAGAATATAGTGATTCAACCTATAATGTAAAACCAATACAGGATATGATATAGACTTATTGCAGGCAAAGTTACATAGGCTAAACTTCATTTATAATTTTGATACTATTTCAAAGGTCTCAGATGTTTTAAAAGCTCTGATCCAATTATAAACATTATAACAAATACAGGCTTGAATATCACACGTCCCATGTAATGAGTTCATCAGTTTCACATTGAATTACAGAAGTAAATATGTTTTTCCGAGTTTAATTTGTGAAATGTCACCAAATCAAAGAGAAACCATATTTTCACTACTTTAATTTAGTTACTTTATGTGTAATTGCACTTTCTTGGCTGTTTCATAGGAGCTGACCCGTGTGGGGGCAGACACGTCTCAGGACATTCAGCTCTTTGGGATCGGGATTCAGCCGGAGCACTGCGTCCTGGAACTGAGCCCAGATGGAGACGTCACACTGATGCCTGTGGAGAACGCCAGGTGAGCCATCTGTTGCTTTCTCCAGGTCTCATACTTAAATTACACATTGTTCAAAATCAAGATCAAGATTGTTATTTTTGTCTCATATAGGAGATATTTGCTTTCAACTGATGGACTACATTTCATTACAGAAAATACATTCACACAAAGACACGTGTTGTACTGTTTACAAAGACAACATCACTTCTCATTGCCTCATGTCCTTTTTTAACAGATAACTGAAACTGGTATGAATGGGGTCTTGTTTTATGTTTTAAAAGAGCTCCAAGGCACCAACGGAATATTGAGCAGTCTTTATACATGCATTAAGAGTTCCGAGCTTCCGGCTCTACCGCACAGCATTGTGGGTAGTTTTCTCAAAAAGGTGGGCATCAAATCACGCTGCCATATTGGATTACTTGGTGCGAACGTGATCTCTCTCTCTTGTTTCCTGCCCATAGATTGTTTTAATAGCTAAAAAATGAAACAATTTCAGACATTTTGAAGGTAAGGTAAAGATTTTTTCATTTAACAAAAAAGCAATGCATTTTTTTCTTGTGAAAAATGATGCAGACGTAAACACAACCGACTGACTATAGAGCTACATGTAGCTTATACTACTTACGAGGATAAATACAATTTCTGATCAGAGCATTCAGAGTGGGGACGAACACTGAGCTGGCAGTATAGAGAGGTGTGCAGTAGGCTTTAAACAAAGTTATTTTTACTTTATCTGTACACATGTGAAATCCCCGTGCTTAAGTGTTAGCCTGTCCATACAGCTTACAGTACTGCCTCTGAATGTCATCGTCATCACTGAGGTCACTCCTGATTACATGCCCCAGGTATTTGGCCTTCTCTACATTCAGAAGCTCCACACCAGACAAATATGTCCAAAGTACAGCTTTGGACATATTTATAAGCATTCGTGTAAGCATTCGATTCTCATAAGTAGCATAAGCTACATGTAGTCGGTTGTGTTTACATCTAAAACCACAAGAAAAAAATGCAAAAATCCATTATGGCAGAGTGATTTGATGCCCACCTTTTTGAGAAAACTACCCACAATGCCGTGCGGTCGAGGCGGAAGCTCGGAACTCTTGATGCATCTATTAGTACATGACAGTGCAAATTATAAACTAACCAGCACCATTCTGTAAGTAAGTAATCTTTATTTATATTCCGCCTTTCACAGAACAGAGTTACAAAGCGGTTTACAATTGTTATTTTTTGGGCATTGGTCCACTCACTCCACACAGAGATGGGAGCGGGGTCGCCAAACAGGAGGCGCATGCCAGAACTGTTTTTTTTGTACTGGTAGGGGAAACCAGAGGAAACCTATTCAGATTCTGCTCTGTCTACCATCTCCAAAGTGCATCTTTTCTATATAATGTATTCCCTTTCTTTACTAGGACCTGTGTGAATGGAACCATCATTGACTCACTGGTGCATCTGTGGCACGGAGATCGGATCTTATGGGGCAACAACCACTTCTTCAGGTGCCGGTTTTACTGTGTATCATAAACTCATTTATTCTCATGTTATGTATTCAAACATTTTCACAATCCTCTGATGTTCTGCAGGATAAATCTTCCTAAACGAAAGCGTCGCGACCGTTTAAAAGACCTGGAGAGAGCGTCTCCGCGAGAGAGTTTCATCGAAGCGGACGTGGAAACAGCCAGCGAGGCGTCCTCAGAGCAGGACTACAGTTACGAGTTTGCCCAGATGGAGGTCATCATGAAGACGCTGGGGAACAATGGTAATATCCCTCATCTTCTTCACACATGTTCCATCACGAGCCACACGCTAAAATACTGACCAAGAGGAGAAACAATAAGTAATACCTCAAACCAAAGAGCTCTTTTACCTGAGAAAACCATCGTTTATGACCATCGGTGATTCCTGAGTCTGTGACGGCTGTTTGTGTTCAGACCCGACGCAGAACGTGGTGCAGGTGTTGGAGAAACAGTATCTGGAGGACAAGAGGACGGCGCTGGAGGAGCAGAGGATGATGTACGAACGAGAGCTGCAGTCGCTACGGCAACAGCTGTCCCCCGAAAAAACACTGCAGCATCATCGCAGCAGCAGCGACAGGATCATGTTCCCGACAGCGCAGCACGGAAAGATCCGGCTGTGGTCAGAGGAGAGGTGAAGCCACTCAGCACATCACAGAACAGGAGGGGAAGGATCACTGTTGGATCTATGGATTTAGCGGAAATGTAGGCCCTCTAAGTGTATTTTTAACTCACAAAGTTATAATTTGGTGTAGTTAGGATTTGGGCAAACATGCAGCATTTTGGAGGTGAATCTGAATCACTGTCTGGAAGCACACAGAACCTCTAGGGGGAGGTCTGTGCTCTACGAGTGCTTATCTAGTTTAAAGTTGTGGTGGAGGGCAGCTGACCTATGGTAACTGAACTGTCAAGTCAAAAACTTGACAAATATTTATAATTTTGTTCTATTTAATTTTATTCCAAAGGCACATTTTTTACCTTTTTTTAATGGTTTGAAATACTTTGCCGTTGAGAGGACAAATGTAACCGTTATACACATGATGCTGATAAACAATTTCCTCACTAAAACTATTAAACATATTAGAGTTTTTATCATTTATGTGACAAAAACAATTAACTTTTTATTTAGATGACTTTGTAAATCAGTAAGTAATCTTTATTTAGAGCATTTCATAGATCGTGGTCACACAAAGCGCATTACAAACTTGTGTATTGTCCATTCTCTCCCCACACAGCTGGGGCACCAGACCTTCTAACCCTCACCAACCCTCACCAACCCTCACCAACTGGTCTTATTGCACGTGTTTAAAGTGGGAAACTGGAGCACCTTAAATACCTGCATTGTGTTGTGTGTTTCCTTCTGAGCTCACCAGACTGTACTTCAGTTTACTATCCTACCCCAATTCAGAGTGTTTCCACTTGTTAACCGAGAAGGTGCTAAAACGAGGCATGCAACGGTAGAAAACTCTGTTGTAACAATCCATTGGGCATTGAATAGGGATGCACCACTTTTCCAATATTTTGACAAATACCCAATATGACGTGACTGACTATAGCATTATTCTCTCCTCAATTACAGAAAACGTATTACTAATTGGTCCTATTGTGTCTGAGGAAAAGTTAAACCTACTGTATACAACATTCAGACTCATTAAAACAAAGCCTACTCAAGATATCGACCGAGCCGATATCATTAATATTGGCACTGATATCCAGATTTGTACTGAAGCATCCCTGGTATTCACTTCTCATCCATGGTTACCACAGCATGGCTCTTGATACTGGTTTATTGTGGCTAGATTGTAAGGATATGGTGATTCTGAAATGTAATGAAAACTTATCAGAGTAGAGTTGAGTAGAGCTGATGAAAACGGGGCATTTATCTCTACATTCTTAAACCATAAATGACGACAACTTGACTTTGCTCTGTTTTTCTGCAACAGGGACGAGCTTTTTCGTCAAAGTCTTTCTCGACTTCAGGAGCAGGTCGTGAAAGCCAACGCTTTAGTGCGAGAAGCAAACTTTCTTTCCGACGAGATGAAGAAGCTGACGGACTACCAGGTCACCCTTCAAATACCCTCTGCCAACCTCAGTGCTAATCGCAAGGTAAATCCTGAGTGTTTTAAATCATTCTACATGATTTACACTATTTTTATTTTTATTTAATTATTATAGCATGGATCCATTGTAAGTGAACCAGCCATTCAGGTGCGGAGGAAAGCAAAAGGAACCCAAGTGTGGACCATCGAAAAGCTCGAGAATAAACTGGTGGATATGAGGGACCACTACAGGGACTGGAAAGATGGAACAGTAGAGAAGGTAATAATAGTACATACTGTAGTAACATGTACAGTAGGTAGGTATGTAAACATGTATGTTTATTGATCATAGTATATTTTTCAGTGTACAAAGCCAAACAGCAAACACTGTGACCCTTTTTATGAGGCCCAAGAGAATCACAACTTGATTGGAGTCGCCAACATCTTCCTCGAGTGCCTTTTCCATGATGTGAGGCTGCAGTACGCCGTGCCCATCATCAGCCAACAGGGAGAGGTAAGCTCCTGCACCAGGGGAAGGAAACTTTATACTCTTCAGTTCAGTGTATGCGTCATCTGCAGTATAAAACCACACTGTAAAAAGGCACAGCTTACAAAACTCACATAAAATGCAGACATAAAAATGTAGAATTTGCAGTTAAGGCACTAAGTTTGGTTAATGGTCATGGAGAGACTTGTACACTTGCTTTAAAGTCTATTCTCCGAGCCACAGGAAGCCAATGGACTAATGGACTTTAATCTCCGTGCAGCACTTTGGAAACTTATTTCATAAAATGTTCTATATAAATAAATGGATGGGATTGATAATGTGATCGTACTTCCTGGTCAGAACTCAAGCTGCAGCTGATGATTTACAGCTTGTTTGGAGAGCCCATCGAGGAGGCTGTTAGAGGAGTCTAACCTACTGGAGACAAATGCATGGATAAGAATCTTTGTGTGGTTTTGGCACTAAACTTTTCCTTTTGGCCATGTTGGAGATGGTAAAACACTGATGGTATTATAGATTTGATGTGGCTTTTAAAATATTAGCCATTATTACCCCGAGATTTCTAACTTGATTTTGAGGTTTAGAAATCTAAAGGTTAACATTCTAGAGGTTAACATAGAAACTGATAATGACCCGGCACTTTATAGTACACATGACATGAATTCATAGCAGCTGAGCTATTATGGTTTTATCTTCCTTTGTTAAATGCACAGGTCGCTGGCAGGCTGCACATAGAAATAATGCGTGTCAGTGGAGCCTTACCGGAGCGGCTTTGTGGAGGAGACGACTCTTCAGAAAACTCCAGTGAAAGTGCCTGTTTTGAGGTGATGGATACAAACGGTGAGATTGTTCACATGGCCAAGAGACTCACCTGTCGGGTATGTGTTCGAATAAAGCCAGCTTTAACACCTTTTTACTTTTTATTTGGGAAATCAATGTGCTTTGTTTGTTTTCCACAGATCAGAATAAAAGAGGCAACAGGGCTGCCTTTCAACCTGTCACATTTTGTGTTCTGTCAATACACATTCTGGGAACAAGGTGAGCCCACTGTTGCTCCTCCCATGGTCAGCCCCGACCGACACCAGCCTCGAGGTCCAGATGCACAATTCACCGTGCAGTTTGACCACTCCAAGGTAATCAGGCCATCAGCTTCAGGGCATATTACACTCACTAGCAGGACTATGAAATTCAAGTAGTAGTTCACATTCTAAAACATGTTAATTCATATTTATTCTTAAAACAAGTGTGACAATGGAACATGCATAGTTTTCCTCTTCATTCAAATGAGAAATTACCTGATCCATTCATACTAAGCACAGACCTCGCTATCAATATTACTCCATCCCATTTTATATTAATACTGTAAGTGATGCACGATATATCAGCCTCTGATATGTTTTTTTTTTTTTTTTTTTTTAACACATTGGTATCGAACAGGTGTCAAAATAGGGCCAATGTGAACAGGCTGATAATTACAGTGCCTTGCGAAAGTATTCGGCCCCCTTGAACCTTTCAACATTTCACCACATTTCAGGCTTCAAACATAAAGATATAAAAAAAAAATTAACAAATAAAAAACTGAAAAGTGGGGCGTGCAATATTATTCGGCCCCTTTACTTTCAGTGCCGCAAACTCACTCCAGAAGTTCAGTGAGGATCTTTGAATGATCCAATGTTGTCCTAAATGACTGATGATGATAAATAGAATGCACCTTCAGTGCAGTTCATCCAGAGTGATCATGGGCCTCTTGGCTGCATCTCTGATCAGTCTTCTTGTTTGAGATGAAAGTTTGGAGGGACGGCCGGGTCTTGGTAGATTTGCAGTGGTCTGATACTCCTTCCATTTCAATATAATTGCTTGCACAGTGCTCCTTGAGATGTTTAAAGCTTGGGAAATCTTTTTGTATCCAAATCCGGTTTTAAACTTCTCCACAACAGTATCTCGGACCTGCCTGGTGTGTTCCTTTGTCTTCATGGTTCTCTCTGCGCTTTAAACAGAACCCTGAGACTATCAAAGAGCAGGTGCATTTATACGGAGACTTGATTACACACAGGTGCATTCTATTTATCATCATCAGTCATTTAGGACAACATTGGATCATTCAAAGATCCTCACTGAACTTCTGGAGTGAGTTTGCTGCACTGAAAGTAAAGGGGCCAAATAATATTGCACACCCCACTTTTCAGTTTTTTATTTGTTAAAAAAGTTTAAATTATCCAATAAATTTCATTCCACTTCACGATTGTGTCCCACTTGTTGTTGATTCATGACAAAAAATTAAAATTGTATATCTTTATGTTTGAAGCCTGAAATGTGGCAAAATGTTGAAAGGTTCAAGGGGGCCGAATACTTTCGCAAGGCACTGTATATGATGTGTATTTGATGTGTATGGAGGCTTAGATGTGAGTGTGGGTGCGAGGGTTTGTTTTTACACAAGCGCGTAAATGTCACATGATGGTGTTGAAGGCGGCAAAGAATATGTGTTATACTGTAAATATTGGCCGGACAAACAGCGATATTAACATCAGTTACCATATCGGCCACAATTTTCACATCAGTGCACCTCTAATCCTCATAATTCAAAGTCAAAATGTCAAAACAAGATAAATACTATTTGGTTAAATCACTTTTGTAGAGAATTGTTGTGTCTTTTGTGTATTGTGAATGCAGTCCATGTCTCTCTCAGACATGGACTGCCGAAAACAGAAATCTCAAATCTTAATCTCAAAGTTTATCACAGATATAATTTCAGATATTTCCCCCTGACTTGTATTCCTCTGCAGGACTTTGTGGTGCATGTGAGCGATGACTTCCTGGAGTTCATATCTGAAGGAGCTCTGACCATAGAGGTGTGGGGCCATCGCTGTGCAGGGAACGGACACTCTCCCTGGGAGTTAGAAGGACTGGAGGCCAAGACACAGACTCTAAGAGACAGGTACATGTTTGAATAATCCTATGTTATAATTCATCCAAGGCTCAGTGCTAATACAGCCTTAAAGCCTAAATTTGACAACAATAGTGTTCAATTTTGGCTATTCTAGATCCTTAAAATGTTAAATGTATTCATATTTCTCTCTTTTTTTTTTTTACAATGAAGCCTGTATAAGTCTACTTCAGCAGTAATTTACTTTTTCAGTGTATTTTAGAGCTTAAAAAAAAGAAAATATGTAGTAATGGAAAAAAATGGAATGGAATGATTGATTATAGCATGAGTGACAATTGTATTAAAGGGTTCCATAATATATATATTTGGGCTGTCAAAATTATCTCGTTAACTCACATTTTTCATTACGCGTAAAAAAAACAAAAAAAAGGCATTAACGCCATGGACGTCGGAACTATTTTCTGAGAGGGGGGGCGGGTTTTTGTTGGGAGAGTCGAGGGAGAGACTCATACTTGGATTACACTGGATAATAACATACCATCTTAATTGTTAAGAAAAACAAAATAAACAATATATATCAAGGAAGTCACTTATCAAACTGAACTTTTTTTTTTTCAATACGCATTCATGCGTCAGTCTCTCCGGTGGCTTCATTGTGTTGTGTAGCCCAGTGACGTGCGGTCAGATGAGGCAGGCAAGGCCCTCACCTAAGATCATAGAAAGAAAAGTAATAAAATGGATACAATAATGTTTGGTCACTTTATCAAGTGATTTGTGCTGTGCCTTATTTCATTTATTTATACCTTGAAATCGCAGATTTGACAGAGCGGTGCTGTGAGGCGAGCCTCTCTTGGGAGACGTAAAAAGCAACAGCTCACAGGGAGAGTCCTGTGAGGTGCTATCAAACTGTTTTCTCTGTTTATCACAGTTTAAAAAGTTCAAAAATATTTAATTTACAATCAACATGTTTACATTTAAGAGGATGGCTCATAAATTGTGTTTTTGAAGCAAATATGGGTCTTAATCGCGCTCAACCACAGCTTGTAAGTGAGGAAAGCCTCAAGGGGGCGCTTTTGAGCCCAAACTTTGGCTGCATCCAATTCCATCAGAAAGCTCCTTTCTTGTTCTTCTTCTGCTAAGGGCAGCTACAGGTTTGGCTAACATACCTATAATACATTTTAAGATAATTTAAAATGCACTTAGAGTAATGTTTTGCTTCCAATGATGATATGAATCATAAGAAAAGGAGGTGAAGGGTAAGGTTGAATTTAGAAATTGGATTTACCCGGGAGTCGGCTGCAGCAAAACTCGGAGTTTACGGAAGAGACACCCGTTTTTTTTACTTTTTAAAACTCATTGAACTTATTTCCAAATGGAGGATTACATGTCTGTGCTCAAACTATTATCTGGACTTAAACATGAAACTGGTCCTAACTGAAGTGGTCTGTGCTGTTCATTAATACCTAAGGTAAGGCCCATAACACACTTTGTACTATTTACAAACGTTTGCGTTTTGTATGAGAAAACAATGCAGACATTAAATCATATTCTGCTGTAGCCAAACAAATTGTGTATAAGCCGCTCCTGTTCCTGTAGGTCCTGTTGGTTTATATGATGTATAATCATATGAACACATGATTGATCCCCCACCGCACGTCACTGGTGTAGCCAGGTCTTTAATCTGCGCAAGGCTAAGGAAAGAGCGCTCAGAGGCTGCGACAGATATTAGCCAGACAGAGCTTCATGAGCTTCTCCGACAGCATGGAGCGGGTTTTGGGCTGCAAGGAACGCAGGATAGTGATAACTTCTCGCTCCCGGCACACGCGGAGGGGGTGCGGCCGCACCCCCCGCACCCCTAGTTCCGACGTCTATGATTAACGCATGTCCGAATGACCCGCCCATTTATCCATAATATCACTCAGAATGCTGCGTGTGAGATGGCATCAGAGCAGGTAGGCCCTCTGGGAATTCAAGTTTTAAAAGAATACACGCGTGACCGCGGGGGTGTTATTTGCTATGGACTGAGGTCCGCCTCCTCCGCGGCGGCTCTGGTTGTAGTTAGCAGCTGCAGCTGACAACAACACGGCTGTGAGCGGCTGTGAGCGAATGTCGCTGCGGTAACATGGTCATACACGCCACTGAACTATTGTCTGCATGTTGTGCTCGTTTCTTTGCAACCTGTGCGTAACCTGTGCACGCAAATACAGCGCGAAAGTGTCCCTGTCTTTTCCTGAAACTAAACTAAACTAAACTCGCTGAATTAAAGCTTTGGTAGGTAATTTTCCCCCTTTCATTAACAGCTCATTTTGGCTGTGCCCAAAAGCAAAATGTTGTGAGCAAATCAAACAGATTTAAGTACATTTGGTATGAATGACAATGTGTCATTACATTTGATAATCTCATTTAACTTCAATTGAAGTGGATTTGAAATAGAATGTTAAAAATGCGATTAATCGTGAGTTAACTCACCATTACTGTGCGATTAATCAACTAAAAAAATGAATCATTTGACAGCCCTAATATATATATATATATATATATATATATATATATATATATACATTTTATATTTTTTTTTCTTTTTTTCTTTCATGAATACATTTTGTTTGTCCCAACAGAAAGAATCTAGTTTAAGTAAAATGTTGTGAACAAATCAGACCACAACATGCTGTCTTATTATAAAACATGTGTATCTTACATATTAAGAGCAAATTGGTGGAGTGAGGGCTGGTACTGGAGGTCTGAAATAATGGATCGAAGTATGTGACAGAGGCCAAAAATACATGTGAAATGTGAAAACTAGTTACATGGATGTATTAAATCATCTATTTATTATTCCATTATGATACACAACTTCTTTTGTTTTAACTCTAAACATCCCATTAAACAACATATCCGTCCTTCTCTAAGCTTTTTCCATCGACTTGTGCTAATGTCAGTTGTTTTGGTGAAGGTGGAGGGAAGTGTCTCGCAGAATAGAGCTGTGGACGTCGATCGAGGAGCTGAACGAGGCGGGAGAGTACTCGTCTGTGGAGCTGCTGCCTGCCAAAGACATCAGCACTGGGGGCGTCTTCCAGCTGCGACAGGTACAACTTTTACTCTGAACTGAGGATAACACGATACTGTGATATCCATGGTGTCTGGATGGACTTTTGACGGCATGGGCAGAACTCCTATATTTCACTGTTCAGATAAAAGCAGAAAACTCAAAAAACAGCCACAGGGAATATTTTTTATGGCAAAGAAGTGACTTTTTTTTGTAGTGTTGCCATTTGGCCTGTACAATATAATTAAATAATATTGTCATTGCAATATTAGCAAGTGTAATATTAATTTTGCAATGATGCAATATTTTGAGTTATTCTGAGTCTGATGTGTGCTTTCCATGCATATGTTTGAGTTTTCTCACCAATCAAGTGCAACCAATGGTCTATAATAGATAATCCATCTGTGGACATTTCATACCGTTCCATCCCTACTCTCAAGTAACTCATGTGTTGCTGCTGGAATAAAATAAAGTGTTTTTTAAGGTGGTTTTTCATGGCCTCAGTCCTGGATCCAAGCCCTCTCTCAGTGGGAGCCTCCCCAAGGTTTCTCATTTTTCCCTTGACAATGCTGGAGGGTACAAAGACACTTATGATGATCCAGGACACTCATTCAACAACATTTATGGACATTGGTCTCTTCCCCTTACGGACCAATGGCTCTGTGTATTTTATCATTGCATTGCTTGTGTTCGAACTGATCTGTGTTGGCAAATCAATGGTTTTGTAAAGTCCTCCAAGATGATTGACTGCTGTTGTGATTTAGGGCTATGAGAAAATAAATTGATTTGAATTGAATTTTCACAGGGGCACTCGAGGCGGCTGCAGATCTGTGTGAAACCCGTGCAGAACTCTGGGACTCTGCCTCTGCTGGTGGAGGCCGTGCTCTCAGTCTCCATCGGCTGTGTGACTGCGCGCTCCACCCAGCTGCAGAAAGCTCTCGACAGTTACCAGGTTTGTTCAAAGCACATTGCATTTCGTTCATCTTACATTCTACATTAACCTTGCCTGCAAGCTGAATTCTCGCGGTATTTGTGAGTTCACAAACACTCGAGAATACATCTTGTACCGCTCCCGCTTACACTTTTCGAGTCGAACCACTGGGTGTGCGAGCCAATCACGCGCCAGTCTGGGGGTTTAGGGCGGGATATCCGGGTTTGACGAAAGCAAGAAGTGCCGGGCCGAAGCAAAACAAACATGGCTACGCAGGAGGACGGACGCGTAGCTGAGGCTATCAAGTCAGTTTTAGCAGAATCTCCAATTTCTTTTTTGAAAGATGAACAGCGAGAGGCGCTTTGTGCATTTCTGGACGGCAACCTTGGTAGGCGGGCACACAGCGTCACTTCGCCCAATCAGCTTGAAGTATTCTGCTGCTTATCCCTCCTTTCCCCGAAAGGATTCTCCGGGAGAAATCCCAGATTGATATCGTGGAGAACGCGTTAGAGTTCTACACAATCATCAATCTGGCTCTTGCCAGGTTAATTCTACATTCCTTACATTCCTTATATACAAATGAAGTTAGTTGACTCAATTCCCGAGATTCTGAACTTGACAACAGGGTACACCATGGCTCTATTGACTTGTGTTCATTATCTTTTTTTTTTAGTTTACTTTTGCACTGAAAATCCACAAAGACTAGCAAGGCAAAAGGTCAAACTAAGTTACAGGAAGGGTCATAATTGGCCTGTGTGCCTGAGTTTGGACATGAAAACACAAAACAGGAGCGCTTTCTGGTAAATTTGAGCCTTCTCTTGTTGAGAGTTGTTGCTGTTAACGTGTATTTGATTGATAAATTGCTCCTGGCATAACACAAGCTCATCTTCAAAATCACTTCATCCCTTTTTGAATCCAAATTCTCTGGTAACTCTGGTACAGCTTTAACCCCTGAAACTGAGAAATGATGTCTCACAAGTCAATAGTGGCCTGGGAGAACATATGATTGTGTGTTTATTCTGATCCTATCATTAAATGAGTGTGTTCTCTCCTACCAGCGAGAGGCTGAAGACGATATGGATAGTTATCAGGTACAACTGCCCCTTTAGGGCGCTCTGCAGCATGAAAAAAAAACAATTGTGTGTTTGAGACTTGTTTTGTTGTGGAGCAAACAGTCAATAATGACCTTATTAAATACCAGCTGTTTCCTAACAGTGTAATTATCAAGCACACCATTCATTCTCCACAAAATTCAGCAAAGACTTTGATCATTGCCCCTTGTTGTTTTACTAATGTTGCCGCTGAACACAGAATCACACAAACAGTGCATGACTGCATGAATCCTCACATTCTGCATGGTTCCAGTGCTTTTCCATCACCAGCTTCACAGTGTGGCCTATGCATTATTTACAGGAGTCATTCTAACTGGGTGGTGAGGCAAGGATGAAGTTACTTAGGCTTAAATTACTTTTTTTTACTGTGTAACGTCTCTGGGAAGATCGCCACCTGCTTGTTTCCATTCAGCTATTGCTTTTTCTGGACTGTTCATAGTTTAGCATTAAGCACTAAATATCTGTGTCTTTATACATAAAAGGGGAGCCTCCCCACAGACCTGGAGATGTCAGCCGTGTGCCTCCATAGAAAGAGATACATAATTATGACTCACAACTGTAAAAACGTCATATGTCACTTATAAAACCTCAAATTCAATGCTGTGAAATCTTTAGTTAATATCTTTAGATCTTCATATTATGTCATATTTCTTGCCTCTAATTAGTTTTGTGAATTCCTCCAGTGAAATTATGTTTTTTACAACTGCATGCCTTTAGACCACACCATGTTGTGAAATATGAAATGTGAAATCTATAACTTGAAGAATGTCTTTAGCATTATCTACTTACACTATTTCATATTCCAAAACAGGAAATGCCAACACAAATATTCTCAGATCGTGTAAAAAAGAAAAGAAAAAGAACCCTAATATTGCATCGTATGTCGTTGGAGACCAGAAGGTGGCAGACCCAGCAGAAAAGTTACATAGTTCACTTGAACATGATTAGAAATGATTTGCAGGATGTATGTGTTTTTAACTTGTGTGACATTATTGCGTGGGGTTTTGTGTGATTTACTAATATTTGCTGCCCCTCTTCTAGATAATTACCGGCCTGTATTTTAGCTGAGAATGAGGATTTATTTTTTGTCAACTCAGGAAGAAGATTTGAACTGTGTGCGAGAGCGGTGGTCGGAGGCCCTGATCAAACGGAGAGAATATCTGGACGAGCAGATCAAGAAAATCATGAACAAACGTGGTAAATCCTCAGTCTTCAGATCGTGTAAACGAGAGTCAGCTTTGGGGGAAGACTAATGTCCTTCTCGCTGCTGTATACTGTAGTGATCAGTGTTGGGGAAGTTACTTTTAAAAAGTAGCTTTTCTTGTTACCCACTTAATTTCTCTCTACTTTACTTTACTTTTGTGTTACTGTTGTTACGCCATTCCTGTTTCAAGCCCCCGGGCTGTGGTTGAAGGGCGCAGGGGAGATTGTTCGCTCTGGGGCCGAAGGGATTTTTTCCTCCCTTCACTGTAGTGACCCTCACAGTCAAAGTGTGGTGCGATCACAACAATACTCTGGACTGTTGCTCAAGAGTGGGGCTTTATTCTTTCGCCAAAACACAGAACTGAGCGTGAGTCGAGAGTGATCTAAGTGCCAGCAGATGCGTGGTCACAGCTCTGGCAGATAAAAAAATAAATTGTCGATAGTTAACGCATTACATAGTGATAAAATACAGGTATGGGTTTACCAACAAATGGGTCAGTTGGGTGATTGGGTGGAGGGGTCATGGGCATGTGGGATTGTTTTTAACAAAACCGTAAAGCAGTTTGGTTAAAAGTGTTGCATTTCTTGTATGAAAAAGGCTTTATAAATAACATTTGATTGATTGATTGATTGAGGTAAAACTTCTGAAAATAGAATATTGTTCAAATTTACAAGTCAGTTTTACATTTACTTCTGTATCTCTCTAATACCTGACAGACTTATCACACGATATTTCACCCCTGTGCCTTGTATGAGCCGTGTGTGAGAATGATTGGTCTATATGTCACAGAGGGGCCAGTGACATAGTGCGACAGGGTTCGTAATGCTCCAATAGTAGAACAAATTCCTGCTCTTTGTCTTATTCAAAATCCGTGATTTTATTTACACCGGTGTCAATGTTTGAGCAGCTCGGCCTACGTTAGGTAAATGAACATTACATTAAATTATAGTAAAAAGTAATTGTCAAGTTTATTTATATTGCACATTTAAAAGAGCCAAAAGTGCCAGACATAGATGGACAGAATTGTTTTAGCCTGGATTTGAACATTGCCAGGGTAGTGGCCCTTCTGAGATCGTTCTGGATTCTGGCTGCATGAGCCTGAAATGCTGACTCCCCGAGTCTCGTCCTGGCTCTGGCACCCGGATTATATCGATTAAAAAGGAGGTGAAAAAGAAACAAGGCCGCGCACTTTGGTATTCTGTCCTGGTATATCGCTTTTCACACTGCCTCTGCGAGCAAAGTCAGCGGAAATGTGACCAGACCTGAATGTGAAGGCCAAATGTTGTCATAGGAACTAAATAGGACAGAGCGTGGTTGGTATGGATAGATAGTACTGAGATAAGTATTTTTGAGCAATAATGTCTGCCGACAAACACAGTGGGTGTCACGGTGGTCTGAAGAGTCAGAGGAATATCAATTATTAATGGGAGACATCTTATGCACAATCCAATTTTGAGATTTTAACCACATTATGACATTGTTTTTAGATCCATCCTCACTATCCACAATTTTAGGAACTTCTAGCACAAAGATGTAGCTCCGCCCCTTCTGTCTAAAAGCTCCTGTCTCATTCCTGTAATAGTATGATGTCATTGCACCACTATGACATCACCCTCAGATCAGTTTTTTGTTTTTTTAAACAAAAGTACTGCCCACAGATTAGTTTTGGTAATTTCTCACACACATTCACATAGCAGTGGTTGCACCTGACTTCTTCTCAGTATTAGGACTGGCCAATAGCATTTACTCAGCCTTGATACTTGTTTTGCCACACATTTTCTACTTAAGAAGAAAGTAAATAATCTCATTCTGATTTTTGATAGCCAATGATAATGTGTAATATTTCTTTTGACAAAAACAACTGTATTTAACTGACAAGGGAAATAAATATACCATTGTAAAAATTGATGCTAATTGATTTTAGCATGTTATGTCCCCTAAAGTTTTGTCACCTTTATGTTCAGAAAAATCTGAGGAGGATGCTGAGCGTGAGGCCCGGCTGGTCGAGCAGTGGGTCGGTTTAACTGAAGAGAGAAATGCTGTTCTGGTGCCTGCGCCCGGGAGTGGCATCCCTGGAGCTCCTGCTGACTGGTAAGACCATGACCTAATACATTTAATGACAGCTGTGAGTTTCATCGTTATGACATCAGCTGGTTATTTCACATCCAGGACCCCACCTACAGGAATGGAAACACATATTCCAGTTCTCTTCTTGGATCTAAATGGTGAGTCAGTACCATAGACTGTAAATGTGAGTGTTCTAAAGTTTTCTATGTGTTAAATGCTAATATTTTTTTATTGTATTTACAGCGGACAATTTGACAATAAATGAACAGCTTTCTGGACCTCACGCCGCTGGTGTCAACTCAATTCTGCCTAAAGAGCATGGAAGCCAGTTCTACTATCTGCCCATCATCAGACACAGTGATGACGAGGTGCAAACCTTTACATTAGCACCCTCTACTGGTGGCTATAGTCATTGTTTTATTTTGCTATGGACTAGAGCAGCACATTTTATTCTATTCCAGTGGAGCCACCTGTGTTCTTCTCTATGTTAGCAGCCACAAGAGACTGAAACAATAATTACTCTGTTAACATTTCGCATCTTCAGTACTTGGTCACGTGTCATATATCGGTGTCAGACGATGGTAGGTGAAATCTAAAACAGCCAGGTTCTGGATTTGGACGATGCACAAGTCATCAGATTCTTAAACAACAAGTTCAAGCCCTGGATTATAAAGGCGATAAAGATCAGGTAGCAGGGAGACAACACCATCCACATGACAACGGGACATGGGACACCCTCGTCCAGAGTGCACCGGCGAGAGGGGGCGTGATCAGTCTGAGTGATGTGTCAATCAGGCTGACCACGCCCACTCAGAAAGTACCATCAGCTGATAAATGACAAGTCACCATAGTAGGTGACCATTTTGAAGATGACTCGCAGCTCTGCAGCCGAAACATGTGAACAAAGTAATAACATCTCAACCAGTAGTTGTCTTTCATTAAGAACCTGAAGCAGTAACAAGTCAAAAGCAAACCAACTGAACGCTCTTGGACTCATTAGAGGAGTCAATAAAAACGGTGACATGTTTTAGATGTGGCAAAGTTAGCCCCAACTTAGATTTCTTTAAACATTAATTGTTTCCTTTTACTGCAAGTTTTGTGATTGCATTAAACATCTGTAATGATGGTAGATGTAATTAATGACTAAATACAAATGTATAATGTCATATATTCTGGGGATCATCTTTAATCTACATAAGATCTACTGAATGTTGTTGAGCACTGCCCTCCTCCCTCCTCCAGGTGCTGGCTGTTTGCTCCTGGGACTCCTCCATCCATGACTCTGTACACTTGAACAGAGTCACTTCTCAGAACGAGCGTATTTACCTGATCATCAAAGCCACAGTGCAGCTCAGCCACCCGGCCTCCATGGAGCTGGTGCTTCGCAAGAGGATTGCTGTCAACATTTACAACAAACAGGTCAATATAGGGCACGAGCACATGCTATTCAAGTAAATGGTTCAAGATTTTATGTTTAATTTTTCTTCTAGAGTTTTACTCAAAGCCTTAAGCGCAGAATGTCTTTGAGGAATGCGCTTTTTACATGTGGTGTGATGTACGAGATCGTCTCAAACATACCAAAGGTTTGTCCCATATGAAATGTGAATAAGATTTAGATTTTTGGAAAACAGACAGACACTTTGTGTGGAACAGGCCTCAGAGGAGCCAGAGGAGAGAGAGACTCTGGCGCTCATGGCAGCCCGTGGGGACAACGAGGAGAGTCCAGACGGAGAAACGTACATAGAGAAATACACCCGCGGCATCCTGGAGGTGGAGAACATCCTGAGCCTGGAGAGACTTCGGCAGGTAACCACAGTTAGAAGCTTTTAACCACAACAACATACCTGTAGTAGATCTGAAGTCATGATAGTTTTGTGAATGTATCCAGTGAAATTACATTCTTTATAGCTGTGTACTGTCAATCATGTTAGATCCATGTTGAATATCATTGTAAATCTAGCAGAATTTCCAACTTCCAGCACTAGATGACTGTTGGCACATTCTCGCCATCTTTTACTCCAGTAGTCATGTTTATACACCTATCTTACTTAAGAAAGGAGTTCATATTGACATTTTATGCCAAAATAAATATCAACACACGTTAAATTTGTCATTTAAATTGTTTAAAATCTACACTCTAGAAACCTTGGCAGAATCAACAATATAGTGTCTGCACCAGACTTAGCACACAGGTTAGACTATTGTAACAGCCTGCTCACTGGGATGTCAGCTTTTCAGATTTATGTAGTTAAAATGTGAGACAGACTTCTTCTTTTGTGTTCAACTCCAGGTTAAGTAAAACCGTTCTGTTTAGCTGTGCATACAACTGAAGGATTTCACCTGCTCCTCTTAAGTTAAGCAGGTTGAGGTGCCTTGCATATGAATTGTGCCATACAAATAAACTTGCCTTGCCTTTTGTGAATTTGAACTGTATTTCTGTACAGGCTGTGACTGTGAAAGAAGCTCTTGCCACCAAGGGAAGACAGTTACGACGGAGTACCAGCACACCAAATGTACAACTTTTAATATGTAAAAACACTAGTGTCACATTTACATAATAAACAGAAAAGGTTCACTGTGGTTTTGTTGCAGACATCGTGTAGCAAATCTGACCTCACTGTCTGTGGCGACGAAGAAGAATCTAAGGTAAATAAAAACATTCATCATTATCAACAAATTATTTCTATGAATATCGATGAAAAGGAAATAATCCTGATCCATGCTGGTTACTCAGGGGCATGCTGATGCTGGGGACTGCTCCCAGGACGGCCCTGTTTGCACAACACCTGTGAAAGAGAAGGATAACCAAGGTAATGGTTGGATTTAATACCAATGGGTTCGAGCTTTGGGTAATGGCCGTAAGGACGAGATCGCAGGTACAAAAGGAGAAGCTCAGTCACACGGGAGGAGCTCGGAGTAGAGCCACTGTTCCTCCAAGTCCAGAGGAGCCAGTAAAAGTGGCCAATTACAAGACTAAAGGAATAAAAGCATTTTACTGCTTATTGCGCGCCATTTTCCTGTACACGCCACTTTGAGAAGTTTCACAATATAAGTAAACTCAAAAGACCGTTTCAAGACGAACCTAAAAAGTGTCTAACTTTAGAAGTACCTTAAATCAATATGTGTTTCATTGCGAGGAGATACTGCTTGGGACAACTTAATAGATTATTTAAAACATGTTCAAACTGTTTAAATTTAAGATGTGAGTCAAAAAAGGAGCTTTAAATAAGTACGTGAAGGAAAGGGAGTGATGCCTTCAGCCAGAGCGAGGTTTGGGAGGGAGGTGTATGGTCAGAGAGTGTTTGGGCCTGTGTCATGTGTGTGTGAGAGAGAGGGGTTTTCTTGGCCCCACCGCTTTTCAAAAGGTTTATTTCTGTTTGTTTTGTATCTTGTTCATTGTTTTGTTTTATATATGTTTGAATACAAATGATCAATATTACTAAATTAAATAGTAAGTTAGTAAATATTCTCATGATCATTTAAATGGGTCAGAATGAGCACTAATAATGTATAGTAATGAGTGTCTCTTGTTTTACTTCCTCCACACAGGACCAGTTCCAGACAGCCCCAGTTTCTTTATCTCCAGTCCTTTCAAAGTTCTTACCCCTCAGCCCAGTAAGTTTCTCAAGTCTCTGTTGCCGGTCAAAGAGGAAACCAAAGTGAAGAAAGCCTTGGAATACCGCCCTCTGTTAGGACAAGAGGTACGTTAACTCTATAATATTATATTCACACATGTTTTCATCCTCACGTACTACCAACCATCACATATTGTTCCCGGTCCTTCAGCCTGGGATGGTTTGCTCGTTTGGCTGCGGCTACACTCACGGATTGTAATAATCGTAATTGGCCTGAACTAACACTGAGTGCTTGGTCCTGTCACAATGACAAGTTTTGATGGTCCATAAATGGCTCCAGACAAATATTGCGAAAACAATCGGGATTCTGTGTAAAGACAAGATTACGGCATTACTGGATGAATTAGTTTACTGATTGTTCTTCAAAGTAATGCTTAGTATTTTACTGAACAAACGGGTTGTAAATATATAGCCTTTGTGTGTACTTGAGGGGTAACAAAACAAAAAAAGCATATTTGTAAGTATGGTAAAGTATAGTGAATTGTTATTAGTCCCTAAAAAGTCATCTTGAAAAAATGTTTAAAATTAAATGAAAGTATTATTAAGAATTGTGTCAATAATGAAAGCTTTTAGACTTAAAATAAAAAATCTAAACCCTCTGTAGAGGAAGTAGATCAAATCTTAATTTGCTTGGTATAAAATCTCTTAAATGGAGTTACTTAAAGCTGCACTAACTGACTTTGGGATTTTGAAGCCGCGGACTCGCTGGCCTCTCTCTTTCTGCTCCCCTCCCCGCACCCACGAAGCTATCGCCCCCACACACACCCACTGTTGGGACGAAGCTAGCGTCTCCCAATATGGATAATACATGGACATGGATTTGCACGTGGATGGCGTGACCATAGAACGATAGAACCGGGAAGCGCGGAGGAACGAGACTTTCTTTTGGATGACTGTTTCGCTAAGTAAGCAGTAACCGGTGATGAAGACACGAAGCTTCAGGTTAGCTCCTCGTCTTGTTGTGCTAACTCAGCCGTCTATGCTAACGACGGACCTGTAGATTTCTCACGAAAGTGGGGGCCAGTGGTCCGCGGTGATTGGTCACAATCTGCGACCCGAAACACATTCTCTTCCTTGTTTCATCAAAACTCGATCTAAAATATAATGTCACGCCAGCACAAATTTGCGCTACTTTTTCGTCAAAAGGACGTATATCCCAATGCACTACATGGACATGGATAGCATTTTCGTAATGAATACAAAAATAAAGTCAGTTAGTGCAGCTTTAAAGGACTCAAAGCCTTTTTTTTATTCTATTCTTATTCTATGTTTATATGATACAACATTATTCCTTATCAGTCACAATATAAACTAATAAACACTAATGTCAGAAACTTCTGGCACAAACATGTAACTCCGCCCCTTCTGCCTAAAAGCTCTCGTCTCAGTCCTGCAATAGTATTATGTCATCGTACCACTATTACATCACGCTAAGAGCAGTTTTCTACCCTTTAAAACATAAATAGTGTCCATAAATAAGGTTTGGGAATTTCTAATTAAAAATTATGTTCTTTACATTCACATGTCTATGTTTGCAGTATTTTTTTAATTTGAAAAAAAAACAAATTCAACTTCTTCTGCAGCATACATGTGGATGTTTTACTATTTATACTGTTATTAAAGTCTATACAAATGTACTTATTTAAACATGTGTTTTTGTCCATTTGATTCCAGTATATTATTATTTACAGCTGTAGATTATCTCAGAAGGCAGGAGTACAATAAGTCAATATATTACTTGCACTTGACTATACAGCATTTCCTTCTTTATAATGCTAAAGTCAGAGATTTTGTATTTAAGTCTCGCGTCTTCATCAGGCTAAATTTGGAGATTTTCATTATTATGCTAAAGATAGAGCTTTTATACTGCTTCTTTTCATCCTAGAGTTAGAGATTTTGTTTTATTTTATGATATTTTAGTATACAGTTATAATTTATCTTGGGGCTTTGTGCTCCTCATTCCTGCTGTCTGTAACTTGTGATGCAACACTGAAATGTCCCCACTGTGGGACGAATAAAGGATCTCTTAATCCTAATACAGTGATTATTGTGACAGGCCAAAGGGCTCTGAACGTAACACAAACCTCAGGGACACGTTGAGCTGTTGGACACAGTATAATGAAGTGCATGACACTAACTGACCTGCCTGCCCAGTCCCATGCATGCTGAGTGAGTGAGTGTGTGTTCTGACCATCTGCAGACTAGCATGCGCTCATGTGTGGACAGCGCTGCACAGCTCCACTGCCCCCGACCGCGGGCAGGGAGTGCGGGCAAGCCTCCCACCTCCACCCCTCCCTCCATCCTCCACAGCACGCCGCTCACTACCTCTGTAAGTAGGGTTCAATCATTTCACAACAAGACAGGGGCACAGCAACAATGGATGTGAAGATAAGTTCATAAGAGCTTGAAGTATGTTGTTTTGTTGTAAAAATTATTAAAAATAATAGTAACACTTTATCTGTATAGCACTTTTAAAAAGCAGTGTTTACAAAACCCACTTTTATCAGATAGCCTTTAAACTTCACATGTCGTATTTAAGTTAAATAGGTAAAATCTTCTAGCTCCAGTAGTCCTGACCAAGCTGAGCATCAACATCTGGAGATGGGTTCCCGGGCACTGTCCTGATGTAAGCCTTAGCGACATCAGGATGGGTCAAATGCAAAGGATGAATTGCCCTACGGGGATCCATAAAGTCAACCTTTACCTTTACCTGTTACTGATCCACTATGTCTTTGTTTTGTCTTTCTTGTTGTCTGTCTGCTTTATTTTGCTGTATTTCTTTTTTATTTGTTTTTAACTGTGCAGCGGTTTGTTAACACTGCTTTGTAGAAGTGATATACAGATAAAGTATTATTATTATTTGTATTATTTATCAAATCAATCATAACATATTATTTATCAAATCATGATTTGAGTCTACCACTAGATGGAAGAGTTTCATGACAACAGTGTTTGTCTTATTCTATTACACATATTTTTTTCATCAAATTTGTGCTAGTTTTTGTTTAAATAAAAAAAAAAGATAAGCATATTCTCACTTTAAATTAGAGAAAAATATGCTGTGCTTGAAATGTTGAAATGACGCTGAAGCTGCTCTTTTAAATGTTTGTTTGTTTGTCTTTGACTAACTAAACTAAAACATGACATGATGCAAAAAAGCCCAGTGACCAAACGATTAGAATCAGAATTCTAATCGTTCTAATCTAATTCTAGATCAGAATCAGAATCAATTTATTGCCATTTGCAGAAAAACTACATTGGAATACAAACAGGAGACACCGGGGGCACCAACACCACAAAGCACACACACACACAGACAAAAATAATAAAAACATTTGGAGGTGATCTAAATTGCCGTCTGGACGCAGGATTGTTTAAAAGGAATGGAAGATTTTGCCAAATTCAAGCAATTATGAACTTATTGACGTGTTAATGCTGGTGTTATTAGCAGGTATATTATTTATTGTATACTGTACATGCCTCTGTTTCATTACATCCCAGTCATTACTCATTGTTCGTGTGTTTGTTTTTTTGCTTAACTAATTCTTGTGTCTTGTTGCTTCATCGATCAGCCGGACTCTGAGGATGAGGAGACTAGCGCTGTCATCCAGAAATCGGACCAGAACCCTCAGGAACAGTCCAAGAGTTACATCCCAGAGGAGTTTGCTAACTTTGATATTTATAACGCCACTCTTGAGAGCCAAGAAGGACAACTGTCTGGAACTCTAGAGGTGAAAGACAGTCGCTGTGACGGGAGGATGGTGTCCCGGAGTCCCACCACAAGCAGCTGCACAAGCGGATATTTCTCCAACAGCCCCTCCAATGCCACACTGTCAGACATGCCTTTGAGCTCCAGCTCCGACCACCTCAGCTGCGGCGTCACGGACACCATTAGCTCTGCGAGTAAAGGTGTGGCAGCAGGAGGTGACACACAGCACTTACCTCCTCTCACTGAAATTACAACTCATGCTCCATTAAGTATTTCTGCCTCATCACCAATCAGTATTCCTAACTGCACAAACAAGGAGCTAGCAGTGCCTCAGAACTGTGTCCTCAGTGCCAGCCAGGAGTTCAGCGACTTTAAAGGAGCAGAAGACAGTCCTGGAGATGGTTTAGCACACTTCACAGAGGTGTGGGAACCAGCGAGGAACATCAGTGTTAAAACTAGTGACAGCAGCACTAAGACAGCATGTAGTGTCCCAGAACAAACAGAGGCTGCCCTAAAGATAGCGGAGTGTACACCAGTATCCTCCATCAAAGCCCCTCCACCTCAGCCGCTGAAATCCTCCGCAGCGCCCCCCTGTGGGCCTTCACCTCTCAGTGGAGGAGGGCAGCCACCAATCTGTGAGCCCGCACAGGGGGACCTGCCTCATGGGAGCCCCTGCCCCAGCCCAAACCCCAGCAGTGCAGAGCCCTCAGGAGACTCCAGTGGAGAGGAGAGCTCCCCCCTCCAGCTGCCTGACTGGATGGCCCCTGGAGAGCAGGTGTGGGTGGGGAAGAGAAGAGGAACGGTCCACTACGTTGGAGGTGTGGAGTTTGCCAAGGGAATCTGGATTGGCGTCAAGCTGGACTTGGCAGTTGGTTAGTAGATTACATATTTTCTACATGTAATGTTTATTTTTTTAACTTAATAACTCAGCAGCAAGTATCATTTTTACTGGGTGACTAAATGCAAATAACAATGCTTTTTTTCTGTCTTTTTCAGGTAAACACAATGGGACAGTCCAGGGAAGAGTGTACTTTCGCTGTCCCCCAGGATATGGTGTTTTTGTGAAGCCGTCGCGTCTTAGCAGAGGACCTCCGTCCACTGAGTCTGAGCTGCAGACCATAATTAGATAGGACCAAAGGCTGGACTGGACTTAGATCCAGGTCCAGGCCAATAGTAAGGAGACTTCTCTGATGATTGCTTTCTGAAGCATATGTTCTGTGCCCTCATTGAAGTACTAATACTATGCACATATGCTTTATACGTTTTCTACCGCTATATTTTCATAGCAAATATGCTCTTACACTATTGGTGCTTATGGACTACGCAATGAACAAAGTTCAACGCTATCTAGGAACAAAAAGTATTTTTGTATCACATCTAGAGACATTTTGGGAAAAAGAATGTACTACTGCTTTTATACATTGCTATATTCATCAACATGAGATATCAGGGGCAACCAAAGAACTGGTTCTATCTGCTGTTGTTTTGATAGCGTACTAATGTGTGTGATGCTTTGTGCCATACTGACGAGGGTCATGCCACATGCCCTGTGCGGACAAATCTAACATCTGAAAAGTGCTGATTGTTTGCAGTTGTTCATAATCCTATGGAAGTAGTATTGTTTTGGTGAGTACTGTGGACGAGTAGTACTATGTATGATATAGGTCCTGTTCTTTTGATGCTTGCACTGGAAAGAATCAGAAACTCTGATTTCTTGTAATAATGATCCGAGTGAAAGACTTAAGGCTCTTAGATTCTCTAATATAGAACTCTATGGTAATAGAGTAAAAGCCTGCACATACTGATGCCTTACACACGGGCTTTGAAAAGACCATTTGTATTTTAGACTTTAGTCACAATTATAACTCTCAGCTCTTTGGACCTGTGGATTTCATGAACCCAAAGGTTTTATCTCTTGATCTAACTACGTAAGAGTTCATTTGTTTGGTTTTTTGTGTCTTCACTTTATCTGTAAACAAAAAATTGTAAACTGTAACATGCAAGTGGTACGTAAAGATGCAATTCTACCCTTTATTAGTAGGGTTTTATCCTGAATCATGTTTTAGAGAAAAGAACATATTTTTATGAAAGTGACAAACTGTTGGGTAAAAGCTTTTCAAGGCTAAATGAAAGTAACCCAAGACTTTAAAGAAGGAAGCTGCTCTCCCTAAACTGGGCTGTACATTCATGTATTTGAAGATGATATTTACTATATTGTACAGGATTGTATTTATATTGTATCAAAATGAATAGAAATGTTTAAATCTCACTTGTGTCTGCTTTTTATTTGCTCTTGAACATAGTTGGTCATTCTACTGTCTATCTACTGTCTACTATAGAGACAATGCAGCACTAGTTACCATGGCTACACACTGTTTACTTGCAGCCCTTAGCACTTGGTCTTTAGAATAAGCCTTTCAACAAACTGCTGTTATATTAATTGTTTTAGCACTTAAAACGTCAGTGACGATTAGAAAAAAATATGTCTTTACTTTTAATAATCTGGTAGAAAACTAAACTTGTGGGAGTTTCTCAGTTGTCCATTGGCAGTCAAAATGACTCTGGGAGCTCTAATAGTTCCATGATTCTGGGAGTCTTGGTGTTCTTGAGAGTCCTGGGGAAGCTAATCCATTAATTTGAAGTAAAAATCCCTAATACCGTACAGTCAGATCCCATTATAATAAAGTGTATAGGTTTGATGAGGCTTTTAAAAAAAACAATGTTGGAACAGCTTTTCTATACTCTCAAGTAAAGTCAGAAAAGGTAACAAACAACAAGCCCAGGCTTTTTTAAGATCCTGAATTAGCTGGTACAAAAAATAAAACACAACTAAAACCATTCTGATAATTTGCTTCTGTTAGCCTTCACGATCAGCATAAGGTTCTTTTTGCTAGAACAACCACCATCAGAACGCTTTTGCATACGAAGATATATACTCTTACAACTGTATCGATGTATCTATATAGGGGGCCTCATGCTGGGGCCCAAACCCATGGTAACCGAATCCTTTCCTCCGGCCCTTTCCTCGTCAGTTGTTGTGGCAGCTGCAGGACAGTTGTCAGCCTGGTCCAGTGCCGGTGGTCCTGTCCTGTCCCGTCCCGTCCTGGGTAGAACTCTGATCCAGGACGGACTGTGACCAACCCCCCTCCTCCTCCTCCTCCTCCCCCCCCCACCACCTCCTCCTCCCTGCGGCCTCCGACTGCAACAGGTGCCCTAAACTCAGTCCAAGCAGAGCCGCGGGGGGAACGCACACTTTCTCCCTTAACTGTTTGACTTGACTTGACTTGGGACAGATCTGCTCCGCTCGGCACCATGCACTCGGCCCAGAAAGACACCACGTTCACCAAGATCTTCGTAGGAGGACTTCCATACCACACCACCGACTCCAGCCTCAGGAAGTACTTCGAGGTGTTCGGAGACATCGAGGAGGCGGTGGTGATCACGGACAGGCAGACGGGCAAGTCCAGAGGATATGGATTTGTAAGTGTGTTTGTGTTTGTGTCTGTGTGTTTGCTTTGATCGTGTTTTGGTCAAAATTGTTTACAACACGTGACTGGTGAAGCGAATGTTCTACAAAGTCATTCAAACTGGACCCCAGGAACCAATTTATTTCAGACATCAAAATTATAAACGCCAACTGTATATTTTTTGTAATGGACATCCTTTTTTATTTTTATTTTATTTTGGAATTTCCCAATTACACAGACTATTAAAAAAAAAAAAGTTATTCATGATTCCTTTTCTGATTCAAAGGTCAGGCAATTAAGTTTATTTGTAAAGCACAGTTCCTACACAAATAAACTTTAAGTGCTTAACACAGTAAAGCATTCCTAACCAAATAATCACATGATTATTTGGTTAAAGATAGCCAAATAATCTACATTAATAAAATTAAAGCTAAGATACCCAGCTTTCAAAGCACATGTATTAAAATCCATCGAACGATATCCTTGCTCTCAGTTTGGTAGTTTGGTCACTAGTTTTTACATTCATGTATTTTATTAGTTTTTCATACAGAAAAATGAAAAAGACCAGACATCCCTCACCCAGAGCTCAGCCTAAAGAGTCAAATAATTACTCACAGGGATTTTTCTTATGTATGTATGTTTTCTAATGAGATGAATACGGCATGTTGTGGTCTTACTTTTACAAGCCTATTTCCATTGTTGCAATGTATATATAAATGAATCATCAAGTTTTCCCAAGTCCAAGTTAAATATACAATCTCAAAAACTAGAAAAGAAAAAAGCAATCTCAACATATCTTGACCTTTATGTACTGAACATATGCCTCCCCCTGGCATATTAGTGTGTTGTCTATTATTGTATTCTTGTTAAACCTTGTAAATATAAATGTTGTAAATCTTTGTGATATGAGGAGGGTTCACTTCCACGTTAGCTGCGCCTAATACAATTTGTTTTTGGTCTGTAATTTCTCCAATAATTTATAATAACAAATAAATGTGTAGTTTTCTAAATGCAATGGCCTTATACAGGGCTAGTTGTCTACCCCACCCTCCCTCTTGTCCTAAAAGGCAGAACTTTGTGGTCATGATAAAGTTACAGTTTGTAGCTCATTCTAATGGCATAAACATGGAACCTAAATGAGATATGATTAGAAAAATCTTATAGAGAAATCTGATTTTTTTTTTAAAACAATTAATATTTGAAATAAATATATGCAAATGTAATCCAAATTGTCTGCTCTAAATAATCATCAATACTGAAACAAATAGGGTTAGGAAATATGTTGATTGGATTCAAAAAGTCAGTGAAACATGGAATTTCTTTATACATTTATTTGACCATTTGACCATTTTACATTTTTTTTGTAGGTCACTATGGCGGACCGGGCCTCTGCTGACCGAGCTTGCAAAGACCCCAACCCCATTATAGATGGAAGGAAAGCCAATGTGAACTTGGCCTATCTGGGGGCTAAACCCAGGGTCATACAACCAGGTCGGTGTCTGAGAGTAGAAGTATTGTACAGTCATTTATATTTGTCAAACTTGTGCACACCAAAAGACCAAAAACAAATGAGACACAACTTATAAACTGCAATACACAGTTTGAAACAGGGCTTGATGGAGCAGACATTTGATTTAGATTCAAACCAGTCCTGCTCGTACAACACAAAGTGCACACACACACACACACAAAGAGACACCCTCACAAATACACATACAGACACACACCCGGATACAGACACAGACGGACTGAAACACACAGGCACACATGGATACAGACAGACAGGCAGACAGGCAGACAGACAGGCGGACAGACAGGCAGACAGACAGGCACACAGACAGGCACACAGACAGGCACACAGACAGGCACACAGACAGGCACACAGACAGGCACACAGACAGGCACACAGACAGACACACAGACAGACACACAGACAGGCACACAGACAGGCACACAGACAGGCACACAGACAGGCACACAGACAGGCACACAGACAGGCACACAGACAGGCACACAGACGGACACACAGACGGACACACAGACAGGCACACAGACAGGCACACAGACAGGCACAGACAGACAGACACACAGACAGACGCACAGACAGACAGACGCACAGACAGACAGACGCACAGACAGACAGACGCACAGACAGACAGACGCACAGACAGACAGACGCACACAGACAGGCACACAGACAGGCACACAGACAGGCACACAGACAGGCACACAGACAGACACACAGACAGACACACAGACAGGCACACCCCAAACACTCTCTGACCCTACACCTTTCCCCCATCACTCGTTCTGTTTCATCTTTGCTAAGTTTTGTGTGTATTCAAAAGAAACACAAAACCTCCATAGTATGGCATTTATCTTTGTAAATTCTAAATCACTCGTCTTTCATCCTTCAGGGTTTGCGTTTGGCGTCCCTCAGATCCACCCCGCCTTTATCCAAAGACCTTATGGGTAAGTTCTCTCTGCACAATTCCAAAACATAATACTTTTTTGTCTCTGTTCAAACTGCCATAACGTTGTTTTTCTCCAGTAGCCTGTAACTTCAGTGTTGACTCGAGCCTCGAACGTTTGGGCAATATTGTGCAACAGCATTTCTGACTGTGTCTTTCTCTGGCAGGCTCCGTAACGGTTAAAATAGCAGATGAAAAGAAGGGACTTGATGGTTTTCGGAATAGCAAAGTGTCACCTGTATACATACAAACGCACTGAAATGGTGACTAGTTGCATGGGAGTCGTTTTTATTTTTTTTCCAGTTTTCTTCTAGCTCATAGACTGGTGTGTGCACTGTTTTCAGTATGAAGTGGTGTTCAGTTAACTTGTGTGCTTTATTCTTATTTGCAGTGGGGGAGAATTATCATTGTGGGTTTTTTTTTTTGTTATTTTTTTTTTCCAAAGTCCTACACAGGCAGATGAACAGTAACTTTGCGTTGGGATGTTGTTTCTCTTTCCCTATTTTTATTTAATTTTATCTAAATTAATCGATTTTAGCTTCAGCCCAGGCTTTGTTCTTTTCCCCTCCCCCCTCCCAAAAAGTGTTTGTTAACATTTACATTGATTGCGTTTTGTTGTCAAAAGGGGGCTTGTTTTAACATGATCCGGTACTTTTTTATGAAGATGTGGTCCCCTGCAACAAAACGAAACTGGCTTGCATGTGAGCGTTTCTTTTGTTTCTTACCAATGATGGTTTGTTTTCTTTCAATTAACCCTGTGCTCTTATAGCTTTGTGTAGAGGCAAAATGTCGATGAATAACTACTTTACTACATTATAAAAATAGGTATGAGCTGTTCTAGTTGTTGTCCCTTGACACACACACACTTCAATTCATTTAATTGAGACACCACTACTCCCCCCTCACTACTGGCACCACGATGCATGCTTATTTAATCAATTTTTCCATTTTGAGTCTGTGATACGTGAACAATATGGCAGGATTGAGCAAAAATACTTGCTCAATGCAGAAAGTTATTTTTCTGGAGTCAGCAAAAATCCAAAATAAAATTGGTGTTGAAAAGATGACAAAATGTGAAAAACTTCTAGTTATATGATTACTTTACAATGAGTGACATATGTTATCACAGACAGAAGCAGCTTTCATCTTCTGCTAATGTACACAGGCTGGTGTATACACAGCCACGTAATGTTACGAGAATATGCCGCAGTAAACGCTTACGCCAAACGTCTCCTGTGTAAATTCCCAGATTCAAAATTACAGTATATAAGACAATGAAACAGTGGTTGGCACTCTTGCTTCTCAAGCAAGAAGGTTCTGGATTCGATACCACCTCCAAACTGGGTCTTTCTAAGTGGAGTTTGCCTGTGCCTGCCTAGGTTCCCTCTGGGAGCTCCTATTTCCCCTACCACTAAAAACATGTATAACAGGTATTATCCTCCAGCTCCGGTCCTGACCAAGAGCATCAACATCTGGAGATGGCCCCTGGTGCTGTACTACTGCGACCACTGCTCCTGACACAGGCCCCAGTGGCATCTCTGCAGGATGGGTCAAATGCAGAGGACTATTTTCCCAACGGGTGTTAGCAAAGTGTACCTTAAACTTAACCTTAAACTTAACCTTAAGCTTAACTTTAACCTCATCAATATAATACCCAATAAGTTGCACCCTTTTTAAACACGAGCCTGGGTATGTTATTTATTCTTGCAACAAATCCGAATCAGTTGATCATGGTTTAAATTTAGTCCAACTCAAAGTTTACTGGAGACATAGATCTTATGCAGTCACGCAGCAGCTGTCGGCTATAGTGATCTCTTAAGGCCTCTCAAATTCAGATGGAAAATAGGAGTCGGTCAGCGCAGTTAATAATGTATGGCACAGACAGAGCCGCTGGCCCTGGACAACAGGTGGGACAAGGCCACGCGCCTGTTTGGTCAGCCCGTCCCTTTCGGGGGATTACCCAAGCTCTCCCACAGATGTACAAAGCACTTAAATTTAGATTGGGACATGGAGTTCTAGCAAAAGCCCTCACCTTTCTACTAGATATTCTAATATACCCACAGTCATGCTGAATATAAACTTGGAAAAAAATACATGTCTTTTGATTGGGACAAGGCTTGAAACTGTGTAACCCTGTTTGCATAATACATGATGCAAATTGTCTCCTGTTACTCTTTGCAACGTGAGCTCGGCATCTAAAAAGCGTCCTTTTGTCAAGCATCTAACCTCATCAGATTAAAACAAACCACCATACGAGCGCTTACGTTTTGTAGGTTAGTGGTATAGCAGGCCATTACAGATGAGGGGTGTTGTGTCATGTGCGCTGAGGGAGATCGGCCTGTCCTGCAGATGACAAGGGGAGCAGAAATAGCATGCCTGCAGCCTCCCTTGTCACTCAAGTTGGCATGTGCCTGTTTGTGTGGGGGTGCACGTCTGCCAGAAGCAAGCGGATCTGTGATAAACCCAGATCACACTTTCACACCCTTAAACTCCACCGGCGTGTCGCTTGAGTGGCTCTTTAGGTTATTTGAAATGTTGGGTGAATTATAAACAACATAGTACAGTTGTCCACACTCACTTTTACTTCTACTTACTCTGCTTTTTGTTTCTAACCTGTAAAATGTGGCATCTTTCTGCTGCCTACTTAATCCATGCAAGATCTTGTTGAAACTGGGAAATACAATGGGTCAGTGTCACTGGCTGCAATGAAAGTGACTCTGCCATTGATTCGTGCTTAAAATCAATATTTTGAAGTGTTGCTTTGTTTGAGATGGACATTTTCATAACATGTGTGAGCATGTCTATGTGTGCTGTTGCTCTGAGGGTTTGTGGACAACAGGACCACTTTTATTTTTGGTTTTATGGTTTGATATGCGGTGGGTGTCATGCAGGCAGCATTTTGTGTCGCAGAGAGTTGAGTGACTCTGGGCTCAGGCTGTGCCTGTGCTCTTCTTAATGGCCTTCTATGTCACATTTCAAGTGCTTCTGGGATTAAAGCTGCACTTTTCCTTTGTTTTGCCGCTTCCCTAACAGTATATTTGTAGGTAGGGATTTTTTCTTTTTAATGAATGGTTTTGCTGTGTCACTGGGGACTGGATTGCCGTATTGTGGCGCCTGAGTTCAGTGTTTCAGTTTAGTTTGTGTTTTAGTGCGCGAGTGAGGCGTCTCTGTGACCTGCTGCTGACTCTATGTGTTCCTCCAGGATCCCTGCTCACTACGTGTACCCCCAGGCCTTCATGCAGCCCAGTGTGGTCATCCCTCACGTCCAGCCCAGCGCCTCCTCGGCCACAGCTGCTGCTGCCACTTCTCCGTATCTGGACTACACTGGAGCCACGTATGCGCAGTACTCTGCGGCCGCCACTGCTGCAGCCGCAGCCGCCGCAGCCTATGAGCAGTACCCGTACGCCGCCTCACCTGCGCCCACAGGGTACATGACGGCAGCCAGCTATGGGTACACTATGCAGCAGCCTCTGGCCACGGCTGCCACCCCAGGAGCCACAGCTGCCTTCAGTCAGTACCAGCCTCAGCAGCTCCAGTCCGATCGCATCCAGTAAACGCCTGACTGTAGGGAAGAACTGAACGTTTCACTGGAGCAGTATTCATCACCAGAACATGTTTAGATGTTTTAATATTTATTTACTCCTATGTAAGTTAAATATAATTCAGACGTATGAGATTTGTTGGCTCATATTGCTGAACTAAGATGTGGTATTTAAAACAATGTTTTGGAATGTTATAAATCAGATTTCTTCCTGCAGCACCACCTTAATCCAGACGAAGCAGTGAAAAGGTCTGTGTATATATTGTATGTATGAGTAATCAGCCCTTAGTTGTAATTTCAAGATTAAGTTATTGTTCCATGTCCTATTACTGTATGGAAAGTTAGTTTTGACACATCTGAACGTGCCTTTTAAATTAATCTATTTATGTATTTATTATGAGCCTTTCAGAACCAAAAGCTGGCGTTCAGGTGAGAGGTGAAGCTTTATGAATGTACAAAGAACACACGTTTTCCATCTTCTTTTCATAGCTCAATCTTAATCCTTTTACTATTCCTTTTATACGGTTTGCAAAACTGTTGTGAGAAACTTTCCATGTTTTAAAGCAAAGTCAGCTTATTCTTTGCCATTAGTAATGCATGACAAAAACATTGAGTATTTTGTTAAATAAAAGAAAATATATTCTCAATTCTTACTTTTTTTTTGTTAACACATTTAGCTACAAACGGGGTCAACAATGAAATTAAATGTATATCGATGGATTTATTTTTGTTGAAACAAATGTCAACAAGGCAAAGGTTGAGTTGATAAAGATGGGCTACCTAACTAAATCAAACGATGTAATAAATCTATTTCGTTCCTAGATATCAAACGTTTTTTATACATGTTTTGATTTGTTGATTAGTTTAGTGATTGCAGGGCTCTTCCACAGCAATTAGTTCAATAATAATGTAGCGCTTGACATTAGTTGCCCCATACTGTACATAGCAGTGGTAAAGTAGTAGCCACAGCTGCCCAGGGGCACACTGACCAACCTGCTCAATCTGACCACCAGCATCCATCCATCCACCAACTCAAACAATGCAATAGGAAGTGTCTTGCCTAAGGACACAAACATTTGACACTTTACTGCCCCACCCTCCCCACTGTGGCACCCATAGTGGTCTCCCATCTCACTACTAGCCAGGCAATGTCCTGCTCAGTTGAGGGGATCAGGCTTTCACATGCAGCTGCAAATATAGTTCACACAATTTAATTTTTATTACACTTTATCTGCTGGGACAAATAACATGTTTACAACTACAGGCCTACAGAGAAGCTGGGGGAACTTCAGCAGTGTTTGGTGGAGGATGAAGTAAATAGGAAAGGATGGATCAAATCAAGGACAAATAAAACTTTAAATAAAATGTCTTTTCATAAAACCTAACCATGAGTTTCAGGAGGATAAACAAATGTTGCTATAGTGATTATTCACCATAGCAACATAGTGTATCTTTTGAATGGGGGAAATGGGCGACGTGGTAGTAGCTGGGTTGGGGTATCTCAAATTCTAACATGGAATGTGTTCTGGCAAGAAATGAAAAACTAATCAGAGAAAACGAGTCTTTACAATTAGCAATGAAGCATTTTATGAAATCCAAAATGGGGAGCCAACATCAGAGGACCAGCAAGCACACCCGGGAGGAAACCACAAGGCCAGGTTGGATTTGAACAAAATCTTTTTATGTATGTTAATTTTTGAGCATCTTGTTTACATCGAAACAGCTAAATGTACGACTAGTAAGTCTCAAAACACGTATATATTTAGTGAGAAATGTATTGCAACATTCAGTGCAGTGTTTTTGAGCCAAGCCAAATAGTGAACGCATGGAGGTTGTATTTGTGTTTATTTATTTGTTCCTTTCATGAAAATGCTTTGTTCACTTGTTCACATAATAATAGTTACATACATATTCTAAACATTTACATGAAGGAAAGGAGCAGAACTTTTTTAATTGAAAGATATTTTGACGTTTTGATTCATTTTCCTGAGCATTCCACAGTTTTACACCTTTAACAGAGAAGCACATTTGTTTTAATGTTGGGATTAATGAAGCCTTTATCTATCCATGTTAAAAATAACAGTTTAAAAAGCAGGAAACTTCGCACATCCAACTCTGACAGGTGCGTACGAGCAGGCTCCGCACACAGCTTCCCCAACTTGAAAAAGAAAATAACTCTTGCACACTGTACTTTTAACAGATCTGCAATGTTTCGGCCGTAGACCTTAGTTGTCTGACGAAGGTGTATGCAAGTCCCATGTGCGAGAGTTAATTTCTTCTTTTTTATTAATAACAGTTTCAAATCGTACATATTGTCCCTTTGAGACGTGGTTTTGACCTGAAACACACTGCGTTAAAAGACACTATTAACATTCTGCCACAGAATATAAATGACATGTTCACCTTCCCTTGCTGACTTCTTCCAAACAAGCGGAATTCTGTTAAATAAGTCACTGTTTAAATGTGTTACATTCATGCACCATTGGGGACCAAAACCCTGATCTTGTCTAGGGCCATGAATGCCTAGTGCCGGCCCTTCTTATAACAGTCTTGTCCTCTAACTATCTTGCTTCCTGTTAGTGCCCAGAGTCAGAACTAAACATGGGGAAGCTGCATTTCAGATTCATGCTGCTATAATCTGGAACAGTCTTCCTGAAGATGTGAGACAGGCCTCCTCTCTGACAATGTTTAAAACCAGGTTAAAGACAGTTCTGTATAGCTGTGCATACAACTGAGGGATTTTATATTTTTATCTTTCTTTTTAATGTTCTGTGATTATTTATGATTTTAATGCTTTCTTGTTTTGTTCAGCACTCTGAATTGCCTTGTGTATGAATTGTGCTATACAAATAAGTTTGCCTTGCCTTGCCTTCTTTTAGTTGATTCACGCTCCTGGACTGAGCCACTGTCCAGCAACTCCAGCGAGAACCAGTTCAGAGCCGGTATACAGCCACATCGAGCTTCTTCTCCGGTCAATCTAAAAACAATTCTGGAGAGTGACAGTGATGTGGAAAGTAAAGACACAGGATACAGGAGCCAAAACTCTCCCCGGGGTAAAGGTGTGTTGAAACTGTATATTGTATATTAAACTGGGATGTTGTGTTCAATGAGGTTGGGGACCGATAAAAAAAAAATATATAGTCAGTTTCCAGCTCATTTTTTGCATTTAGGTATTTTGACAAAAGGAACACTTTTATCAGTTACTTTCTGGTAGCTTCTTCTGAAAATTACAGTTTTTGTTTTGTTTTTTAATTAATCCAAAATGTAACCAAAGTAAAGAAGGCTTGTAGTTGTAGACTGATGAAAAACATGAAATATTTAAGAATTTGCAAAATGTTGGGTTAACATTTCAATATCATATCAAAGTATGTGGTAGTTGTCCATAGAAAATGTGTTTTAAAATTAGGTTAACATGCCAGGATAGCCATATCAACCTATTACTTTTACACGTACCAATTGAGAATTGGTTCAGGGGCCACTAAACATGTCTCTTGTATTTGACACATGTGGTTTAGCTTTTTGGTACCTTTCTACTGTACATCTGTTGTGTTATAATCCAGGCTCATGGTTTGAAATGGTCAAATTCAGTTTTACAATAAGTTTGCCTCTCATCAAAACAGAAATTAAGTCTTAAAAACAGAATCATTGTGGCACTGTGAGAATAATGCTTCTTAACTTGCACCTCCACAAACCTGACTCGTACATGGCCTAGAGGAAGAAGTTACCATCCATCCATTTTCTACCCTTTAATCCATTTCTGGGTCAGGAAGAAGTTACCCATACTTATAATATGGGTATTATAAATTTTGGAATTTTTGGAATGTAGTAGTTGGTGACAGATTAGAGAGTGTATTATTATCTCATTTATGAAACCAATCAATTGTTCTCTTTCCCTCAAATCAAACACTGAATCAAATATACTTTATCTTCCAGTGTGACTAAGTTTTGTTGTCTTTATTTTCTACAGGACAATTGGAGAAGCTGCTTGGTGAGATTGCCTATCAGTTAGACAGGAGGATTCTTTCCCACATGTTTCCACAAAACATCAGGTTCTATGGATACACTGTGAGCCAAATACCCACTAAGATTTTTGAGGTGAGAATGCTCATTTTTTTCCCCATTAACAATGATGATTCAAATTATTATGATTCATTTTAATACTAACTCCAGTACTGTCTTGTCAGATGTCTTGTCAAATTGACACTTCCAAATGTAATTTGGGAGGCAAAATTATTCAGCTCTTGGTCTTCATAACGTGACCTTTTCTCCAACTGTGTGTAGTTTATTTGTCAATGCGATTTATTAAATGATCTTTTGTTTTTAAAATATGAGTAATTCTACATTTAACTCCCAGAGCAGTAATTTTCCACCAGAGATAAGCGGGTGCTAGTTACCATAGCAACACACTGTTTGCTTACAGCAGTTAGAATTTAGCCTTTAGCATTAGCCTTTCAGCAATTTTTTTTTTTGCTGATTTCAAGTTGTGTTCACAAGGTTTTAACTCTTATTTTATACATTTAAAAACATTTAAAAGCTGGGATACCTAACTTATATTCAATGTTGTTTGTCTCCCTGTGACCAACCAGACCACAACACACTGCATATATCTTACGAGAAAACGTTTTATTATTATCAGTATTTGACGCTTTGGTCGGAGAGCTGATTGGCTGAGTGATGGTGGTCCTTCATTGATCCCTTTTCTGTCTGAAAAATATCATCTAAAGACGTGACAGAGGTTAAGAAATACAATACTTTAAAACTAGTGATAGAACCAAACTGTTTTGGGAGGAATAGTAATTGTTATTTTATTGCATAGTTTTATTAGTGTGGTTGAAAAGTTAGGTACCCCAGCTTTAATATCGACCTCATTGAAAACAATTTGTGCAAAGCTTATGATCTTCGTCTGTAGGCCTGCACCCATCCTCTGACTGGAAAAGTGGACGAAGATTACAAGATTTTCCTGCAAAAAAGATACCAAAGCCTCCAGGAGATGCTGCGTCGTAAGGGATACATAATCACACTCCATCCTCACTTTTCTGAATTCATCGTCAACAGATTTGGGATTCTGGGCGCGAGGCCTGCATGCGGGAGCTCACTGGCCACGGACTTCGAAAACCCCTTGTATCTAAAGAGCGTCATAGAATCTACGGCTCATTTCAAGCTGCAGAAAGACCTGATGATTCTGCTGGACTGCCTCTGTGAAATGGCGGAAAAGGACGCCAAGCCCGTGTTCTTGTGGTAGAACAACCCAGAGACTTACCATCATGAAGAAGAAATAAAAAGACAAAAATACCAACCGAGTGGAGAATTGAACAGTTGGAACACAAAAAATGCAACAAGAAACACAAATGGAGACACATCCATCCATACAACATGCTTCCAAAAGTTACTAACAATAGCAATGCAACAGTACATCAGCAGAGGTGGTGTAGCTGCTGAGATGCTTCCTATCCTCTGCTTGATGTATGCTGTGTCTGCTTGGTTCGGACCAACTATTTTCTCTATTCTGGTTCAGAGTGAAATCCTGAATGCCTTTATTAGCATCTTTAAAAGTGGAATGACCAATGTCATAAATGTACATAAATATCCTTCAACCCTCCTGCATTGGCAAGAAAAAAGTAAAAAACCCAATGGGGGAAAAAAACTAAACTCAAAATAACTTATATGAGAGACATTCATCCATAATAAACACAGCCATACACATAAAGACTCAAAAGTTATGATATAGAAAAGACACTAAATTAAATATACAGATCAGGCTCTTTGTCATCAGCGAATAGAATGAGTACAATCCAAAAAGAAAAAGCATTGCAAACTCAAAAAATACGGATGGTACTGAAGGGTTATCATTCCATTGTTTTGGCCATTAGAGATTTCGTCAAAAACATTTAGTTTCCTTTGCATTATACAATTTCTAAGGAATAGTGTAGGGATATCAAATTAGTCATGAGTTTTAATTACTCCATGAAGAAGTTCCCTGTGAGACTATACAAATGACAGCAAATGAAAACTGTAAATATACTTTTCTGAGGAGGCTTGTTACATCTTGGAATGTCCTGCAATATAATATCACATACTGCTCACGATACTAAATTCTTACCGTTTGTATGAACTCTAAAGAAGTCTACTGTGAAGTCACTCACTTTTCACCAATATAGACTTTTGCCACTGCCCTACTGTCGGTGTAAAAACTGCAAGTCGTACTACACATCACTGTAGAAAAATCAATCCTATACTTAAGTAAAAGTAAAGTAAAGGACAAGCCTGTATATGTTACGTCTATTGTAAAAAAAAAAAAATATTGCATTTAGTTTTGTTCAGTAGTAACACATACATTTATTTATTTAAATCTTTTGCAGTTGCAGATTTCAACCTTCATTACACACTCAGTCTTCAGCTGACACTTGAATGCACTCAGTGTTGGAATTAGCCAGTGTTTTTCCATTTACAAGGAGCATTATGGGCTGCATCCGAGATTTAGGAACGACAATAAAATAACGAACTACGGGGATTGGAATAAATTAGACATAAATGAAGGTGCCAGACTTTGAAGCAAAAGGGTTTTAAAAGTAAGCCTGAAGTGAGTGCCTGACGTGGGTAAGTTTTGGAGCCAACTAAGACCTTGGGCGCCCTCTGCTGGCAACTGTAGGATGTTGCCAAGACATCAAGGCAATGGTCGTTTGGTTTAATTATCATGTCTCATGCATTTTTGTAAGTATTAAGACCTTAAGAATATACACAAATACTATTAAAAACATCTCTGATCTTTTTACTTTCACACTTTAACCCTTAATGTTCAGTCCTTGAAGAAAGCCACTTAAGCAAGCACATTTTTTAAACCCTATTTTTTTTATTTTCATCATAGGCGTTTACCAAATTTGTGTTTGATGATAAAAGTGTCTAAAACCATGTGATAGAGACGTCCTCAATGAGGTAGCAAGTAGATAAAGTGACTCAAAGAGTGAGCAACCGAATAGTTAATATAGATAAAGATGACTTTCTTACTTACCATTAAACCATGAAAGGGTAATAAAAATTTGTCATTATTATTATTTCTTCTATTTGGACTACATCAACCACATATTAGGTCTTCCTCATCTGTTACCTCCACTTAAGTCATTATAATACTAATATTACATGACTAATATTTACAGTCTCATTACACGTTCTGTCTGTGAATGAGCAGTGGGCGGGGCTTAGCAGTCTCCGGTTCAAAACATCCGCATTTCCCTCTCTCTGGACTTTTCAGATGCCCCGCGGGCTAAACGTGAGCTCAAAAACTACCTCCACGTTGACTGAAAGCTGCAGACGTAACTTGCTTCTACTGCAGGTAAGAAATATACCCTGCAAGAAATACAGAGTTGTGTTTGTGTGACGTAGCTAACGCCATCTGCGCGGGACAGGTGACCGCTGCTAGCGCCGATTCTGATCCAGACCTGACTACTGCACCGCACTACGAAAAACTACAATGTTATACGTGTCTGATGTCGTCATAACACTTTAGACATAAAAAAACCTGTAATGTGTTCAGACTGGGCAGTGGTTGATGTATTCATGTATGGATGTAGCGTGTGTCCTGTATGGGAATGCTCACTATATGTCCCTTTAATCTGTCTAATCTATCATACTAACACATTTGGGTGAGAATAGGGCTTCAAGAATGCTGCATGTGGAAAGAAAGCAGATTTTACTTGGTTTGGAATGGGAGGTTACATCATTAAAAAAGCCAGCATGACATTTGGCTCAGTCTACTCTACTCCATTGGCTCCCTCCCAAGCTGGGGGCTGCAGAGGGATTGCAGAGGTGTCCTTCTCAGAGCCTTGGCTGGACAAAGCATCATCATCGCTAACATTTACTGCCAATTAAATGACAGTAAATCAATGGGAGGACACTTATTAATGGTATATATGCTTGTTATAGTGAAATGTATATGATGCATTGATAGGGGCAGCTGGTTTGGACAGGAGTGGCTCTGCGAGGGATTTTGCTTTGGAGGAGGAGGAGCAGGAGGCAGTGGGGTGGGGGGTCACTATTCAGCTCTTTTTAAATGGAGAAATGGTTGGATCTTCAAATAAATTGTGATTGGATTTTGTTTCAACGGGATAATGTTCCAAGTTCACATTTTGTCTTGATGTAACCTATTATTTGAGAGAAAGCTGAAGCTCTTTACTGCACGCACTCGGATCAGAATTGGCTGGAAGGAATTAAGGAAAGAGCCTGTTCAATAAGTAGTGTCTTGATTTGATTGACATTATATATAAAAAAGCTGATATTATAATAAAAAAGCTAATAATGGAATTAGGAAATTACTTACTTCTATATATGATTTTAACATAATTAGGTCTGAAACAATTATTGAGAGAATCTAACAATCAGTTTGGAAAAGGCTTCTATTATAATGTATTGCTTCAATTAATCAGTTGATTTATAGACCAATATGTGAAGCTGTTACAAAGACTTTGTACAGGAAAAAGTTAAACCTTTTTTTACACTTCTCAAATACAGAAGACATGTGGTCTCACTGAAACCCCCAAAAACCTTTTTTATTATCAAATTGACGCATATTGTACCAAACTACTATTTAGAGATGCACAGTATTGCCTAAAAATAAAAATACAATATTGTCATCGCAATCATGGCAAGTGCAATTGCAAAGATGTGCAATACTATACATGATGCTTTTTATTATTATTTTTCAACTCCTAATCTAAAGAACAAAAACAACATGGCAGGACATAAGAAAACATTCACCAAATATCGTAATATCTTCTTACGGTCATTGACACCAGGTCAGATTCAGATTCATTTTATTTGCCATCTGCAGTAAAACCACATTGGAATACATTTGCAAAAACCCCCAGTGTGCACCAGACAAATTTCTTCTATATTGAGAAGCCCTACTACTATTGCAGAACTCTGGGGAAAATGTTTGGTTTGGAGTCTTGCAACAGTTCTGAGAAATCCTGGCTAAACTTGTAAACCAACATAATCCTGCCGCTACACGCTCTCGTCACTTGTTACATGTCCCGTCCCGTCCTGTACAGACCCGACTCTCGTAAACAAGCAAATCCACAGCGACCCATTTGTAACCTCCTTCTTTGCTTTTATTGCAGCCACATCGAGACAGAACTGGAAGTGAAATGATTCTTCAGGTTACTGTTTGAATAAAAAAAGAGGGGCATGGCACTGCGAACTTCTGCTTTCCCAAACTGTTTTGCTGCAGCCATCCATGGAGTTGGCTGGGTATTAATCGCGCCTTGTTTCTGGTTCCTGGATCGATTTATTGCCACATGGAAATCCACAACGTTGGAAAAAACCCAGCGGCGCGACGAGGAATGCTACCTTTATCCGCTGGAGGTTTTTATCGGCTCAATCTTCTTCTTCATTCTATTCCTCATCGCTTGTCCGTTCGCTTTCATCGGCTTCTTGCTGTGGGCGCCGCTGCAGTGTTGCCGCCGACCGTTTTCCTATCACAGAGAGACGAAAACCCCGGAAAAGGAGACAGTGTTCAAGCCGGCCGAGAAGACGTCGTTTCTTTTTGCCACTGCCAACTTGTGTCTTCTGCCGGACAGCTTGGCGCGCTTCAACAACCTGGCACACACCCAGCGCAGAGCAGTGGCCATCGGTCAGCGCATTGTGCATGGCGTCCACAGTCCACACATTCGAATAGTTGTGGAATCTCCCAGCAGCTGCGGCACGCTCACCGAAGCCAGCTCGCCGTGCCAAGACGGTAAACAAAATAACTACGGCTCCGTCGAGAACTGCAATGGAGCATCTATGAGTCAAGACGTGTCGGTTCCGAGTGGTGATTCGGACGAAGGCGCGATGGATTCTCAAACGACGCCGCTGAACACTAATCACAACTGTAACCAACAAGACCCACCGCGCACGTTGCTCGCTCGCGGCCGCAGCCTGGAGGAGTTTGCCTGGCAAGTGTCGTCGTTGTTTCCGACGAACGTGGATGTGATTTGTCTGGAAGAGGTGTTCGACAAGAGGGCGGCGCAGAAGCTCATTGCGGCACTGAAGCCCGTATACGAACACATCCTGTACGACGTGGGCGTGTACGCGTGCCAGCCGCCGTGCACCTGCTCCACCTTCAAGTTCTTTAACGGCGGCTTGTTTGTGGCCAGTCGGTTCCCAGTACTCGAGGCGCAGTACCGATTTTTCCCCAACAGCCGCGGGGAGGATGCACTGGCGGCGAAAGGGCTGCTGGCCACAAAGGTGACGTTGTTTTACCTGAATATCTACATTTCTCAACTTTAGGCCTTGTTTCCTTCCTTTTAGTTTCCTCTTGTCATGTACACTCTCAAAGCTGTTTTTAGCATTCGCCATTGCTCTTGCCTCAGTCCTCTGATTTCTGAAACTTGGCCCCTCCCCCAGGTTTTATGTACTTCACTTGGAGCAACAAAGTGATGACTGCGTCGCAGCTTTTTCTAGGAAGGGGAGGGTTTGATGTAATTTTATCCTGACGCTCCAACAAAGGGGCATAAAGGAACTGCAGCAGGAGCTATGTGACCTGTTTCATGGCTTCAAATCAATATTGAAAATTCATATAAACTGTATATTTATTAAAGATCCACAGGGGTCATAGATGATCATAGAGCACAGAATGGGGCCATGTCCTCTTTAAGGTGGTGGTTCTCATCTGGTTGGAGTAATGCTAATATTTTCAGCTGATAACCTCAGCCATTACCTTTAATCGCTGTAATCCATTAAGCTCTTTACGTTTTTGTAAATGATTTATTTTGATCAAATTGAATATTCTTTTCAGCTCTACTTCAAATGTATTTAACTTTTAGAAAAAATATGGATATTTTTAACAGCCTGGCCATGTAGTGTAAATTTTTGAAAGCAATATATTTACTGTAGTCCACCAGCAGCAGTGAGATTTGCTGAAGGGGAGTAGTTAAAACAATAGGCCTGTCCATAATGGACCTCTGTCAGAAAATGTTCCACACATTTATTTTCAACCGAGAAGCTTTTAGTGGGTGTGTTAAAACAAAATACATTATGTGCCTCAGTATTGCCTGTGAAATATTCACAGCCCAATAAATATAACCTACTCAAAAATATATTTTTAATACTGATCAAGGCCAACACCTTAACATTGTTCCCTGAAATGTAATATTGCTCTTGTGATTTCTGCAGCTGCTTGTGGGGAAGAATGAACGACAGAAGGATGTGGTGGGGTATTTTAATTGCACACATCTTCATGCCCCTGAAGGCAAGTACCACGTTAGACACCATTGTACTTATTATGTGCAAATATGCACTTTGCAAAACCTAAAAAGACACACTTTCGTCTTTGTCAAGAGACGAGCAGAGAAATTAGGAAATAAAAGTCAGCTGCATTCAGCCCATTGAGCCATTGGAACTCAAACCTTCAAATAAAGATAAAAAACACTTTATTTAAGCATTTATTAGCTTTGTTTAATAATTTTTGCTATGACCTATTAAATGGTGAAATCTAATGCCTATATGAGGATAATGATAACAATATTCAGAGGACGATTTTGGTCAGCCCTTTGTGCTAATATGAGATGTATGTAAAGAGTTCAATTAAAGACCACACCAAGTGAAAGTACTGTAAATATAACTACTGAAGAAGACTTGTTCCGAATCATTTTTATACCTGTATTTTAAAGATTTTACTAGCATTTCTTTTTCATTTTGTAGGACATAAAGACACTTATTGCCAAACACTAGTTGCGATAATCTGTTTTTTAATTATTATTAAGTAAATGCTTCTGCCCTCTGTCTAAATGTGATTTTTGGTTTGACTTGTCTGTCTGTTGTCAAAAGGTTGGGCAAAGAACTGTAGACTCGAGGTGTGTCCTGCTCTAGTCCACATCAGTTCTGCTGTAATTAGTCAAGGGTTTGGTCCCAATAATGACTCATGTGAATGCTAAAATATATAATACTATAACATGACCTTTCAGCATACATCTGATTGACTTTGAGTAGAGTATTTTACTAGTTTCATAATACATCAGTTCATTTGTGTGCATTTCTAGGTGAAGGAGAAATCCGTTGTGAGCAGCTTAATATGGTAACCAAATGGATCAGTGATTTTCAAGCCGCCAACACTCTTCCGGACGAAGACGTGGTTTTTGACGTTTTGTGTGGAGATTTTAATTTTGATAACTGCTCCCCTGGTGGGTCCTTTGGTCATCTATTCATTCACTCTTATTCATCTGAAGCTATTCTTGAATAATCTCTTTTTTTGCAAAGAGCCAAAGCAATTTCCTAGTTTGTGACTGTTACTTCCTGTTACTCACAATGGCAATACAAATAATTCTGATTCTGATTGTTTCAGACGACACGCTGGAACAAAACCATGCTCTGTTCGACATGTACAGAGACCCGTGCAGGGCTGGGCCTGGCAAAGAGAAGCCGTGGGTCATTGGTTAGTTATTAGGATTAATACAGTGTTCAATACCACAATTAATTTTGTGTTTTGTGAGTAAACTAACTTTCTAATGACCCAGGAACTCTTTTGGAGCAACCCACTTTGTATGAGGAAGATGTGAAGTCCCCAGATAGTTTGCAGAGGTTCAGTATATTATTACACATGGCTTTTAGTCTATCCACAGATGAAAGAGTATTCCTGCAAATCTTTTATAATTTGTACAAATTCCGAAACATGTCTTTTATGACTCCGGTAGAGCTGAATTATCTTTTTAAATTTAATCTGTGATTAGAATAGAAACTTGTTCAAGCCTACTGTTCTAAACACAGGACGCTGGAAGACGAGGCCCTGAGGAAGCAGTTTGTGTCTCCCCCGGTCCCAGCCGCAGGACAGCCCCTGGTTTACCCTGAACACGAGCAGCCGTGGGTCGGACGCAGAATCGATTACATCCTGTATCGTCAGAGCTCACTTTCAAAACACTACAAAACTGTGAGAAAATAGTATATTTGTATGATGATGAGATGAAGAATAGATTAATCATCATTATTCTCTATTATATTTTGTGCTTTTGTTGTAGGAGATGGAGGAGGTGCACTTTATAACTCACTTGGCCGGACTCACAGACCACATCCCTGTTAGTGTGAAGCTTGGTGTTCAAAGGGAAGCAGAAGATATTGAGAATCAATAAGAATTAAATTATTAAGAACCTTGAAGAGAGATCAAAGCACTTACAGAGTTGAGTTTACACTAATGTGAAATGAGGAAAAGTACAGTAGCAGTATGCTTGATTTTATATTTAAAAAAGGGAACAAAATAAGGCCTTTTCAGGCCCAGCACTTTTTTACAAAATGGTAATTTTGTTGTTTTTTTATTGAACTTTTTTAAGGAAATAAATTGTGCTAATTTTAACATGGTTTCAGTTGTTTTTATTTTTAGAACTTCTCTGTCACAGGCTTTGGCACACGTATCATTTAAGCACTTAAGACATTACAGACATTGATTGTATTCTTAACTTCAAACTTATGCACATAATATCATACATGTCTCCTGTGTTTCATACATAAAAGCAGTCAACAATAATGCATTGTTCGAGAGGAGGTCAGAAGAATACTAATATATTCTTATCCTGATGAGTTTATAACAAAGGCACAGCAGAATAGTATTGTAATATAATATACATATATTTCAAACAAGTCTGGGACTATTGTGATGCCACCTGCCTGTTTAAGACAGATCCTGTAAAATCTCTGAAGCTAACCAGAGCAGGGCCTGGTTGGCACTATTATGGGAAACCTCTGGTCCCACCAGGTGACACAGTGGGAGGCTGTAATGTGCCGAACAGTTACTGTTTCCTTAAGCAGGACATTCCATCCATATGGCACATCACTGGTGTGTACAAATATTGCTGGTGGAAGTTGGAGGGGCTGTTGGCACACTGTGGTTCCGTCGCATCTGTCAGGGTAACTGGCTACGGTAGTAGATTAAAGAATGCCAAATTTGAGTATCTTAAAGGCGCTGGGAAAACTTTGAATTATTATTCAGTTAAAAAAAGAGTCAGTGTAGTACTACCCATGAACACAGGGGCGCAGTGTATGTAGAAAGGCCAAATCACAGAACACCAAGCCACCATCAACCAATGAGACTCAAGATCACTGCGTCACTTCCTGTTTTTAGCCATGCGCTCTGGTTAGCGCTTAGCTTTAGAAAACAGCAGCGAGATGAACCTGGTGTGTCGGATGAGGCCGCTGTGTCGGCTCTCTGCGTCATGTTTAAGTCGTGTTTTGCCGCAGACGAGTTTTCAGAAATATTCAGCCTCCAGTAAGAGCGGCGTGTGGAGCCAGCGTGCCCCGGGGTCAGCGCTCCTGTGGCCGCAGCGGAGACACACTGGTCCCCTCTCCAGACCCTTCTCAGAGTCGTCTGATCTAAACTATTTGTCCAAAACTGAACCAACAAATGAACCCAGTGAAATCGGGGAGGAAGGTGAGCTAAAACTGCTACTCTAAAACTTTTGTATGTAATATGTAGTAATAGTTTATTGTGAGGGGCGGCACGGTGGCTGAGTGGATAGCACTCTCGCCTCTCAGCAAGAAGGTCCTGGGTTCAAATCCCGGCCGGACCAGGGCCTTTCTGAGTGGAGTTTGCATGTTCTCCCCGTGTCTGCGTAGGTTTCCTCCGGGTACTCCGGTTTCCCCTACCACTAAAAATATGTACAATAGGTCTGGCATGCGCCTCCTGTTCGGCGACCCCGCTCCATCTCTGTGTGGAGTGAGAGGACAAATGCCCAAAAATAACAATTGTATACCGCTTTGTGACTCTGGTCTGTGAAAGGCGGTATATAAATAAAGGGGCGACAGTAGCTCAGTTGGTAGAGCATTGGCCTTAAGGCCAGAAGGTTGTGGGTTCAATTCCCACCTCTGCACCTTCTCCATCGACTCCCACTGATGACTTCTGTCGTTGTGTCCTTGGGCAAGACACTTAACCCCACTTTGCCCAAAGCCCCCACTGAAAGATCAAGGCTATGCTCCTGTGGACTCACCACCTGCAGAGGGTCAGTGAGGGGCTGGTGCTATGAGACTTGGGTGGCATCTCTGATTGCCACCCCCCTGACCCAGAAATGGATTAAAGGGTAGAAAATGGATGGATGGAGTTTATTGTGAGGTAATGTGTTATAATAATATATGTGTATATTCACCTGCTCAGGCTGTAGATAGTTTCTGGTGAAAGTAATATTTTCTTTTTGTAATAAGACTAATGTTTTTTAATGATGAATAAACAATACAATAAATTAAACTGCAAAACCTTAGCTGCTTGATTATAGACAATTCTAAAACACAATAAAGAATATAGTGAATGGTATTAAATATGATGTGAACTTTCTATTTCCATGGAAAATGTACCACTTACAAAATGTGACACTGTGTTGCTTTAAGATTATTTATGTGGCGACAAGATTCAGTTTGGAATCTAGGGATGCAGTCCATCTTTAATTGGGGCACCACCTGCAGAGGAAAGCCCGATTCTGACAGACCAGGGCCTGGTTAGTACTGTGATGGGAGACTTGGGGACATAAGTGCACCCACACTTCCCAGTTATAAATATTATCATTCATTAGCTATCTAGTCATGGTAACTGTTTAGATCTGTTTTTTAATGACATTTTGAACCAGGTAAAGCTTAATCACAATCAAATCGAAATGGCAAACACTAACAAAGTGCCCCGTCTTTGCAGAGGGAAATTAAAGTAGCTAAAGCTTCTACTTTGCAAATGTGATCGCCCATGAGGAAAGGGACTTCTTAAAATGCCAACAAACATCAACTATTTTTATCTGTTATATAATTGATAGTATGGTTTGAAATGTAAAGTGTTTCCTGTTAGTTTGACAGTGTTGTCATTTTGTCCATTTCACCAAATCCACAATGAACAATACCATTTTTATTGTGCAGCTCTAGTAAACGATAAAAAATATATAAATTCTCCAAGAATCTTATTGGTATTGTGAGATGTAACATTGGTTTGTCTGATCCTCACTTCTGGTCTCATGCAGGCTCCCCTCAGGACTTCTCCCTGGACGTTCTGGTGGCTCTGCTCAAACAGGAAAATGCATTGGATCTTTGTGTCATCAACGTTCCACACCAGATCAACTATGCACACTACATAATTATCGTCAGTGGCTACTCCACCAGACACCTTAAGGCTATGGCCCTTTATGCCATCAAAGTGGTAAGATATTATGATGCAAGCTTTCATTTAACGGTTGCCAAGACCTCTTCAAATCTCTGAATACATTTGTGTCTTTTCAGTATAAATATTTGAAGAATAATCACAACCCACACGTCAAAATGGAAGGAAAAGACGCAGAGGACTGGATGTGCATAGACTTCGGTATGGAACACAAGGCCTGTATAATGACACATTTTGGTCCATTTATTGAATGAGAGAAGTATAATATTGTACCTACTTCATGGCACTGACACAGTAAAAACATATTCTTTAAGTCTAAAGAAGACATACATGAGCTTCAAGACGTAGTGACCTGAAATGGTCTTCCAACAGTCTTTTTTTTTTTTTTTTTTTTTTTTATTTATTCATTCCGAGCAAGTAAGCGGGCATAGAAATAATTAGTTCAAGCAACTTAGGTACATGTACAAAATATAACAAAGGGGTAATAACAAAAAAGTGAGTGATACTAACATAACACTTATGGATGCTCGAAAAGGAGTGGGAAGAAGTGAACACTTATTTAATCCCACCCCTAATTACTTCAGTCATTACAAGGGTAAAGTAAAGTAAAGGCTCCGGTTTTAGCTCCAACGTAAATTTAGCACAGATATCAAAATCTTAAACATATTGTTCATAAGCAAAATGAGTTATTGAAAATGTCATCAGGGACAAATGTAAAAAATAATAATAAAAAAATAAAAAGAAACTACATGCAAAAACAATTTAAAAAAAGAAATACCAACAATGGTAATGAACAGCAAATACCAGCAATGGTAAGGAAACATACTCCAAAATGTATTAACAAGAGCAAGTACATGCCAACATGAGTCGAGGGAAAAGAAGAGAAATACATTCAAGTCATAATCTCTCTGTATTCGGACCAGACATTGTTTTTATATAATGTCTTAAATCTGTGAATATCTTGGCATTGCATTAATTGAGGATCCAAAGCATTCCACAGTTTGACACCACACACAGTCACACAGAAACTTTTACGGGTAGATCGAAATTTGGGAAGTGTAAAATGTCCAAGACCTCTTAGATTATAGTTTTTTTCTTTAGGCACAAAATATGTTTGTATGTTATGAGGTAACAATTTGTGAAATGCCTTGAATAACATGATGGCGGTGTTAAATTTTACAAGGTCTGGGAATTTTAGTATTTTAGATTTAAGAAAAAGTTTGTGAGTGTGATGCAAGTAGCTTGTTTTATGAATGATCCGCACAGCTCGTTTCTGCAATAAGAATAAGGGTGTTGTTGAACATTGGTAGTTGTTACCCCACACCTCAACACAGTATGTTAGGTAGGGTAATACCAATGAACAATATAGTGTGTGTGTAGTGCATGAAAATCAAGATAATGTTTCACTTTATTCATGATTGAGATGTTTTTAGCTATTTTTGTCGTCACATAACTTATATGGGCTTTCCATGACAATTTGTTATCCATGATTACACCTAGGAATTTATTTTCAGCAACATTTTCAATTTCAACTCCATCAATATTAATTTTAAACTCTGTATTTTTCTTTGCATAACCGAAAATCATTGCCTTTGTTTTATTTAGGTTCAGGGACAGTTTGTTGGCATCCATCCATGTTTTTATTTTGGTCAGTTCAACATCCACAGTATCAATAAGTTGTTTGTAGTCAGGACTACTACAAAAAATGCTAGTGTCATCCGCAAAAAGAACTAGTTTTAGTGACTGCGATACTTCGAATATGTCATTGATATAGAGGTTAAACAGCATGGGACCCAACACTGACCCCTGGGGGACACCACAAGTAATGCCAAGATTTTCAGAGACATGATCCCCCATGTGAACAAACTGTACTCTACCAGTTAAATAATCACAGAGCCATTCTCCAGCGACACCCCTGATACCATATTTTTGTAATTTATCCAGCAGCATTGAGTGATTTATTGTATCAAAGGCTTTTTTTAAGTCGATAAAGATTCCTATAGTGTGTAATTTCTGATCCAAAGAATTTGTTATTTCTTCTATTGCTTCAGTTATGGCCATTGAAGTGGTTCTTTTTCCTCTGAATCCATACTGACTGTTGTTTAAGAGGTCATGTTTGTCAACAAATGTTTCCAACCGAGAGATGAAAATTCTTTCCAAAACTTTTGAGAACTGTGGTAATAGAGAGATTGGTCTGTAATTTGTGAAACAGTGTTTATTTCCATTTTTAAATACTGGTATGACTTTAGCTATTTTCATCTTATTTGGGAAACATCCAGACTGGAGAGAGAGATTGCATATATGAGTTAAGGGTTTGACAATATTGTTTATTACATTTTTCACAAGTGCCATGTCAATACCGTGACAATCTGTGGAGAATTTGTTTTTTAATTTAAGAACAACTTCCTTTACTTCATGTTCATTGGTTGCAACAAGAAACATTGAATGAGGATTAAGTGAAATTGGATTGATACTTAGGCTATTACTTTCATTAGGGATATTGTCGGAAAGCTGTGGACCAATGTTTACAAAAAAAACTGTTAAAACCATTTACTATGTTGTTAATATTATGCTTATCACCATCGATGTCATCGAAGTAATCTGGATACACTTTTCTTGTTGATCCTTGTTTTATTAGTCCATTTAGTATGTCCCAGGTTTTCTTTATATTATTTTTATTCACATCTAGAGTTCTTCCATAATATAATTGCTTACTAAGGCGCATTATATTTGTTAATTTATTTTTATATGTCTTGTACTTGCGTTCAGCTTCTTCAGTTTCTTTTCATTGGATTGAGTGGTCTTCAACTTAATGAACAATTTGTAAAGATGTTGTTTCTTATTGCAAGAATTAAGGATTCCTCTTGTGAGCCAGGGACTTTTTTTTTGTTTATTTTTTTTATGCCACAATTTCATGGGACAGTGTATATCATACAAGGAAAGAAATATTTTCAGAAATGTATCATATGCAACATTTACATTTGTCTCAGTTAAAACTAAGCTCCAATCCTGTTCATTTAAGCTATTTTTAAAGGCATTCAAATTTACTTCAGTTCTCTCTCGTTTGTAAGTTTCCTTAGGATCAGTTTTTGTGTTGTATACAAGGTCACAGTCACACAGGAGGAAGACTGGCAGATGATCAGAAATGTCACATATTAACAAGCCACTGGTGATCGGTTTCTCTATTGTGTTGGAAAATATGTTGTCAATCAGTGTGGCACTATGTACTGTTAGTCTACTCGGTCTGGTTATGGTTGGATATAAAGATATGCTACACATGGTGTCAGAAAAGTCTGCTATGGCCTTATGTTTTGCTGGATTGAGTAAATTGATGTTAAAATCACCACAAATGAATAATTCTTTTTTGTTTGTAGGACAAAATAATTTGTCCATCCATTCGGTGAAGTCATCTATATTTGATGCAGGTGATCGGTATACACAGCTTATAATTATGTTCTTGCTCTTTTCGTTGAGGATTTCTATCGTTAGGCATTCCATTAAGTCAGCAATAGCAAGAGACATATTTGGCAAGATCTTAAAGGAAATCGATTTATGAATAAAGAAGGCTACTCCACCTCCCGTTTTATTATCTCGGTTTATGCATATAAAATCATAATCATCTAAGTAAAAATCATTATGTTTATGTGGATTGATCCAAGTTTCTGAAATGGCAATGATACTGAATGGATTGACAAATTGTTGCAAAAACTCTTTTAAACCACTAAAGTTGGCGTACATACTTCTACTATTGAAATGTATTATTGATAATTTTCCTGCAGTGTTTATGTTTTTTATTAAATTCATCCTGTGTGAAGTAATTACAATTCCAATCAAATGTAGACAACAAATTGTTGTCCGGGTCAATATCTGATAAATGTTGTGAGTCCATGTACTTAAATGTTTCCAGTTCCATTTGTTTGTAAAGAAGAGTTAGCTGCAGCATGTCCAGATCATTGTTGTTTGATTGTTCAGGTGTATCAGTCATGTTCACCATATAGTTCTCCAAGTATGATATAGTGTTGATACCTTTTTAACTGTTGAATTTGTCCAGCTCTTCTTTCCTTCTTACGACCAGCACCTTTGCTTCTGGGGACCCATTTAGTTTTATAAAGACCTTGCAGTTTGAAACCCAAGTGTGCTGAATCTTCTGTTGTTTTTTCAGTTGTCTGGCGATGCGTGCAATGTCCGAGTTCTTTTTGGTTAAATGTTCATTTATGAAGACATTTGTTCCTTTGAGTTTGCGTCCTTGCTTAAGTAGCGCTACCTTGTTCTTTCTGCTCACAAACCTCATGATGACGGCTGGGCGCTCGTTGTTCCGGGAGGGCAAGGGATGGCAAGCCTCAACGTGGTCCAGGTCCAGCTCTATCCCCCTGGAGTGGAGGTAGGAAGCCACCTGCTGCTCCACGGAGGCAGTCTCGTCCTCACTGGGCTGCCCACCGATCGCGTCAGAGGCCACCGCTCGCGCGTACGAGCGCGGTTTGGTTTTAATTCCAGAAATAATTAGGTCGTTAATCCGACTGTACTGCTCCATATCGTCAACTCGCCGCTCGTCTTGAAGGAGTTCCCAGAGATGCTTAGCACTTGTTGGCCCTCTCGCCTTCACTCTGTGGTCAAGCTCACCCCAAAACCATCTGTTTTGGGTTCAGGTCCGGTAACTGTGGAGGCCAGGTCATCTGGGCCAGCACCCATCACTCTCCTTTTTGGTCAAATAGCCCTTACTCAGCCTGGGTGTAAATCTACTGTCAATACTCATGAAAAGAAAGAAAACTCATCAAATTGTTATCAAAGACCCAATAATTCATACAGCTGCTCTGTGCTCTGGCCCTTTATGCATCCGTGAAACATATAGCATGTTATGTCCCTTAAGTAATTGTTTATTATTATTATGTATTATCTGCATATGATAACTATTCAACCATTGAGGGCTGAAAATGTAATATTTTAGCAATACAACACCAGATTCTGAAAGACAAAGATTCTAAAAAAGTATTGTTAGATGCATTGAAAGGTGGCTATTGTGACAGGCCTACTTAACCCTTCAGATTTCACTTCCTTCTCAGAGGCTGATACGTTTGCTGATGTCTGTGTTCATTTTTCAGGCGACATAGTGGTTCACTTCATGCTTCCAGAGTCCAGAGAAGTCTATGAGCTGGAGAAGTTGTGGACACTGCGCAGCTACGACGAGCAGCTGGCTAACATGCCTGTGGAGACACTTCCCGAGGATTTTATTTATGATATTGAAGTGACAAAGTGACTCTGAATGTCAACAACCATAACAGGAACATGTTTATGGTATCATTTATTAAATGGGAAAAGATAAATATGTCCATCTATGTTATGTTATTTATTGCGGAGTTGCGTATTTGAGCCTATTTCACGAAAACAAAGGACTTTTTCAAGAATGTTGTTTCCGTTTACTATTTTTGTGATAATCTTCCTTGGCTAATCCCAATCTTGATCCAAAATGACCCTATAAAAGAAACAAGTCCACAAACCCCTGTCTCATTGTATTCATGTTTTTTGTCCTTTAAGCAATTGTGCTTGTTTAAAGCTGCAGAATCATCCTCAAATACAGAAAACAAAACTGTTGAGTACAGTACTATTAAGCACACCTGTATATAAACCGCACCAGCAACATTTTTAGAGACTGTTTATTTTGTCCACATATTGGGTTAGGATATAACACTTGAATATAACTAATATTACACTTCACCAACAGCAGATGGAGCAAAACATTGACTTGATCAAAGCACTCTGGTAAATGCAATCAATTTCTCCCAGTAACATTTGTTCACATAAACAGTGTGAACAGCAGGAATGTGTGCTAAGTCATCAGCTCTGGAAATCTACAGCTGAAAGAGCTGTGTTCAAATTTTTAACATTTTCTTTTCATTTTCTTCACCCCAGGGGGCACTCTTAACGAAATAAAAATCCACACATTGCCATTGTTTGCGGCTTATAGATGGGATGGATGCCAACAAAATATGCATATGAAATCTAGTGACAAAACCAAATAATTGTTCTTTTGAACCAATTTGGCTGCATCCCACTTAGGGTGATATTTTGGTCACCCTAAGAATGATAGGGTTACCAGTTAATGTGCGATTGCGGTCTAATAGAATTAATTACGGAATCAATTATGGAATTAACAGCAATTCTATATTATACATGATAGAAACATACATACATTTAAGGGATTCCTTTTTTCACTCCTTCAGGATCAAAGAAATCCTGTCAACTACTGTAATTATTATGTTTCTATCATGTGTTATATGAAATTGCTGTTAATTATATAATTGATTCCTGTTTATAAGCTTGAAATAAATCCATTCAATGTCTTAATACTTCATCCAACAATCACATTATCCCAGCAGTTTTTGTCCCATCTCTATCACCTTAAATAAAACGCTCTGCTTTCTTCAGTTCTTTTGTAAGAAATTGACTCCTGCTGTCTGGCAATCTGAGGAAACAACCACACCAATCTCCTGTCAAATTTCCGCCAAGTGCTCGTCACAGAAAATAGTTGCTATTAAAGGTAGTCTTGGTGCTGAGAGGTTGAAAGCTTTTTGTGCCTTGTTAACTGAAAAGCTCAAACGGTGGTGTGATTAAGACGTTTACTAAGGTTTTTACATGCTGTTTTTAGGAACAAGATTTGACTCTATTATATTGACGCAGATTATTGAACAGACTTTTTATGATTACATTTGAGGTATAAGTTATTTTCAAAACACTTTTGCCTGTGTTATGTTTTTCCTGGGTCCATCAATTTAAAACACTTGCAAATTCCATACATTATTGCTTTACATACCCTGCTGAAATACACAGACCGAAAATTGTTGTTCAAGATTATGTCGATACATGATTCAACCATGTACTTTGGTCTCACAGCTTTTGGATTATCTCGAGAATGAGAGAATGAGAATGAGTCGTTATTCGGACAAAGCAACAACAACAAAAGAATTTTTTTAAAAATCTATACGTGTACAATGTATGTACAATTTGTTCCGTCAAGAAATAAATAATATAAACAATCAAACAAATAAAACAAACAATGAACATTCTTTTGTTTAGATAGAACAAAAGACAGCTCAGCCAATCAGCTCTGAGCTAAGAGTGTGTTGTTTTCCAAAAGCATAATGACAGTCTGATGTGATTTCATTTTTTCACAGAATTTACCAGATTGTAGCATTATGTATCATGTATTATTTACTGGTTAATCCAGGTCCTCATCCTCGCCTATAGTCATGATCGATAAGATAGATTCAAATGGCCAAAATTAGTTTCTTCTGCATGGCTGAGGGCCTGGGTGCTCTCCTCCAATTAGTTAAATAGGAGGAGCTTGGAGTAGAGCTGCTGCTTTTCCACGTTGAAGGGAATCAGTTATGGTTGCTTAGACGTCTATTACAGATGCACCTTCCCATGGATACCTTCCTGGGGAGGGGTTCTGGGCATGCCTCATCACGAGGAGGCCTGATGGGACACGCCTGTCCGACCCAGGAGATGTTGGAGGGACAAAGGTTCATACTTCAGTCAAATTGTGAACCAGAATTCACTTTAAATGAACTAATGAGGGCAAAATGGCTTCATCTGTGGATATGTGTTAAACCCCCCAAACAAGCGCATACTGTAGTCACTAATGTAATTTGGAGGCTTTCACTTCTCCACAAATGATTTTTCCTTAATTAGTTCCCGGCAATCTGATTTACTTGGGAATTAAGTGTGAACGCACCATCAGTCTCCCCCAGATGAGCTGGAGGAAGTGTAGAAAGGGAAGTCTGGGCGTCTTGGCTTAGACTGCTGCCCCCGCGACTTGGCAACAGATAAGAGAAAGGAAGTGGACGAATGGTTGGACAATGAAGTTCCCCTGCTTAATCACTCACCTGTTGGTTCTCAGTGAAAAATATTTGGACGCACCTACTTTTATCCATTTTTGAGAGAGGAAGATTCTCCCCCTCCCCTCAGACAAACATGCTATATAAGAACAAGAGCATACTGAGCTTACCAAAGTTGTGGAAGAGGCGACGGACCGACACAATGTGAGCAGATAAATACCACTTAATACAGAATTACGTGTCTGTGCTTTTGCTGTGATCTTTACTGTGTGTGATCCAGGAACCCGTCTGGAACCGTGATGTCGCTGAGTATTTGGGCTTTGTGCTTCTTGCTCTGTGTCTCTTTGGGAACGGAGGCTTACCCAGTGAAGCCCCCCAGCCCCAGAGAAGGAGCACGTCCCGAAGACCTGGCCAATTACTTCTCTGCTGTAAGACACTACATCAACCTCATCACACGACAGAGGTCAGTTTTCCTCTTGGACTATTACTAGTAGTTTTTATGTATTTATTGCTATTTTTATGTATTATATTTGGGGCTATTTTGATTAATATCTTTTTTGCTATTTTAATTAAAATCTTTATTGCAATTTAAATGTATCTATTTATGGCCATTTTTATTTATTATTTGTTGCTATTTTAATCTATTTGTTCCTTTTTACAGATGTATAGGTCGCAAGCTTTATATTGAATTGTTACAAAAATCTAACAAATACATTACATCAATTGATCACACAACGCAACAAAATGCACAATAAAATAGACATTATTTACTTACTTGCTGACATACAATTTAGGCTTGAAATGCTATGGTGTTTCAAAATAGATTCTGTGTTTGAAATGTTTGATTCTATGATTTGCGTCGGCGACAACTGTGTCTTCCGATTCAACAAATTAATTAATTGAATTGATCATTTAAAGGTTACTTTTGAAACTGCATGTGTGTTTGTGTGTTTTGTCCTTTTCTAATTAATAACAAAGTTGTTCTAACCCTGTGATGTATTTTTACTCTATAATATTCTTCATATCCAGAATACGTCCATGTGATTCGACCCTGTAACTGCATACATACAGTTTATTGCAAGATTTTAACATAATGAATATATTTGCATAGTATTCACCCAAACACTTAAGTGTCTGCTTTGTCCAACCCCCTTTCAAACTGTGTACAATGTTGAATCATGATTATTTATTTTGTTGCATTGTTATTAATTAAATTGTTTATAAAATGTGCTCAAGTTTTATATAGATGAATAAAATGAAAAATAATAAATGAATAAAAATCACTGTTCATAAAAAAGTGGATTAGATTGATCAAACTGTGTGTCATCATGCAGTAATAATGGAATTGTCTGCTTTGGACAGGTACGGCAAGAGGGACATCCTGGACAGTGGATTTTCTGATCTACTGCTCAGGGACAATACGCCCACAAGCGACCATAACGGGTATTTCAGTACTTCTTAACCAAGAATATAAGATTTTTGATCATTTTGAACACAATTTCTCATGTCAGTTGGGAAAAATGTGATAGAGTGACAGAGTTGATGGGAAGGTGAATGAAGCAAAATGATGATTCAACAAAAAGCTGCTGGAGCCCGGGATTCCACACAATATTTATTCATGCTGTATAATTACTTGTGCATGCCTGCACACCAAAACAGAATCATGCATCTTTTTGCTTTCACTTCGCAGTTGTCTGTTAATTATTTGTAAACTTACAGTGCAAAAATATCGAAATAAAAAATGTTCAAGGTGAATGTGTACATCTGTATGAGGCACTGTCTATATATGTAAACTCTTGTTTATTACATACAGTAATTGATTTCCTTATGGTTGGTAAATTAGTTTCAATTAAACATATCCAACACCGGTATTCTTTTTTTTAATCTAGAGTCTTTTAATGTTTCTTTGTTTTAGGCTTGATGACTTGCCTGTGATCCTATGGTGAGATGAAGCCCTGGTCCTCACCTACCACTGCCCACTCATATGGTTTACGTTGCAACTTGCATGCAATTAAAAATTTTGTCAAAATATTCTGTGTACAAAGTTGTCGGGTAACTTTTTTTTTTTTTTTACCCCGTTTTCCCCTTGTGCACTCACAAAGATTTGTGAGTGCACACAAATCTTTCACAAATAATTTTCTTTATTTCTTTCTTTATCTTGTATTTCACTATAGTTTCTAATTACACTGAATAAAACTAGCCAAAAAGTAAGGAAGTCTTGCTATTGCAGACTATTATTATTACAATTATCATCATTAATTGCAATGCTCATAATTATAAAAATGATATGCTTAATATATTTTAGAGAATTGACTTTAAAACTATGCATTACATATCATAGTAGCACATACACATTTTTATCTCTTATATAAATATTTCAAAGTCAATAGTACTCCTTGTGATACCAACTTATACCCCTAGGGGCCCGTGTACCACAGGTTGGGAAACGAAAGGTAGAGACAAAAATATTTAAGTACAGTGAAAATACTCAGTTACTAGCCACTTCTATTACCGAGTATTTGATAAGGTGGATTAAATAGTTTTGGTATGGGGTACAGAATTTGCATTGAAAGTTTGTATCCGGACGGTCACAGTGGCGTGCGCCTCTCCGCTGTGCGTCTGGCTGATGTGTGAAGCTCCGGCTGCGCGTTATTCAACAAGATCACTGCTTTTGGACAATTACCTGTGTTTCTAACTTACTATTCCGGAGTCATGAAAAGAAGGAAAGCGTGATTGCTCAAAAAGGCCCCCAGAGACGCCCGGTAAGACTACACTCACTGTTTTCATTCATAAAAACCTGTGTTACTCACTTTTTCTCCGCACACGCCGTAGTAGTTAGCATGCTACACGGTGAAGCTAGCTAAGCATAGGCTAATTTCGTGTTGCGTTTTGTTGCTATGAATAGGTGTTAAATCTGAAAATATCGCAATGACAGCTCGTACCATTATATTATCAGTTTACACACGTGGTAAAATACACATATGGACGCGAATAGGTTGATATTTGCCTATCTTGTCTGACCGGAGCAGTCCGAAGCTAGCTGCACCCTGCTAGCATTGACAAAGATATCGGTTGTAAACACGATTATTGATTTGTATTCATGCCTGACAGATTTATTGTGTCTTTACCTTGATTTCAAACTGGATCAACTCAGTCATGCTAAAAGCTATTTCTGTAACAATAATACGTGTTAATTAGCTGCCAATGGCTTCTGATGTCTTGTGTTGCCTCACATTGGCCACACGTGTCTTGGGCAATGTGACAAACTTGCTTCTCCGATCTACGTTTCTGTCAGAATTTATTCCAACCATAGATTTCTTTATTCAACCACTTATTCGTACAGCTTTTCACTTGGGTACATTCATGTGTTATTTGGATGTGATCATGTCTCCCAAAGGTATCCATATTATGTAACCAATGAATGGATCGTCTTTGCCCCATTTCCCCATTCTAAGATGCTTTTACCTAAACTCATTGAACTGCAACCTTGTATGAAACACGATTGCTATTTACATTCCAAAGCTGTGAAGACTCGAGTAACCTTCAACATGTTAATTGCCTTCCTAACTCATTTACATAATTACATTCTTTGCATTCTTGACATAACTCTCCCCCTTTACATTGTTTTTTGTTCATTGCTCCTTTTATGTACTGCGAATTGAATACTAAGTAACTAGGGCAACCGAAAGTGACCAAAAATATGTCCTTTAGTAATCAGTACAGATATTTTCCACTTGATTTCTCTGCCTTGGAAGTGACAAGGTTGCGGCTTTGTTTTGTTTTATCATGCATTCAAGCTTGATTATGACCTGATTATGTCTAATCACTAGAAGCCAACACCATAATTGGAATGTTTTTTTTCTTCTATGGCTGTAATCAGTTATCTATGGTCAACAAACATAGTAATATAAGTATTTTGACTCTCTGGATTATGCTTGGACCTCAAAGCAGTTTATGCACAATGGAAAGAGATGTCAATACTCTCAGGACATGGGAAATATATCATGTAAAAGACATTTGAAACATGATCTGGTTATGCTTGCCAGTACAAATGTAGCAACCTGCCCTGAGACTTGCTATAGCTTTATCTGCATCAAACTATTCTCATGTGTTTCGCAACAACTCATCAACTCATGGTGAGACTAATCGAATCTTATGATCAGTAGTTACCGCTCTAATAATAATGTGCAATGATGATGAAATTGAATCTTCCCCACTGTAGGGCAAGTTGAAGTTGACTCTTGGTTGACTTAAGACCTGCCCAGTCCATTGGTTAGTTGTCCAAAAAGGGGGTGTAACAAAAGCTCATCCGACCTAAACTTAGTTTTATTTGGTTGAAATATAAAGTACATATACAATCTTAAACTTCTTTGCACTATGACTTCTGTTTTCCCATCTGACTCCTTTTGCTGACCAACTACTGAACTAAACAAGACCTAGAAACAAGACCTAGAAATGATAGTTTTTAACATATTTGTACTTTATTCAGGTCAAGATCCAGATGGACCTTAAACACACCCGACTCTGATTTGCACTGCTGCTGATGATTTATTCAAAGAGTGCCTTTTCCTGGTATGCTCGTTTCAATTAAATTACACGCTTGCCTTTCTGCTTGTTTGTAACGTTCTGTCTACGCTGTGTTTTCTCTCTCTACCTTTCACATCATAATCAATCATCACGCTTCTGTGTGTTCAGCTCTTCAGTTGTGTGATGAGTTTAATCCTGAGCTAAGGAGAACAACATGACTGTTGCCAATGCAAAATCTGGGACTGGTAAGCATGCACTTTCTAATTTTTTAATCATTTATTATACTCTTTAGTCAAAGAGACAAGGAGACAAAGGCACAATTGTTTTAAAGATCCAAAGGGTTAAGGCTTAAGTATTTTTAACCTTTTGACCATTGTGACGTATTAGTCAGTTTAGAGTCAAAATGAGTTGCTCTTTTGGGGAAGTTGGGATAAATCCACATACATGCCAGATTTGGACATTTCCTATGCAGTTTTTGGAGGGTTTTGATCATTATCAGAGCTATTAAAAACCCTGTTGTACCATATGACTATTATTTTTGCACTATTATTTGTTAGAACAGAAACTAACAAAAAATGGTATGAGTTCGTCTAGTCATGTTCTATTTGCAAATCTAATTCTTGTGTATACTGTTCATTCATTAACATGTGTCTTCATTGTAACCAAACAATGATTACACAGCGCTGTTGTGACACCGCGTGCCTGTCACCGAGGCGACTACTTGTCTGCCAATTGTTGCAGTCATTGTCATACTTCTCGCCTTGTAAACCTATACTTGTGCGACAACAGAACAGGCCAGATGTTGCTGCTATAGCAGAATGCTGTTGAAGTTTAATTCTGTTTACTTTGCCTTCAAGCCATGCAGCAAATATTGGACAATTTGAAAGAATTGCCAGCGGGGACAGGAGCCAAAGATATTGACCTGATCTTTCTCCGCGGTGTCATTGAGAGCCCAATTGTGCGATCTCTGGCAAAGGTAATGAAAAACACCCCAGTAACAAAAGGCAATGAGTGTTTGTTCGATTCAATTAATCAATGAGACAACAATTTAAGATCAGACTGCCCTCTTTGTAGATATACGTAGATACATTTCATTGTATTTGTAGTGTTTGAGATTGAGACAAGAACCACCAGATTGAAAAACCAAAAGCAATTACGGCCATGTTTTGTATACAGCTATAATCACTGTTTTTAGTTGTGGCTTAATAGCTGGTGTTCATGTTCTAGGATTGTATTTGAGTTGGAGGGCGGCAGAAGACAATGCAACTCTTATCGGAAAGAAGCCACTTTTGAATAACATTTACATTTGCTTTTTTACCACATCATTACTTGATTGTGATTAAATTCACAAACCTGGCATATTATTCTAACATCAAAGACGGTTCTCCTGGCCAGCATCATGCTTTTTATTTTGTTTTTTTGTCACCAAAATTAGAGCAGAGTTGATATGTCCAAGACCCATTTCCTTCGGGGGTATAATAAATTAATCTTGAATCTTGATATGATTATGTGACAAAGAAGATGTGGATTGGCCCAAGAGTTGCAGATCTCTAAACGAAAGAATAGTCACTTACTATAGTTCCCAGGAAATATTTTACATCAGTCCTCACCACAATTTGAAACTATAGAATATTGTGATGTCAAACCTATATGTTTTCTGACAAAGAGCTGCGAAACCGTATTTCAGTGTTGTGTATGTACATAATGAACTTTTAATGATATTGTTATATTTGATGTCAAAGGCACACGAGCGTCTTGAGGACAAAAAGTTGGAAGCCGTTCGAGACAACAACATTCAGCTGGTTTCTGACATTGTCAGCTCTCTCACCGACCTGTCGGAGAAAAACACTGCCGCAGCCGAACTTGCCAAAATCCTACAAGAACCACACTTTCAGGTAATCAAGTGCATACACTTAAAACTGGTAAATTACGTATTTAATTGGATAGAGAGAGATAATACCAGCTTTAAAAGGGATTAAAGGGGGTTGTTTGGGAGATTTTGGCATTCTGTCGCTCTGTCAAGATCCAATTGATTATAATGAATGCGTTTAATGAATGTATCTAAATGTCCATATACTGTGCACATACTATTTGAAATAACTACAGAGAAGTGGCCCCTTTTTCTCTTCTATCTCTCACTACATTTGTACATTTCGGTGCATAAACAAAACTTGGGATTTGTGTTGAAATTATATGAAGAGTTTGTAAAATCCTGGAAAAAGAAAATCCACTTGCCCAATGCCCTCAGAGTCAGATTCAAAATAATTGTTTATTGCCATTCTTGTAAGAGGAAGTCACAAACCAGGAATGTGCTTTGGCTTATGGTGCAAACAAGTTATAAAAGTAAAACATAAAGGCCTGCATACATTTTTTAATAACATTTCTATACAAGTACAGACAATAGACATTTAACAGTGCAGTATAAGGTGACGGCCGCAAAGGGCAGAGATCTAGTGGAAAAGATATAGAATTTTGATTAGATTTGGAAAAGGAAGATTAGTTGTTCCAAAATGTGTATCAATCTAAATCCATCCATCCATCCATTTTCTACCCTTTAATCCATTTCTGGGTCAGGGGGGTGGCAGTCAAAGATGCCACCCAAGTCTCATAGCACCAGCCCCTCACTGACCCTCTGCAGGTGGTGAGTCCACAGGAGGACGGCTGCTCTCTGAGTGTGAGCATAGCCTTGATCTTTCAGTGGGGGCTTTGGGCAAAGTGGGGTTAAGTGTCTTGCCCAAGGACACAACGACAGCAGTCATCAGTGGGAGTCGGTGGAGAAGGTGCAGAGGTGGGAATTGAACCCACGACCTTCAGGCCTGAAGGCCAATGCTCTACCAACTGAGCTACTGTCGCCCCATACTGTCAATCTAAATATAAAAGATAAGTGTGTATGGTAGAGAAAATTAGCTGCAATGGGCCCTCACTCCAAAGGTCACTGTTTGCTGCCCATGAGTTTGCCCTGGGAGGCTGGCCGGTTGGATGATGTATTGCTTAAGAAAATGATGAAATGACAGTGGAATAATCCTTGTAAAACAATCTTGGTCAAGCATGTTTTAAGAAAATAAACAGCAAAATTGTATTTGTCAAGATGAACCCTATTAAAACTAAAATGCCACATTTTTATAAAAAATGGCTAAAATCATCCTTTGCAATATTAGGTTTAGAATATAGTTTAATCCATCAGTTATTGGACACAAAACACATACATGGGTCCAACTTAGTAATAATGACGGAACACCCCATAAAACCATAGTAAATGCAGCGAGGGTGGGATAAATAATGCCGCCTAAAGCTGAATCATTCAAAAAGGTTAATTTTGTCTTGAGTTTTTGCGGTTCTTTTGAAAGACTAGATGTATTATCTTGTTAACAAGTTTGGACTGCAGAGCTGTGAGTCATCTGTGGGTGACGGTTCTGAAGATGACTCGCACGTCTGCAGCCGAATCTGGTTAACAAGCTAATACATCAAACCTGTCTTTAAAAAAAAACATCATTCATTATTGAATCTGAAATAGTTGGTTTATTTAGACGAGCCACAGGGGTTAGTGCTTTCTGCTCCACAGCAAGAAGGTGCTGGGTTTGACTCCCCCTCCAGACAGAGCCATCCTGTGTGGAGTTTGCATGTTCTCCCTGTATCAGTATCTGTATCTGTTTCTTCCTGTATTCAGCGTATCGCTTCTGCCCTCAGTGTGTGGACTGAATGGAAAAATATCAGTACTCCAAAACTGGCTGGTGCTATGAGACTTGGGTGGCATCTCTGATTGCCATCCCCCTGACCCAGAAATGGATTAAAGGGTAGAAAATGGATGGATGGATGGACAGTACTCCAAAACATTGCGAAGTGTTGTATGTGACATTTTGTCTGTGACATGCGCTATATAAATAAAGATGACTTATTTACTTACTGTACTACACATCCTAGAATAATGTACAATACACATTAACCTCAAAAGGAGAGATGCATTGTACCAGTTTACATCCATTCAGGATAAATTACATAATATTTGACACGTTTGGCTTTGACGGGGGCGGCAGTAGCTCAGTTGGTAGAGCATTGGCCTTAGAGCCTGAAGGTCATGGGTTCGATCCCACCGTAAGACCTACTTCACGACTCCCACTGATGACTGCTGTTGTTGTGTCCTTGGGCAAGACACTTGGGCAACCCCGATTTGCCTGAGGCTCCCACTGAAAGATCTCAGCTCCTGTGGACTCACCACCTGCAGGAGGATCAGTGAGGGGCTGGTGCTATGTGGGCTGGGTGCAGCTCTGACTGCCACCCTCCCGACCCAGAAATGGATTAAGGGGAAGAAAATGGATGGATGGATGGACGTTTGGCTTTGACATTAAACACTTCTTTCTCAGGTGGGAGAACATGTGATAGTTCTGAAATAATCTGAAAACATTCCATAAAGTCCTTAAATTGTACTTTGCTGAACCTGGAGCTGCCCCTTTTGTTTACCCAGTCTGCGTTCCTCTTGCATCTTGTCGGACTTGTCAGAGCTTCTCACAGAGCTTTCAGTTAATCCAGCATGAACAGCACTGGAGCTTGCTCTCCTTGGCCCCGCCCCCTTACGAGCGCTGACACGGCAGGAGGAGGGCCGTCCCCGAGCCAATGGCATGCAGAGTCCACATGGGCAAATGTAGGACAGCCTGATAACGTTTTTAGCAAATCCTCACATGTGCTTTTGCATCTTTGGCACTGGGACCAATGCGAGATCTGTGTAGTTACTCCTGGGGTAAGACCGAGGATGCTTATTATTTTTTAAAATTTTGAATCATTGTGTTTTATTGTGTATGACCAGTGCTGCATCATGTGTGCGTGTCTTTACATGGGGAATCCAGAATCCACAGGCGATTCATAATTTATTCTTTTTAAGCGGTTGCGTAAGTCGTTTTTCTGTTCGCTTTGTTCACCTCAGTTGTCTTCTATTCCTGTCTATTTTTAGTCTCTGATAGAGGCTCATGACAAAGTCGCTTCTAAGTGCTACGAAATGCCTGCTGCTTCAGTCAACCATGAGACCACTACCACTTCATTCATGCCAGCCGACGCATTCAGGATCATTGGCATCCAAAAGAAAGCCGGAGAGCCTTTGGTGAGTGACAACAACCTCTTATGGTTTATCATTTTAAGAAAGTACAAGGTCATAAATAATAGAAATTCATAGTTTTTTAATCTTTGTATCAAAAAACGGGCAATAAAACTAGAATAAAATGTCTTTAAAATATGTACAAAAAAGACATTTCTATGCAGTCATTTTTCTATTTCTTGAAAATGTAGTTTGTAATCGGACACATTTTTTAAGACTAATCTACTCGGGACCAAATTTCAACAAATGTTTTCTACTGTATCTGTATCTTGCCATAGTAGAAACAAGATTTTTCGTCTTTGCTTTAGGGAGTAACGTTCCGAGTGGAGAATGGAGATTTGGTGATCGCCCGCATTCTGCACGGCAGCTCCATCGACCGGCAGGGAATGCTTCACACCGGTGACATCATCCGTGAGGTGAACAGCCGCGAGGTCAGCTGTGACCCGCACGAGCTGCAGGAGCTGCTGAAGGAGAGCAGCGGCAGCCTCACGCTCAAAGTGGTGCCCAGTTACCGGGACGCACCGGCCCCACCGCAAGTAAGACACGCATCAGGAGCGTTTGAGGAATCAGTGCCGTGTGAGAATGACTAAACATGTCTAAGTTAAGCAAATATGAAGTTTATTTGATCATAGTGTTTAACTTGTGTCGTTGCAGTGCTAAAATGTCAATCATTATCACTGAATAGACTCAATGTCAACGTTTATCACTGTGATTGTGGGACACAGAGTCATAAAGGACAGTTTATTGTTTAAAACACTAAGTGTAGTAAAACATAAGTACCTTTCATTGTGCCACGCAGTTCAAAGGGAGTCCTGACACGACTCCGGATTCAGCTAAAGTATATTTCAAAATCCAGTAATCCAAAAGCATGCATAGCAGATGTTGCATATCGTTTTTATTGATTCAATTCTTGCTTAAATAGTTTTCATAATTTTATTTTTGACAATCCTTCTCTTCTGTACCTCGCTGCTCTGCTGGTGCAGTGCTTACTCTCATTCATATCAATGAATGAACATCTTAATCTTTCCCGTGGGGCAATTTAAAAGCTGCAGCAGTAGCTTAAAAACGCACCAGTTCATTCATACATTCCAAGTGAGAGATCGCTTTCCTCGACTCAAGACTTAAGACCAGTAGGCTGGCTCCATTGGTGAAAGGACTTCCTAAATGAGGAAAGGGTTTTTTTTTTGCAATGCAAGTGTACCTGAGCCTGTGTGACTGCGGCCTGACCTGTGTGACTGCAGAATGCTTGGCTTTTGAAAATTGAGACCAGAGCTTCTATAATTATCACTGCGCACACTATCTGGGACGTACACCACTATTTCCTGAGGCTCTCCCACTCCTTACAGTAACTGGCTCTGACAGCAGCTGGCATGCGCACATGCTTGTAGGACTATTATGTCACCCCCATGGTTCTAGTGTCAGTGCTGCACTAGTTAACTCTCTGTGTCAAACTTGAATGGTAGAAGACTCCAATACATTTTTCTATTTTTACTTTATTCACAATTTATCTCCAACAACTCATAATTTTCCAGCGGATGCATTGGTCACCTCCAAATTCAGAAACAAATATAAGATTGTAATGTTCGGCACAGTCCTTATCTAACAAACCTGTATCAGACCAATATGTTCATCCAAGAAATTGCCTCTAATTATTCACATGGTTAAAACCAAAACTGCCTACGTGGCCAAATCTGGGCTTGCTTCACTGTTTGGTTTGATGAAGGCCTTGACGTAGTAAGTAGTGTTTAGACGGCAAAAACTAGTTTAAACAAAAAGTGGTTGTATACTGAAATTTCAGACAAGGTTGTGCAATTTTAAAGCTTTATTTATACATGAAAATGATAACACTTTAGTTTGGACCTTTTTACAAAAAAAAAAAAAACATCCCGGGGACTAGTTGAGAATCCCTGCTCGTTAATATGCAAGTGGGTTTTACAGATTCATTTGGACAACCACAAAACATTGATTATCTTTATTTCTAGGTTTTCCTGAAGCCTCACTTTAATTACAACCCAGCCACAGACAACCTGATCCCCTGTAAAGAGGCAGGACTTGCTTTTTCCAAAGGAGAAATCCTCCATGTCGTCAACAGAGAAGATGCAAACTGGTGGCAGGTGAGCTGGTGCACATATCATTATGACAATTTAGTCCACGGTTTACATTTATTGTTATATTTCAAACCTGGTCTTTCTGTTTGCAGGCTCGCAAAGTTGTTGGTGAAGGCACGGGTCTAATCCCGAGCCAGTTCTTGGAGGAAAAGAGGAAGGCTTTTGTGAGACGAGACTGGGACACATCTGGCAATGGTCTGTCTTTGCCGCAAATGACTCAAAGCAATACTTTATTTGTTTTTGTCTCCACACTGACTGTCTTCCTGCCTCCCTAGGTCTGCTCTGTGGAATGAGAATGTCCAAGAGAAAGAAGAAAAAGATAATGTACCTTACTTCAAAAAATGCTGGTATGTAAAATATTTGGAACTGCATTATTGGCTTGGTTATTGCTGTATGGACTAACTTTAGTGGGACCTTTTGTTATTATCCTCATGTTGTGATAGTCAGTGGCATAAAGTAATTTATATAATGATGGCAATATTTCTTTTGAATTATATTTTCCAGCACATGCATTATTGGCTTTAGAGTGCCTCTACCCTCATGTTACGTATTTTTATTAGATATTTATTATATTATTCATTTTAAGTGCAAAGCTTAAAGGCTAGTGTAAAGGCTACTCTTCGTATCATGGTCTTTCTAAATTTACACCATGCTCCACCTCTTGCGGGTCGCTGTGAAAAGCTACTTGTGGACTAACTTCATTGAATAATTACGATGTGAAAAAGCTTAGACTGCTTCAAATTGTTTAAATACTAACCACATTTTATGACTATTCGGGATTTTCCTCTCATCAGTTTTCCGGCAGGTGCCAGTATATAACTCTGGGAAGAAGTTTGGAAAAGAAAATGTCAGACTTTATATTCACCAACCGATTTATATGTTAAATAATGTCGTCACTTCTTTCATGAGAAAATAATTATACCATAGTTACAAACCATATTTAACCAGACTTCAGGGGCTGAAAAACGCAGATAGAAAAGCTGTTTTGACTTAATTCGGGCTATTCTAATCTTTAAAAGCATAATATAAAATAATGTTGAATTCTAGAGCTTCTGAGCTTTACAACGAGGTACAACATGTCTATATTCGCTGAGCTGAAGTTGGCTGAATGACACCGTCTACTTTAGGTTAGCAAGGCGCAGGGCCGCAATTGGCTTGTGGGCCTTGGTTCGGCCGGCTCTAAAGACTAGAAATCTCACTTTTACCGTCAACATTTCCCTGACCTCTATCACAACATTAAACCATAGGCTCTTTAGAATGTTGTGATGTCACATGAATACAACCTATTAATATGCAGGCACTCACAATCTCTTTTTTTTTATGCAGAATTTGACCGATACGAGCTGCAGGTCTACGAGGAGGTGACCAGGATGCCGCCGTTCCAGAGAAAAACGTTGGTCCTGATCGGGGCTCAGGGCGTGGGGAGGCGGAGCTTGAAGAACCGGCTGGTGGTCATGAACCCTCTGCGCTACGGAACCACGGTGCCCTGTAGGTGTGAGTGCGGCCGCATACCTATCCTCCGTCTGCAGACGCTAACATGAGGTCTGTCCAGTTACGTGTCGGTCGGCGCGGGAGGAGGAGCGCGACGGACAGAACTACTGCTTTGTGACGCGGGAGCAGATGGAGCAGGACATCCGGGACAGCCGCTATCTGGAGCATGGCGAGTACGACGGAAACCTCTACGGCACCAAGATCGACTCTATCCACGAGGTGGTGCAGGCCGGCCGCACCTGCATCCTGGACGTCAATCCTCAGGTCTGTAGACCAGCTCATGGTTTTCATTTGTCCATATTTGTAAATGGATTAAGGTGATCGTAAGATAAACTTTATTGTCCCCAAGATACATTCGCTGTGGGATACAGTGCTACACAGATCTGCATGAAAGAATTAACATGAAAATAAACATTAGAGTACATCATCAAAAAAGTGCAGTAGTGTTTTGAAGTCTCTATTTGGTCCTATTCCAATCAGTTTTAGGATGTGTTCGATTTTAATTATTTTGTGTCTGATCCAAACCCTGACTACTGTTTGGAGGTTTCTGGGAGTCTCCAACTCTGCCCTGGACAAAATCCTATTCTATAACTACATTCTTTAAAACATTGCCAATTCCCATAGCACCAGCCCCTGCAAGATTGCTGCAACTTATTATTTATTTTGATATTATTTTGGAAGAAATTGTTAAAACAAGCACACCCGGGGCCACACAGCAAACAATTCAAATCTACACAGCTAAAGAAAACAAAAACAGTGTTCATGTTTTAATTGAGACATGCAAGTAGGTGAAGACTTGCTATGGGCTCAGCTGTTAGTGCAGAGGGGCTGCCCTCTGTTTAGCCCTGATGAGTCCAAGCCGAGGGGGGTGAGGACCAGGGGAGGCTATTTCCATCTTTTAATTTGTGATTTCAGTAAAACAATCGGGTCATGGTTAAGGTTGGGATGAAAACAGTTATTTTGGGTTAGGGTTTGTATGTTATTTTTTTAACCCTAAAGGACTGTAGAAGTCCTGGGTCTATAGCCCGTCCGTCCGTGGGAGCAAATCCCTTGCTCAATGTGGGCCTTCTGGAGGTTTTCTACTTTTCTCCCACTTGGTTTTTAAGATCAAGGCAGCTCCAACTAGAGCAGCCGTCCTCCTGTGGACTCACCACCTGCAGCAGGATCAGTAAGGGGCTGGTACTTCGTGAATTGGGTGCAGCTCTGACTGCCACATGATTTAGGGCTAAACAAAAATACATTTAATTGAAACCGGTTTCTGCAAAGGTTGCCTCTATGTGAACGCTCTTGTGTTTTTTTTTGTCCAGGCTTTAAAAGTATTGAAGACTGCCGAGTTCATGCCATTTGTAGTATTCATCGCGGCCCCTGAGCTGGACACACTGAGAGCTATGCACAAAGCTGTGGTCGACGCCGGACTCACGACCAAGTTACTCACAGTGAGTCGACGCACGCTCAGTCTCATTCTCATCACCATCACCATAGTTACACACTGTGTCTCTGTTACAGGAAAGTGATCTCAAGAAGACTGTAGATGAAAGTGCCAGGATCCGCCGCGCGTACAGCCACTATTTTGACCTAACCATCGTCAATGACAATTTGGACAAAGCTTTTGACAAGCTGCAGGACACGGTGGAGCGGTTGTTCGAAGAGCCACAGTGGGTTCCGGTCAGCTGGGTCTACTAACGCCCCCCTCCCCCTGGACAAGTGCGGTCAACGGGGCCTGAAGAGTTACAACACTGCAGAGTTCAGGAAGGTTCCGCTCTCGTTACAATCCCTGTGTTTTCAAATGAAGCTGGAGAAAGTTAAAGTCAAAAATGCAGATTTGAAGAGCGAGTTTACGCCTCCAGCCTCTGTAATCACTCGAGCTTATCGTGGGAGAAGTTCAAGGTCTTCTCAAAAACAACTCGTTTTCTTTCTACAATCTATAATAATAATAATAATCCAAGGTTAGATATAACGGCTGTCAGTTGAAAATACTTTGAGCTGTTAGGTTAAAATGATCCGCAGATGTGTTGACAAAAGCCTACAGAGTTCAGAGATAAATAATCTGATAAGCGACCCTATGGTTTGGTAGATTATCGCCCATTTGAAATGTCCAGAATGTGGATACAGAACGGACCTGGAAATTCCTGATAGATAAAGAAATTGACCAGCATGTGAAGGGATAAACAGACCTGGAGTTGATTTTAGATCCATCCATGCCAACATCAGGAACATCTTGATGTCATCACACTCAGAGCAGTTTTCTGCCTACTTGAATCAAAAGTATTTCCCATAGTGTTGCATATTTTGGAAGTTGTTTGAAACTTTCTAATTTGAAGAAAAAGAAATACCAAAAAATCCCTCTGGTGGCAGCATAGGGAGTTGCAGGCTGATGGAATTATCTATCCTCGCTACTGAAGATATTTCACAATAAAATACATGAAATGACTTTGAATTATGAAAGTAAATGATGCTGAAAATAATGCGTAATATTTCTTCTTAAATAAACGTAAGCTGTAACTTCCGTGTGTCTGGCCAGTTGCTCAAAGTCTATATTTAGGAACCAGTGTTTGTCTTTTCAACTTGGCGCAATCATGTTTTTAAGTTCAGATTATGGCAATTTCTATGGTTAAAAAAATAAATGTATTTCCCGACCGAGAAAACATTGAACTTCTTGCCGGCCTCCAGCTCCGTTCTAAAACCCAGGGATTGGAGAGCGCACCCTCTCGTAGCAGCTTGGTGTGATTTCGAGGACTCGGCAGACTATGCAACCTCCCAACCCATGTAAGTGTACTTATTTATTTGTGTAGTATTTTTTAACTTTACTGAACACTGAGAGGCAGTATATTTTACAGACGAATGCCGTGTCTTTTGGTTCTATTTTTGCTCTTCGGAAATTGTCTAAATGTGTATCCAGCAGACGCTTAACAAGGGCTCGCTCGGTGGCAATATACCTCAGTGTTACGGTTTACACAGGACACGATTGCACACTACTTCCACTCATCCTGCAATGTCTCCACGCCTATTTTATTATTAGAAAAAAAACATGTATCAATTTTTGAAGGTTTTACTTGTTGGTGGAAAGTGAAAAGCTGATGGTCAGTTATTTTGGGAGACAAAAGTAGCCAATCGTTTTCAACTCTTATTCAAACTATTCTCACATTTAGCTACTTTTCCAGATCAGGACTTGTTAAAGGGGACATAACGTGCACATCACAGCTTTTGACCAGAGCTTTTATCCCTTGTCGCAAGTTTCAAAAGTTGTCACCTGGACCAAATGTTCCACATCAAATCAGTCTTCCATCAGCCGGACTGAGTAAGTTTACAGAGTGTGCTAAAAATGAACTCTTTGCTGCTGCTCCCAAACCGGTCTGACCACTCTGGTGCCAGTCTTTGGAAACTATTGAACAGTAATTGTAAACGTGCAATCATCAATACAGTATATGCATCAATTAGGAAAATGTAATTGCGATTACTTTGAGCATTTGACACAGGCTCAACTGCAGCAGCACAAGTCTTTTCATTTCTTCAGATAAATGATGCACTTGATTTCCGGTTTTTGCTGCAAATAATGAACCAAAGACGACGACAAAACCCCTGCAGATTGACTCTGTACTTCCTTGTCCCTGTGCTCTTAAACGCAGCTGCTGGCCATGTCTCAGCAGTACTCCGGTTCAGGCAGTTGCAGCGGAAACACAATAAAAATGGTTAGATCCAGTTAAATCAATCCTATTAAATCGAATCTGGTTTCTCTCATCCTCTGAAAACTCACTCAATGATGTCTGGGTGGAAGTAGAACTGTCTATACGCTGGAAAGGTCCAGATAACACATTTGAAATGTATTGCAAATTATGGATTACACGATGAGTTTTTTTTTTACACCGAGATGCCGTCACTGTGTTTTACTTTGATTTAATCTTTTACCAAATCTGTAGTGGGTGCAGAATTTGGGAGTCAATATGCTGATTACTAACATGATCTGATCAAAGTGACAAAGATGCAGCAGCAATGAATATGGAAGTGCGCAAATTCTCATTCAATTATTTTCATCAATGAGATTTAATTTGAACTAAATATATAATTATGAGCCACCGGTGTCATTGATCATTATAAAACAGGTCTGTTATGTCTTCTTTAAACTTCCATGGATGGTACAGTTCTCATGAATGTGTAGCATCTGTCCAAGTTCAGTTCTGTATCTAATTAAAATGTCTTGACTGTATTTAAGGGGTGTTGGTTGTTAATTAATGTAATCAATAAAGGCTATTGTGTCATTTTTATAACAAATATTCGCTCTGAAATTTCAAAGTAGAAAACTGTTTGATTTCAGTAAGTTTTTTTTTATACAAATAGTTAATTATGTGTCGAGTTTTCTGATTTTTGCACAAACGTTCTGTCCTCAGTGCTATCCGGCCGATCGCTCTTCTGTAACCTACACACTGTGGCCCTGTTCGTCTGTACATGCTCACTGATCTAACGGTTCTTAGACATTTTGAGGTTAATTTTAATGCAAATATTTATTCACAGCTCTAACTCCTAGCTTCTTTCAGTAGATTAGACGATTGTGTTGCATATACATTTGTAAGCGATTAAGAAAACCTGTAAGCGTCATGTCAGTGTTGTAGACTTGTACCAGTATGAATTTAAAGTGCGTGTGAGAGGTTTTTCTCACTTGGCTTCATTATGCGGGTATAATTATTCTATTTGTGCTTAAAATATGTCGACAATTACAGGAAGTTCCACGATGACATCACACTGGGGAGGCTCCAAAAAGGGGTGGTACAATTTTGCATACAGACTAGAATATTCCTGGCTTATCAAAATTTTCAATAAGTGTGTTTTATTTTTATTTGTCACATAAGCCATGTGTTCTGCAGGGAAGCTCCCAGTTTCAGTCAAATTTTGAATTGATTAAATGTTTCTTATTTTCTTGGGGCTCCATCCACTGACAAGCAGATAACTTACAAAAACCACATTTCCAACATGTATAATTTCATACTTTACCACATGTACACAGTAGAATACATTACATACATACAATAATCAAATTTCAAGCTTTTAAGGCCGTAAATTTGCCTGCATCTCATGTTGTAATGACACTGACTATTGACCAATTTACACCATGGAGCCCTGGTGTGATGTTATTCTTGCAATAAAAGTGTTTTGTGTAAAGTTTGTTGCAGTATAACTTGTATGTTAGTCAAATCATTTCAACCTGTCATACGCACTTAAATGCAATAGAAATGTGTTAATCTCTTGAATTCATGTTTATAATGCGACATTTCTTAGGTCTCAAAAACATAATAGCTCTCATCAATTTGAAGCATTTTTATCTAAGAACAGTGTTGGGAATTTTACAGATTTTCTCAAAATGTTGTATATTACTTAAGACCGCTGTAGAAGACTAAAGGTCTTACATGTTGCACTGCCACTTGTACCGTTATTTAGCACTAATAAGATCACTGTATTTTTCTCTAGTCATGCAGTCTGACGCACCATTTTGTTTTATATTTTTCTAATAAAATAACTCTGTACTGAAAACTGAAGCCCAAATGTCCCAGAATGCAGTTCCTCGTTGGCAGGTTTACTCAGTTCCCAACACTGAACCATCGTCCTTTGATGTGACTAAAAATGAAGTTTTAAATAAATTTGATCTTTTACAGATTGAAAATATGTATTTTTCACGTCAATAAATGTTTTTGTTTTTTTTTAATTGAGTCGGTTCTTACTTGAGGCATCTTTTACTACATTCAACCCACGGCAATCCTCTGCTAATCTTCATCATGAGCTATAACTAAGGATCCTCTTGAAAACTGATACTGTTTTTCATCATTAATATTAATTTTCATTTTATCAGAATCTTATCTTTGACCAGGGTCCAAAGATTGAAAACCCTTGCCATGTGGAAACCAGTTTACTTGTATAAAGAGAAAGATAATTTGTACATCCTCAAAATAAGGCTTCACCCAGTCACTGCCAACACCCATGGAAATTAAAGCTGGGTTTCCTACGATCCATGTCATTAGCTCTAAAGACAATCACTGGTTTTCACCTGCGTGTATACATCTTTAGATTATCTTTTTCAGACACGTGGCTGAGTGAGGGTGGTCCTCTTTTTCAATCAGATCTCAGTCCAAAGGCTTAAATAGTGTGATAACAAGTGGCCTCATGAGATACAGACAGATTCACATTATTCTTTAACAAGACATGTTGAGGCCGAATGTTATACTTATGAATTAAAAAAGTTAGGTACCCAAGCTTAAAGAGCATGTATGTAAATCTCAATGGCATGACAATGTTGACTGAAAGTTATTATAAACTAGTAGTAAATGTAGCCCTCCTAACTCCTTCCTCTTAAAGTCTATTGATCAAGCTCTCATCCAAACAATTTCACGGTTGTCCCTCTTTATTAAAAACAATGGCACAAATAAAAGCAATATATTAAAAGTATAAACATGAATACTTGTGTAAGAAAGATTGGCAGGGAGGAGTGCATAGATTGTAAAGACGCAGACAGGCAGACGGGTCACATGCAGACTTATGTAAGATCACTGGGACAATGAGGCCAGGGCTCTCACTGCAATGCACAGGACCAGGGGGCGCTGTCGAGCCTCCTTCTGCACCTCTGCTCTCATACAATCTCCGGCTTTTGTCAACGTCACCCTTGAAGAGCTGAAGAGAAGCTGCACTACGCCAAAAACTTCCTCTGATGCTGTAGTTTGCCTCATGGAGCTGAGGGGGAGCTCTCCACCCTCCAAGAGACACGTCACCTGAAACAACGCCATTATAGGACCTGAAGTTACCCCAAAACTCACAATACAAACATAAGTGCTAAAGGGTGCATTTGCACTGAAGAAAACATCACATTTGCAGTATAAAAAAAACAGAAATGGCACAAATTTTGAATTTGAGTACATTTACAAAGCTAAAAAACTGACTATTTGGCAGTGCTCCCAATCGGTCATACCACCAGTCTACAAGCCTGACCGGGTAGAGGGTAGAAGAGGGTCTGGCATGTTACCAGTCTACACACTCTTTTCAATATAGCTGATTGAAAAGAGGCAGCTTTCAAAAGTGTCCCGTAATTTTGGCCTATTAATCAAACATAGAAACTGCAATTGTAAATACTATTGCTGTCATATATGTGGTTGTAAAAGGACAATTTTAGGAAGTCAATCATGCAATATTGTGTTTACTTATAATGCCTTTGATTCAACTGCAGAAGCACAAGTAATTTAATTTCAGCAACGAAACACGTGCAGAGGGACTGTGCTTCACTGCGTTGATCGATATGTGTCCAAATACAAACATTTGGAATACACGCATGGCTTTTCCCTGTGCTCTTAAATGCATCTGAAGGCCTTGTCTCAGTAGGACCTGGTCTGGATATATGCCAGGTAAACGCAGAAGAGTAGGGCCAGCTTGATTTTTCTAACCTTACAGTTAATCACAGAGTACAGAATCAAAAGCCATAATAGGAAGAGGGATGAAATTATTGTATCGAGAATGTACTTTGTGAAAAACGTCCCTGCGGCAAGTGATGAGAAGAAGACAATAATTGAATATTTGTTTGTGTCACTGTCTCTTAAGGCGGAGAAGGCCGACACGAGGTCGCTTGAGTAAAAGCTACATACAGTATAGGACGCTTAAATTCTCAGTCCAGGGAACAGACACACAACACACTCAAAAGGAAAAGTTATGAAATGTGAATAAATAAAGGCCGGGGAAACTCACCACTAGGTTTAATTCTGCTAGTATACCAGGGCTGCAGCATGTTCCCAGTAAAGCCTGAGCCTCACTCGGCATCTCTGCAATCGAAATCACAAAATGTTACTTAAAGAACATTTTTGGCCATTAAAATGATAATATGACTATCTCTACTTTATCATTTCATGTTTTAGAATGTGAAATTTTACATTCAAAAGAAAATATACGGTGAAACAAATGTCAAGGGTAAATATTGCTATCAACCTGCTTTATCTCTATCCTGCCACCAGAGGGAGGTGAGGGTTATTTTACTTCTAAATACGAATATTACCGACTGCAACCACAGCTATGGAATTTCACTTGACGATAATTTGCGGACTGCTCTGAACCTGATGTCATAGTGGTACAACGACATACTATTACAGAACTGAGATAGGAGCTTTTAGACAGAAGGGGCGGAGTTACATGTTTGTGCCAGAAGTTTCTGATACTAGCGCGGATGGATCTAAAAACAACTTCGGGTCAGTCAGTTGATGAGGGAACATGTAGCAAGGTGAATTTATCATATGTCTCCTTTAAGTCTCATAATACTAATACTAACTCACTTTTCTCTTGCTTTAAACTGTGTGCGTCTCTGAGTTAGATGTTTGTGCAAAAGTTCCTGATATTAGCATGGAAGTATCTAAAAAACAACTGCAGGTCTGTTGTTTTATTTGTTCCAGAAATAAAAGCTAATTCGGAGAAGCAGTTCAAACTCACCGTCGATCGCGCTCAGAAGCAGGTGCAGAGCTTGGATGACTGCGTCTCTGGATTGGCCGCACTGAGACACCAAGTTCAAAATGTCCGTCTGCTCCTGCTCCTCCGCTGAAGCTGTAGCATCAGCGTGACGCAGATGGTTTAGCTAACGAAGGGAAACATGTGAATAGATGAAAATAATGCTGGAGTTAGTAGCTGTGTGTGTTTCATTTGGTCTCACGGCGTTTTGAAGTGAAGACACGGCGGCGCGATCGCTGATGACAGTTGTGAGTTTCTGGAAGAGGGAGGATTTGGTTAGAGCTGGGAGAGCGGCGAGCACGTCGAAATGTTCCTTCAACTCTGCAAGATCTGACGAGAGATAGAAAAATAAACAGGATTTGTGTTAGACACGCAGGTATTTGTCAATCACAACGATTTTATTTACTTTTTCAAACCTCTGATCACACCGAGACTAGTCTAGTCCTCCACTGTACAAACTAAGTATAGTACTCACATTTAATTTCACATACACACACAGAGACACACACAAACAGACAGACAGACACACGCACAGACAGACACACACACACACACAGACAGACACAAACACAGAAAGACATACACACACAGACAGACACAAACACACACAGAAAGACATACACACAGACAGACAGACAGACACACACACATACACACACACACACACAAACAGACACAAACACAGACAGACAGACAGACACACACAGACAGACACACACACCAAACAGACACAAGCACAGACAGACAGACAGACACACACACATAGACACACACACACACACACAAACAGACACAAGCACAGACAGACAGACAGACACACACACATAGACACACACACACACACACAAACAGACACAAACACAGACAGACAGACAGACACACGCACAGAAAGACATACACACAGACAGACACAAACACACACAGAAAGACATACACACAGACAGACAGACAGACACACGCACACAGACAGACAGACAGACAGACAGACAGACAGACAGACGGACACACAAACACACAGACACACACACAGAAAAAATAGGGTAGGCAGAGTAAAAGCAGTTCTGAAAGGTTTGAAGGCCCAAGACCATTGAGTTATTAAAAAAAAAAACACAGAGGGATCCAACATAGAGACTTTAAAGCCGCTGAAATGTCCTTTTTTGGAAAGAGCAGAGAGCAGGGCCTTATCAGCGTCAGAGAGAGAATGGGGCGGACTCTGGCTACTTTCTTTTTATAATGATTATCTATTTTTGTGATTGTGATTGATCAGAGTCAAACATCTCTCACTTGTGACGATGGATTAACAGAGTGTGTTTGGAGTTTGGGGTAAAGTCTCTCTCTCTCTCTCGGACGATGACCGTAGAGCTTTAAAAAGAGCGTCCATTGGTCGAGAGTCATCAGGAGACATGCGTAAGAAGCATCGTAAATGTTATCTTTATTGTAAGTGTTTTTAATGGATGGGACTATGCTGCGGGACATAGTGTGTGTGGTGTCAAGTCTGTGTGTTGTCTTGTCTGAAATGTGTGGGTTGTGTTGCATGAGTGTGTGATTGTGGATCTAAATAAGCGTCTGCCTTGTCCAGCCTCTTTTTCAAACGCTTTATTACTGCTTATTTTGTGTCTATTGTTTTCTTTTGAAAGAAAGTACCACTACAACTACTACTACTACTACTACTAGACTATTTCCTGGGACTCCTCTCTGCTTGTCTTTCCAGTGCCATATCTAAAACGTGACAAAACAGACGTCCATTTTGGTCGCCGGGTGATGTATGTAACACAGTGGAATGTCTATTATATGTTTTGTTGGAAGAAAACAGTAATTACTTTGTTTCAAGTTGCTGAGTTTCGTTTGCAGCGGTGGGGCTCCTAAATCATTCAGATGCCCGCGGTCCACCTCCTCAAATCCTCCATTGATGCCAGACATCAGGCACAGAGCTGTGGAGACAACAACACATTCACGTTTCAGTAAATAATGCTCAGAATGATCTGCAGACTGATCCCTGAGTCCTATTCCAGCAGTCCTCTCATTACCTCAGGATTCACTTTAGTAAAACGGTCAAAAGAAAGAATCAGTTTTTCTCAGTAAAGCCCATGACAAAAGTGGCCGCGGTCATTTTCATTAAAACCAGAAAAACACGAAATCCACTTGAAAAACACTTGAGCACAGACATCTTTGGCTCTCTTATAACAAGCAACTGTGGTTAAAGGTGAACTCAGGCCATAATGCATAAGCCAGGGAATTTACACTTGGTGTTTTGGTAATCTGAAGGCCCAAACTACTGGCACCGCGGCAAAATCACACGCAACCTTTAAAACTCGGTGTCTTTGTAAAATAAAACGTCTTCTGTGGCAGTACACGACCCCACTGCCTCCTCTGTCATTCTCTTCTCATTCCTAAGAAAATACCTGAACCTGATCACATAACTGAAAATGTTCAAATATCCTTCCATCACTTTTTGAGTTAAACAATAAAGTTCCAGTGTTTTGTAGTAAAAGCCAAAATGTCTTTGATTTAATCTCTCACCATCCAACTAATTTGACATCTTCCCAATAATTAAAGTTCAAGTCGTTATGCATTTCATCTTAAAAAAAAAAACAAGTTTTATAAGTATGTATAACATGCCACAGTAGGCCTGTTATATTGATCCTATAATATACTGTATGATGTAGTGTTGTGAGTATGTTCAGATGCAAATCATTCTGAAAGACACAAAGTGGAGTTATTTTTGTATCCAAACTTCTCTATTTAGATTGTAATTAGTAAAGTATCGCTGTTCCTACTGAAGTGGCCATCGTGCTTCACTTCCAGCTCGATGAGGGCGTAGGCGAGCGTGGTTTGAGGAGGGATCTCCATGGTAACGTTGCTGTCTTTCCCCAGGCTGGCGTTCTCCTTCAGAGAAATCTGCACAAAATTCAATCAGAAATGTTTGCGACGCAGAGCAACAGTGACATGTCAGGAGAATATTTGGCAGGTTTGAGCCAATAATGATCTGGGAAAACTCTCTGGGAAACTTTTCGGTCTGAAAAAAACTGATCTGAAGAAGTGGCCAGAGAAAATAAGGCCAAAGAACATGTGAGAACTATGAATGACTAAATGTACTTTTTAATGTGCTGTGATTATTTATGATTTTAATTATTTTAATTGCCTTGTGTATGAACTGTGCTGTACAAATAAACTTGCCTTGCCTAGCCATGAAGCTTATTTCGGTCACTTGTACAAATATACGCATTGTGACGGAGCAGTCGTTTTACAGCAGATAAAACTAGTGATAGAAGAAAACTGTTTCAGGAGAGAATCTAGTGAGATGGATAATTCTGTTGTAGTTTGTCTTTTTTTAACACCAACTTAAATCAGCGCGTGAGAAAAGTGGTCCTCTGCGTTTTTTTATTTATTGTTGAAAAGATGTATTTAATGGTTACTGCCCTCACTTGATTTGACTGGTTTTATTGTCTTGAAACTAGCTACGTCAGATGCAGCACTCTCTTGTATATAACATGTGCCATATACAGTAAATAAAGTGGGTAAGATTTAGTCATGAGTTTCAAGTTTATTGAGTCACTTTTTGCTTGAAATTTGAACTAAGGAACTGAAAACGAAGCGCTGACAAGCTATGTTGGAATTGACATATACAGAAGTACTTATCTGGGACTTCCTATTTTTACTTATTTTTCGAACCGTCTGAAATGTTGGTTCCCATTCTGGTGAGGTCATATTTGTGAACAAAATTACACGATACAATAACAAATCTATGTATGAAAGTCTGACAAACTTTTTAGGGCAAAACGCATGATTTTTCCGTAATTGCGAAATGCATTGATTATTATTGTTAATATCAATAAAAATGCATACAACTTATATTCATCATAACAGACAAAGAACAACATTATTAAACATATTCAGTATTTCTTTTGAAAAACAAATATGACACACAAATGACATTATATTTGACCTGTAAAATTCAGAATCTCAGTATTTAGAATAATACATACATCAGGAACAGTCTGCCTGAAAATGTGAGACAGGCTTCTACTTTGACAGTGTTCAAATCCAAGTTGTGCACTGTGATTATTTATGATTTTAATTCCTTGTGTGATACTGTTTCCTTTATTGTTTTGTTCACCACTTTAATTTCCCTTGTGCATGAACTGTGCTATACAAATAAACTTGTTATTTCAGGCCTAAATAATACCTCAATTACCTTGATTCAAACTAATTGAATCAAACAATAAGGGCTGTGCAGTGTTGTGTGTCTGGAGATACTATAAATTTTATGATACATATAATGTAGGTCACGGTGTGAAAAGGTAAATCCAGACACTAAAATATTTCGACATTTTTGCTATTTTTGAAATATGAAATAGAGCTAAAAGAATAATGAAAATATTAGTAAAAACATGCTGTTTTTAACCTGGATTTGAACATTGTCAGAGTAGAAGGCCTTCACTACATTGCCCACCCACCCCAAGTGGTCCACGCTCTTGGTTATTTTGAGGAAGTATTGCCCCATAAACAGGTCACACCAACCCACAAACTGACCCAGGGCTGTGACCCAAACGCTTGACCCAAATGTGACATGTCAGCACTTTCTGCACACCTGGTATTTGCATGTCATTTTTCACCACTGAAAACACAAAAGACCCAATACTTCATTTATATCAAATGAAAATAGTGCTATCATGATCAATCAAAAAATTATGGAGCTAAAGGAATAGACTCTGAGCTGAAAAATCTTTCATGATGGTATGTAACTATGGTAACTGTCAGAATTCTTAGTTTAGAGTTGATTTCTCTGTAATTCCTGGCCCAATCCACATGAAAGAAAAAAAGTCAAAGTTCCACATTTTTGCCAGTACATATGAACTATGGTCAAATCTTTTCACACAGGAATCTAGAATTTTTTGATACTTTGTCAACATTAGTAGAAAGAAAGACAGGATCAATTATAAAAAATTTAAAACATAATTTAGCCGAGTCTAAAAGATGTGAAAACAGGTTTAACAAAAGCAGTCTGAGCCAGGACGTACTACGTCATATCTGTTATAATCTCTTCAACTAAACTAGAATTACCGGAGCTTCCATGCAAGTTTCAACAACGCCTCAAAATAAGAACTAAGTAGTTTAACAACTGACGCTACCAAAATATCAATCTTTCATTTTTAAGACAATTCTATGATGACTTCAGCATGAAATGAGTATTTTTAATCAAACAACCCAATGTGTATCAAGTCAACAAAAGGCATCACTTGAAAAATAAACTATTTAACTGACTTTTTGTGATCTAAACAACTAATCCATCATGAAAATGATCGACTTTATCCTTGCTAAGGAATGTATAGGAAGTCCAATCCAATCCCCCAGAATACTGTAAAAAATACTTATTATAATCATCAAAAAGTATAACTATGGACATTCTGTGGCTCATGTCCAGACACAACAACAATAACGAAAATAAGAGTGAAAGGGTCGTGCTGTGTGGTTGAGACAAACTCAGGTGACCTTTGTGGACTTGGTGAGCGAAATGAACGACAGGGGCCTCCAACCGTTTTTGATTGGAGAGCTAGTTTTACAAAGCTGAAATGACAGAGATCTATTTTTTGCAGTGGTAACACAATGATACTCGATATAAAAACTAGGGTAAATCATGGAGACCACACATGTAGATTTCTACATTGTGAGATCAATAAAATGTATCTTATCTTATGAAAATTACACCATAATACTGTATAACTCTAACATAAAAAAATATGTATTGTATGTAATGACTTAACATGTTATCATTCAGGATCATGTGCAAAATTCCTGAATCCTTTAGGAGTTTGGGTTGAAAGAGGGTGGCGACTCCTGGTAGCTCCTGAGCGACAAGTTGGAGACCCCTGCCCTACGCTAACTATACATGTTCATACCGAATTGGAATTTTCCCTGTACATTTAACCCGTCACCAGATAAAAAGTCAACAGTCCAGGATCACTGTTGCAAGTTCATCCTGGACTCATAATCGTACCCTTCATCTTATTTGTAACCCTAAAACTTCAACTTCAATCATAACAAGATGGCGCCTCGTACGGTCGACATGGCTCTTTGCTGCTCTCTTTTTCTTTTGTTTTTACTTTTTTCACCTTACATTGTGTGCACCATGTGCACTTGTATATTGTAAATAGTAACTGTAACTCTATTTTAAATTTAAATTTATTCTTTAGAAGTGTGTTTTATTCTTATTTTTATTATCTCTTTTTGACTGTTGCACTGAGCCAAAGCAATTTCCAAGTCTGTGACCTCCTGTTACTTACGTTGGCAATAAAAATGATTCTGATTCTGATTCTGAACCCTAGTACTAACCTGAACCAAAGTTAACCCTCGCCCTAACCTTTACCCTGGGCTGGGCGATATAAACGGTATAAGCGGTATGCGATATAAATTTGGCCAACGGTAGAGATTTTTGTTATACCGGCATATTGCGATATAAGTCATTATGTCATCAGATTGCTGGGTTGCTCATGACGAAAGTGCTCTGACGGACAGAAAGTATATTTCCCCAATATGAACAATGTAAACATTCACTTATTCCGAGTTAGAATGATGTTTTTCTGTGGCGTGTACAGTTATGGCAACTGCTCATACCAAGCGATGAACTTATGGAGTCTCTACTTTGCTAATAAATATTTATCTAATGGGTGTCAATTTTTAGGAAAAGGCCTAATAAGGAACGGGAGAAATGCGCTAGCATTAGCCTGCGTAGCATCTGCGGCCGCAGACACAGCTGACAGTCCACAGTCTTTACTTAGCCGACTTTCATAGATACAATGCATTATTTTTGTGTGGTATACGGTTGTAGTAACCAAGGCAACAGGAAGAAAGAACTGTTAAATACATTTTCTAATTGCAGCCCCTGCTGTTAGCTCACTGCTGTTAGCTTAACGCTGTTAGCTTGACGGAGCTCCGTACTTTTTGTCTGAACTTTTTGTTATTTACAGCTCAACAAATCACCGAAATGACAATAAAGGGTCAGATTTCTTACTTCAAATGCTGTCTAAAGAAACATTTGTGCCCTATTTATTGTATTATTGATCAGAACTATCATCTCAGACGAGTTTCTGTTGATACCAGAGTGACTCCACTATCGTCACTATCACAGCCTTGATCCTTCTCTTTGTTGAAAAAAATTGGACTCATTCAAAAACTACAAAGCGTACGCTGCATTAAAAATACTTTTCACCCATAACAAGTGATACTAAGCTGCAAAAAGCTCATATGTCTGCGTTTTCCACAGTGGGGGCGGGTCCCAGCTCAAAAGTGGCCAAAATGACGTGCGCTGACATGCTGCAATACCACCCTCCGTTCCACATGTGTGTCAATGCTGAGAGGGGTGAATTTTTTTGGTCCACTCTAGTTTACTTGCTGTGAATTTTTGAAGTCTCTCGTTTAAATGAATGGAGCTGCGCCGGCTGACGCATGCGCAGATGCGTTTTTTCATAATTTTCTTGTGGGCGGGACCACTCACGGCCATTTTGGATTGCTCCAGAAGAGCAACATTTTTTGGCCCGTTAGTTAGAACAGCGGAGATATGCGTGACTCTGTTCGTTAATATATACAGTCTATGGTTTTCCATCAATGCCCATTCTATTTAATAGGAGAAAAATACTCCCTGTCCTACGGATCCATGCCCCGTCCCCTTTTGGTCACGTGGTTGCAGCCCAGAAATACTGCTTGGAAGTTCAAGTTTTATAATGTTCTCTATAAATTTTTTTTGCACAATACATTTAAATAAGTAACAATCTTGACTATTACATGCAAGAATCTGCTAGAGCTGTATTGAAATTCCCACACCAAATTATACCGCAATATATACCGTATACCGTCTGTGTCCTAAATTATACCGCATTATGAATTTTAGGCCATATCGCCCACCCCTAAAGCCTGGTTCACACGAGACGATTTTAAAATTGTCGGCCGATTTTTCTCCATGTTAGACCCCACACGGGGAGATAAAAAATCCTGCGTCTAACCACTTTGGTCGTGCAGTGTGTGGTGCGTAGCCACACGGCAAGATCACGCAAGCCACAAACATCACACACGAACCGACACCCCCCCCCCCCCCGAGCATTCCCAGGTCAGACGGAAATCTCACAAAATCTCTCGAGATCAAGCGTGACTTCAGAGTAAACAGTCATGGCGGACGAAGAGGATGCAGTGGCGATAGTGTGCAGTTTGTTGTTAACAGAGAAGACACGTAATCCAAAGAAAAGGCAATGGTCAAAGCCATGCTGCTGTGTTTTGGTTTTTTTCCGGTGTTTCCTCACCGGCTTGTCACCTCGTCTTCTGATTGGCTACACGCCGTAGTCATGGCAACGCGCTCGCTTGTTCTCGGAGGACACCACACACGACAAGAAATCGGGCCAAAACAATCCAACATGTTGGATATCCCCGATTTGAGATCGGGAGCAGTCCCGATGTCCTTCCGAGCGACGAGTGCAGTCTTAACACACCACACACGGCAGGATAATCTGTAAGATTTTGTTACGGAAATCGGGAGCGTTTCTTAAGATTGTCGTAAGGGGTAAATCGGGTCTAAATCGGCCTAAATATCCTGCCGTGTGAACCAGGCTTAACCCTAACCCAATAAAATAAGATCATCCTCACCCATTCAAAAATCTCCATTTGTTGATGCTCAGATTTTTACCAATGATACATGCATATTTTGGAGGGGGGGACTGTAGTGCCCAGAGGAAACCCACCCAGACACAGGTAGAAAAATGCAAACTCCACACAGAAAGGATGTGGGTTTGTGCGATCAAACCCACATCCTTTAAGCCAACTCAGTAATAATGATGTGATGGAGGCATTGTGGCAGATAGTTGTCAAAGAAGTTGTTCCTATTTGACATTTTAATATTCCACAAAAACCCTGTTATCACATTACCTTAGTGACTTTGGGTCCACATATCGTCAGAAGGCCTCCAAACTGTCCTTCTTTTTGCACCTCTTCGATTACAGAACAGGGCTGGGTGGTCACAATGCGCTCCTTCACGATCCCAAACACCTGCTTGTGGTTCATCATGGTCTGCTCCACCAGGCTGTGTGACATGTCCAAGAGCCTTCAGACAAAAAAGAGGGAAAAGTTACCAGTCCAAGAGCCTTCAGACAAGAAAGAGGGAAAAGTGACCTGTCCAAGAGCCTTCAGACAAGTAAGAGGGAAAAGTGACCTGTCCAAGAGCCTTCAGACAAGTAAGAAGGAAAAGTGACCTGTCCAAGAGCCTCCAGACAAGAGAGAGGGAAAAGTTACCAGTCCAAGAGCCTTTTGGCCCAATCCCAATACCCACACTGGACCCTACACACCGCTACAAAGTGTGCATTTGTTTGAAGTGCACGCAAGGGTTCGAGTGCGCAGGTTACAAGTGTGCAAAAAAGGCGGAATTGGTACAGTGCACACTGAGTGCAGGTTACATCATCGACTCGTCAAGAGATGGTCATTTTCAGACCTAAACTTTATAAACATTAAAGGTAATTATGTCTGACCCTGTGGGAAACAAAGTGAGTTGCCCACACAGGTTAAAATAAATGTATATTGGTTATTCGTAATTTGTGATAGCTGTATAAATGTAAGTAATATGTGGGTAACTAACTGTTATCTGGTAATTTTTAATACATCCTAAGTCTATTGTACTAAGTGTAAAGTTTAAATTAAATGTTATATGAATGCTTGCTTTAAAAAGTTATTAAATTGTCACCATACATGTCCGTAATTCTTCAATTAGTCATTTATGCTTCTATTCAAGTAACATAGCAAAACTTATTTACACACATACAGCATATATATTTCAAAACTTACATTTAAATGCATTTTCCCGACGTTTTTGTGTGTACCGCAAAGAATTATGGGCAATATCCTTTGCCAAAGTCCGCATAAATGCAGGCTACGGCGAAGTGTGGATCAGGGGCGCAAAGGGGGCGGGGCCAAAGACCTCCCTGGAGAATTGGGACACCCGAAGCACTCGCACCCATCATCGGGAACGCGCAAATGAGGGGCGCGAGGGTGGAAGTGCGAGTATTGGGACTGGGCCTCAGACAAGAGAGAGGGAAAAGCTACCAGTCCCTGCCCTACAACCTCCAGCCTGTCCACTAACAATAACAATAATTATTCTGTCCATAAGCTTCCTGTATAAAAACATATTCATAGCCATTATATTTACATACAAGTCTCTAACCAAGGGGGGTGCAAACTTTTTTAGTAAGCGGGCCACTTTAGTTCACCAGACTTGAACAGGGACCAACAACTGAGATTGATTTGACAGGATTCAGGCTGTTCTCAGTTTTAAAATTAGGTGTGAAATCATGTCCATACTGAGAGCTGCAACAATAGTACTTTCTCACCAGCAACAATAGCTCCATATTCAGAATTATGCAAAGAGAACAAGGGAACGTCTGTATGGTGATAGTCAAACAAGAAATGTATGTACTTTTATTTAGGCATACCTTTTTGATTTTATTCTGCTTTAACTAGTTTGCACCGAGAGCCAAAGCAATTTTCTAGATTGTGACTTCTTGTTACTCACATGGCAATAAAAGGATTCTGATTCTGAAATTTAACTAGCAGAGAGGTCACAGGACTCCTATATCTCATGTACTTTATGTTTTATCTGAGAATTATATACAGATTTTGGTTCACTTGGATGATTCAATTTTAAATGATGAATAAATTATTATTACTATCGTCATTCACTATTGTCACTATCATTCTGCAAGCAGTGGGGATGAAAAATAGCTATTTATAAATCTGTCATTTAGATTTCTTTAAATCAAATGTTCATTCATGTTTATGTGATGTTTTTTAAAGTATACAGAATTGAGAAATTTATAGATTTTCCAGGCTTGCTAGAAGGTCACTATCTCTGTGTTAATATTCAACCAATCCTTCTTGTTTTCAGGCAGTTTTATGGATGGACAAAGATCATCTCTGGTAGAAACAAACTCACCTCTCCTTTGAGTCTCTGATGAGATTCTGCACAGCCAGCTCTTCTTTCTTCAGGCTCCCGAACGACGACTGCAGTTTGGACGTGTCTTTCCCCTCCAAGCTCACACTGGCGTTTTGGGAAAAGCTCGCGTCCACATTTCCTTGGATATTGTCTCCGAATGTGCCTTTGTACTTGATAAACTCTAACTCTGTAGTCACTGTAAATAGAAAATATAGAATTTAAAATACTATTGGTAATAAATGAATACTTACAGTGACACAATTCCCCTTCTTAACCAAGACAGTCCCAGTTTGTCTCAGGTTTTTGCAGCACGAGTTGCAGCACCAATCATTTTGACCAATTTGAAACTTACCAAAACTGGGAAAAAGAATATATAGTAGTTTGTGCTCAGAAACGATACAAAACGTTAAAATAAATGCACTTGTAGATGACGCTCAGGTTACATTCTTACTCATTAATTATTTTTACAATTAATTATGAGCCATACCGTTACTTTTTTAGAAAATCGGATCACTCTAAACTGAAACAAAGGCAGTTGGCTCTTTCATAAATCTGTGACATAAAGGGGGCGGTTGCATTTGCTTCAGAAGTGAACTCATATTAGACTGATCTTTCCGTTTGCTGATTTTTTGTCAAATTTATAAAAAACTGAATATGAATGAAAGAAACAAATGTAGACGAGAAAGTTCCACTTTCACTCCCAGAGCGCAAGGCAGACCATAAACAGAGTTGGGGAGTGACAGAATACATGTTCCAACCATAAACATTTTTTTATTTTTTATTTCTCCTGTGTGAGTACATCTTATCTTATCTTACATTTATAGCAGATTTACTCAATTGTATTCAGAATTCAATACTTTTTCTTGAGACGGCATTCAGAATGCAGTTAATAACAAATGCATAACAAACTACGCAAAAAGAATCACACTTATTTTTACACAATAAACTTTTGCCAATGAGCAAAAAAGTGTTCAAATTATTCATAGTAGAGTACTTTGATGAGAGATGTTTTGAATTATTGTTTAATAATGGTAAATAGTATTCTGTGACTAAATAGTTTTTCAAAGTACGATATTCTCCCCAGACAAGACCATAAACAAACTCAACGCCAAAGTACACTGTATAGCTTTGTAGGTCTGCACATTTTCCATGAAGCAATCACAGACTAGTGTTGTCACTATACTAACATTTCAAACTTGATTTTGAGACCAATGAATACTCAATAGACAAAACCAATGTTTATACCAGGCAGTGTAATATTAAGATGCTTTTTTGTGAGCTGTCGTTTCTTCCAACATTTCTTGGGAAATGTAAAAAGTTGTCCTGTTAATTTTTTTAAATAATGGTTACTTTCTCAATTGAGAGTCTAGTTTCAATAATATTGCTGCAATATCTTATTTTGTACAACGCCATCACACACTATGCATAAGCGGTTATAAACAATATATCTGTTTGTGGCCAAGTCTCTTCAAGGCCTTACACCAAAGTACATCTGTGACATGTTAGTGCCATATGAACCAACTCAGACTCTGAGGAGTACAGGGACTGGCCTTCTGCTGGTGCCCAGAGTCAGGCTTTGGGCATTATACTTCTATTCTGACAATGTTGAAATCCAAGTTGAAAACAGTTCTGCATAGCTGTGCATACAACTGAAGGATTGTATCTTTACTCTATATAATGATTATTTATGCCTTGTGCGATTGTTTCTATCTTGTGTATGAACTGTACTATACAAAACTTGTCTTGCCAATAATCATATACTAAAACTCCTATGGATCGAGTCAACTACGTGTGCAACAATGCTAAAAACATAATTACAAACATGTCAAAATGAGCAGTGACATCAGAGTGACATGTACCTGGTTGTATGGGTGTGTCCCCTGCTAACAAATCATTGAGTGTGAAATCCGTGGGGAGATATTTGGGCTGTTGCCAAAACCAAAACCTTTTCTTCTTTATGACCACAGTCAGAAGTGAAATAGTGTCATTCAGACTGGACACCGGGATCAGCGCTCCACCGCGGTCCACTTCCTCCACAAAGTTTCTCGTAGCAGTGGCCAACATCCCAAATCTGCAGAAATGACAAAGTTATGGTTATTTTAAAGACGATATATACATGAATAGACGTAGTGATCATGTAATAACTGTGGCATGCATTAACGCTGTAAGAAGCTAGCAATAAAATCACGTTGTTATTGTTTTTATGGAGCTCGTTGTGGACAAAAGTCATGCAGTTACACTTACCGCTGTGTGTGTGCTGTTTTATACAGAGATAATGTACAGTTTTCGAAGTCAAGGCTCTTCTAATAAAAATCACCGAGACCGGAATGTTTTGAACAAAGAGGGAACGACGCCCCTTTTTGTGACGCCTCCACGTTCTACAGGAAGCGTGTTTCAGACCGACACAAATACATGAAATAACATCAAATTATTTATTTACGAGGGCAAGACAAATAGATAAATGGGTTTAAAGTTATAAATGAAATGTATCTTTTATTTTTTTTGTTTTAGCTGATCCATTAGGTTGATGCCCTCTAGCGGCGCAGGTTATTAAGACAGTAATAAACATGTTATTACAACCATAGACTGTAAATTATTACAACATAACAAGCAGAGATCCTGAAGTAATACACAATTAATAGAGGTATGAAGTAATAGACACTTATGTAAAGCCCTTTTCACTAATGCCACATGGCTTGAAGATTAGCAGCACTTTTAGGACCAGTAATATTATTATCCAGTAGCTCTTATTCTATATATTTTCTTTTAATAACTTTGTACTTTTTCTTCATATTCAATATACCAAATGTAGTACATTTCTACTCCTTCTATCAATTTTACATGCAACACATTTATTGAGGTGCTACCGTTATTATTATAGATCCATGGGTGCTACATGTTTTGTTTGCCTTCAAACCACATAAAATCTAACTCTTTTATCAAATACATGTCACTAGTGCCTGTCTCTAAAACAGTTTGGTTCCATCACAAGTGTTAACATGATGTATATGTGATCTTTGTCACATACAGAAAGGGAATGAAGTGTTCACACTTCAGTCCCAAGTGAACGAGAGTTCAATTTAAGTGAACCAATTAGAGCTAGTGCTTAATTGGTTCATTGGCTAGTGCTTTCTCCACTTCTGATGATTTATACACATCGAAATTTACACAGAAGCAGATTAAAAACAGCAGTATATAATCCTTCAAAAGAGACCGTGTATACACTACAACATTCTTTGGAATCAATATAGATGACAAAGTTAACTGGAAACTGCACATACACAGAAAACTATGTCACAAAGTATTGCTAAGGAAATCGAGCATTTTTTGGAAGGTCTCAAATTCCAACAGTTTACTTAAGCTGAAACAAGCCTTACGGATATTCCTCTTTCCATTAATGAAATTAAAAGATCCGTTATGGCAATAAAAAGTGGAAAAGCCCCTGGACCAGATGGTTATCCTATTGACTTCTATAAAAAATGTCAAGCCAGACTGGCACCTCTTATTTTTAATGTTTAACGACTCTATGCTCAAGAGTTCTGTGCCACAAACCCAGAAAGAAAAGACAATTAAAGCCGCAAGCCGTCACCAAGCGGCACCAAGCCGCCCCGCACCAAGCCGTCCCGCATCAAGCCGCCCCGCACCACGCCCCCGCACCACGCCCCCGCACCACGCCCCCGCACCTCATCAAGCGGATCTGCACCACGCCGCCCTGCAACGCGCCGCACCACACCGTACCACGCAGCACCGCGCAAAGGAGGTGGCGCCGCCGTGTGATGATTTGTTCCTGTAGCCATAGAAGAATGTTAGTCAAATTGTAATGAATATGATAAGTAGAGCTTTTTGGCTCCCCATGTAAAACTTCAGTCTCAGTCTGTAGGGGGCGCTAATGGGCCAATTTCAAATATTTCACTTTCACCTAACCCAGACCCTAGAGTTGAACAATAGATTCAAGTTTTGTGAAAATCAGACTTTGTTTGTGCAAACGGGAGCAAATTTAATGTTGTCAAAAAACGGCCAAAAAACACTCACACTTTGCCGCTCCGCTGCTCAAAGAACGTTTCACTGATCAAAATTACCTGAAGTCATTTTAATGGTACATGTGTTGAGATAATGTGGAACGATTTTGAGGCAAATCAGTGAAACGGCCAAGGAGGAGTCGCTTTCCAGCCGACATGTGTGGAAAGGATCATTTTTCATTTTTCCATTTTGAATTGAAATGTATGGGCTTCCTGTTTGTCAGGGGGCTTGGCCATGATAACTTTTATCTCATGCCTTGAGTTGAGGAACATGTGTACCAAATTTCATGCCTATACAACAAACTTGACCTCGAACCCCTCCCATACTAAAAACATAGACACCGTCTGTAGGGGGCGCTAATGAGCCAAGTTCATGTATTTCACTTTCAATAGACCTAGACCATAGAGTTGAACAATGTATTAAAGTTTTGTGCAAATCAGACTTTGTATGGGCAAATGGGAGAAAATTTAATATTGTCAAAAAGGGCCAAAAAAAACTCACATTTTGCCGCTCCGCTGCTCAAACAATGTTTCACTGATCAAAAATGCCTTTGGTCATTTTGAAGGTACATGTGTTGAGATGATGTGGATCGATTTTGAGGCCAATCGGTGAAACGGCCGAGGGGGAGAAGATTTCCAACCGACATGTGTAAAAAGGATCCTGTTTCATTTTTCCATTATTTTTTTCATATCTTGACTTGTGGAACATGTGCACCAAATTTCATGGCTCTACGACAAACTTGACCTCCGAAAACTCCCATAGGGGTATTATTATGGCTGTTGTAGGTGGCGCTGTTCTGGCATTTTTTGAGTCCCATAAAAATAAACACCAAAATATCAAACTTTTCACCAGGTCTGATTTTTGGGCAAAATTTAACACATTTTCATGCATGTTCAGGGGGTCAAATTAAGGCTCAAAGCGCAGAAGAAAAAAGAAATAAGGAATTTTTTTTGACGTCTCTCGAGCAAAAACAATATAGGTTTCAATGGCACGTGATACATAATTTTAAAGCGACGCGTCCGTCACGGACCGCCACCCCTTGCATTCACCATTGTGAAAGCAATAGGCCCTTACCCCGTTCGGGGCTCGGGCCTAATTATCTTGCTAAGCAGAGATAACTTAGCCTGGCCATAGCCATCCGTACACTCCGCTCAATCATAATTTCACTGCATGTACCGTCTGGGTCTGGTCCCTGTTTTAGCGAATACAATCGGTCGTGTTTCGACCGGCTACCCAGAGAGCGCGGGAGGCGGGTGTTGTAGGTCGGTGCCGGTGACGTCAAGAGTTTGCGCCAAACGGGCAGGTTGTGGTTTGGCAGTGGCAAAGAATGCGATAGTAAAGTAATCTGGTCTGGTTCTATCAAGAAATTGAAGCAGGAGCAAGAGGAATGTTTAGCAAATGTAATCGCTGGTCAAGATTGTGGCGCTACTACCCACGGGCTTGGTTAGCGGCAAAGGAGATGGCTAGGCTAAATGCTAAATGCAACAACACACTCGGGCGCATTACATATGGCACGGTAAACTCAGATCTAATCGTTTCAATCTGCAAAAGGAGTTAACCCCTCCTATCTGTTAACAGAGCTCAATGGAGCAAATCCAGACCATAGTATGAAATGTAATTTTTACTACATTGTCTCATGCTCTACATCTGAACTACCTCAAGACCATGAAAGCGACATTCCAATTCATCCAACAGGTCCTGCTGAACTGGGTCACAACGAATTTAAAAGGGACCTAATCTTATTTTGTTCCTATATTGTGGTATTTTTTTGTGTTAAATATAACTCATTTTGACAGATAGTTTCACCCTTAGCAGTTTCTATCATGCAAAAAGACATTCGCGGAAAAATTGCCAAGACCGGAAGTGACTTACACATAGGTGTCATTGGGCTTTGTTGATATGCATTTGTAAGCCATAACGTTGTATACGGATGTTTTAAACAGATATTTGTCATTCAGTGATGGACAATACAAGGGGCTTTTATTTATGAGCCCTTGCGCACTTGTTATGACAGTAATTCTGATTTTGAGGACTCTGACTCGGTTCAGATGAGGAGCAATCTGCAAGAAATGGACTGGATTTGCGGACATTAGGGCCGTTTCCACGGTATGGATCTATGGTCTGACCGGGTCCGACCCGTCTCGACCCGGTTTGTGGATGCGGTCAGTTTGAGCTCGATGGTCCACCCGAGTGAGTGTAAATAGCTAAGTGTTAGCGAAGGTAGCGCTAGGGACAAAGGAGTACATCAGGGACATCGTAGGGCAGAGAAAAGTTTAGAAGCATAAAAGTGACTACCGTGAAATGAAAGATCCCAGCCGTAAAAGGGACAGAACTGAAAAATCTGGAGGTGGTTTGACAAGATGGATTGACGCTATTTTTACGGAATTCAGCAAACAAGCAAATATCAGCTAACACGCTAACACCAGCTAACACGTCAATACCCACAACTCAGAAGCCTCAACTCTATGTCCCAGCTCCAGATGTTGAGTTTGAGAGAAATGGTGAGTGTCTTCAATCAAATGCAAACATGTAGTGTTATGGTCTTATTCTGAACATGTGTCTGTGGTTCTAAAGTCTTATTCTGAAACGTGTGTCTGTGGTTCTAAAGTCTTATACTAAACGTGTGTCTGTGGTTCTAAAGTCTTATACTAAACGTGTGTCTGTGGTTCTAAAGTCTTATACTAAACGTGTGTCTGTGGTTCTAAAGTCTTATTCTATTTAGTCACTGGTTCTAAAGTCTAAAACATGATGGTATGTGTCATATCTATTTCTTTTACTAAACGTAGTTAGAGTGAAACATGGATTCATGGTTCAATGACAGTTGTTGTGTTTTCTGCTAAATACTGGGTTGAAACTCGTAAAATTGGTTTTAGTTGGAGCTTGATAGAACTAATTTCATGGAACTGGCGCTGGTGTCTTCTCTCAGTTTGTTTGGACTGTTGCCTTCTCTGAATAAGTCAAAGATCGTAGGGACTGCTGTTTACACTCTTCTTTTTGTTACTTTCATTGCTGCATCCCGGGGCCATACAAAATACACCCATTTTAAGGTTTATTTGTGTCAAAGCGGCTGCAGGAGCAATGCCATAAACTGCGAGGCGGGAGCTGCGACCCCTCTAAGTACGTCATCACTTTTCTGGCCAATCAGAGGCGTTGATATTAAAAGGTTATTTTCCTGATTTATTACTTATCTATAACACAAAAACACATCGCAAAAGTGTTCCCACTTTTCGCAAAAGTGTTCCCATACATGCTTTTAATGTGTTTTATCAGGAAAAAAATAGTTTTTAATAACGTTAGTGCCCTTTTAAACCAAAGTTGCAGTCACTCATAAACCAGCTTTTGACATAATGTGCCTGGCTGTATGTAGAGGTTGTATAGGTGTGTAACAGTTATGGGATGGTGTGTATGACTGTATGTGTGTGACTGTATGTATAGGTATGAAAGTATGTGTTTATAATTGTGTAGCCTGCTCTCAAAACGGGAGATTATGCCCCGCAGAGTGAAAAGAATACAGCCAGGCCTATAAGCTATTTTGCCTGTTTTGCTATAACTTCCTCTGTCCTGTTTTTCTGTAGCAATTGAAATGCCAAATGTTTTACACGTTGTTTTACACATTTGTTCCATTGTTGAAATTCATAGAGAAGAGGTCTTGCAGTGTTTTTGTTATATGAAAGATTAAAGGATCTTCTTCTTGATTTTTCAAAGAAATGAATCAAAATATGTTAGAAGTATGAACACAAATGTATCAGTAGGATGAACAAAAAGATATTAGTAGGATCAATAAAACGTAATGAGTAGGTTTCAATTTATTGTTCACGTCCATTAAGCTTAAGATGGTTATTTTATTCAATTAGGTAAACATTTAAATGAACTAATACTTTTAAGTTAATACAACTAAGGGGGTTTCCTTCATAAAACTAGGATAGTTTAGTTTTAGCTTCTGTAAAAACTAAAGATTTTGAGGCAACGGGTTTAAAAGCCCCATTCTAGTAAAGTCAACTGATTCAGGTTAAGAGTGCATATTTCTGTTTTATCGTATCGTTTTTACTAGTGTTGGTGGTTTCTGTGTAAAAATATTTACATACAATACCCTCAATAACACAAATCAAACATATAGACATGAAAACACGACAGTTACAAACTAAACAACAATACATTCAGTTATCTACAAATGCACATGTTTATCTAATAAACTCTGCTCGTTCTTGTCTGCTCTAAAATGCTCGTGCTCTTTGGAATGTTGTGATGTCACATAAACATAACATATTTCCTGTGGTTTTACAGCTAGGTACTCAAGCTTTATTCCATAAAAATCTACAATTGTTCGTCTTTCTTCAGTATTCAAACACCTATCAAAAGGATTCTATAACTTAAC